ACAAGGATAATAATAAATATAAATAGCTTCTGACTATGCTCTAAATTGTTCTTCATTTAACCAACAAAGTAAAATTCTACAATTTCATAAAAATCATACCAAAAGCCCCTTTGGTAGCTTATAAGTCATAATCTTTGAACCCTTATTTTTCCTAGTGCACCGTGAGCATCAAATAAATTTCTTTAACCAACCAATTTGGCCCTAAGTTATTGTTGTTCTTTTGTGGTGTGAGTTACAAACAAAAAAAAAGAGCGAGAGGCTAAACAAAATGTGTAAACAAAGCCAGCAAATGCATAAAAGTGAAATGTGCAGTTAAAAAGTGCAGCAACAAGAGGCAAGACAAAAGGTAAAAAAGCCTTTTAGGCACTTTTAAAGTTTACTTCGCTTCAAGTGCCACAACAAAAACACCAGAAACTACTCCACATGCATATAAACTCACCTGGCCAAACAGAGTACACAAACTAGTACACAGAAAAAAAATCAACTCTTTCTCATTTTGTTCATATGTAAGTTATTGTTGGTGAGTCATATCAAAAAATGTTGTAAATCGAAAAGAATAATAACAAACAGTAATAGGCTGACATATAGGTAAAAAAAACCAGGTTCGAATCCAGCTACTACTTTTTTTTATGTTTTTAAACATTTTCTCTTTTTGTGTAGTAGTTTGTTGTGCAGGTCCAAAGGCGTCAGCGCATTGCACTGTGCATAATTTAGCAAACATGTGCCAGTGTTGCCACAGAATAACAAAAATAGAGTGTAAAGAGAAAGAGACAGCTGCTGAGGGGGGAATGAGAGGCAGACAGACTGAGAAGCGACCACCGAAAACTAAAGGCAAATTAAAATTGTGTAAGACAAGCTGAGGAAACACGTGTAAAATAATGAAGAGGAACACATGTACAAAATGTGCAAAAAGTTGCACAAACAAATTGTAGCAAATCGTGCAGTATGTAAAGCGATTTATATACATTTAAATAAACCTTTAAATTGTTTGGAATTTCATCAAAGAGAACAGACACAAGGACGTACAAATATTTCGTTAATTAATAACAGAACATAGAGAAAATTAATTGAACTAATCTGTTTTAATACAACTCATTTATCCTGAAACATAAAAATAAATCACATACATTTCCAGCATTTAAAAATACAATGTGTCCTATTAACGCGTGTATTAGTTACTGAAAATGTAAGGAATGTGGAATTCCTTAACTAATTAGTGTTACATATCTCATTTCAATCTCTGTTTTTAGCACAACAAATGCAATCTGTTAAAATAACTATGTGTCACATAATGATTAATTCTCTTTTCAAGATTTTTGCCATATTAATCCACATTCCATGTTCCTCGAATGGAATCCAATGAAAAGCTGACTGGCATCACAAAAGGATTCAAAGCATGGGTTTTAGGGTCTTTGGGGCTTAAGCCAGGTCGTTCCGATCGGATATCTCCTGGGTCGAGAGTCCAAGTTGACGGATTAGCAATTGGACTTTCGGTCGCCCTGTATGGAGTGCGCTTGACAAACATTGATGGTCCGGAGCTGGAGTTATGAATGCCGAATCCCCATCCTGTTCCATTTCCCCCCTCATCCCACACATCTCACGTCCTGCATCCTATATCCGCCTGCCCAACTAGCAAACTACCAACAGCCAACTCCCAGGTCACTGTTCTTAAATGCAATTGATTTCGTGGAGCTTTCGATGGGTTTGCTCTGGCCACAAATCAAACAATTTCCGCTGTGAGGAACGGGGAATCCCCCTTTAACATACAAATGCAATTTGTTGCATTGCGTCGCCTGTTTACTGAATTTATTTATATGCAGTTGAGCTTGCTTAGACATTGACTGACTGAGTGATTGATTGACTAACTGATTGACTGGCTGGCTGCTGGCTGGCTGATTGAGTGAGTGGCATTTGGCTGCTGTGTGGCAAGCCCCAAAGAAAAAGCCGCGGAAATATGGCGATGACTGGTTGCCAGTTTTACTAAAGTAAAAAAAAGAGTAGCACACTTTTATGGGCGGCAAAGGAAGTCGCTATATTTAATGAAGCGCACAGTAACAACAGCTCGCATTGGGCTCTAAGTGATTGAGTTTTGGCATTTACTTTAAGTTAATAGTTTTTCAATAATCTTTTGCGATTCCTTTGACAAAACTTGGCTTAAAGTCATATGTCTGACTGCCGCTTGGAATTGAAATTTGTATCTTTTTTAATGAATTTTGCGCTCTGTCAATTTCATTTGGCCTTCGGTTTACCAAAGTATTCTCCTTTTTTTTTTTCCTATCTCGATTGACTCTGGCCGTTTCCCAAGAGAATGTAAATTTCAGCTTCTTTCGGCTCCCCTTCATTTCTTGGGCTGTTTTCTTTGGTCTTCAGTCTTCTCGTCCTTCGGTTTTTCCTTTCTTAGCCGGCTTGAGTTTCTTTTGCTGTGTGCCCGGTTTTTTTTGGAGTGACAGTGACTTTGTATGGCTTGGGCTTAAAGGATTTTTGTCAGTTTAGTTATTAAAAACTCATTACACACATATGTGAACACACACTCAATGGCACAGAGACATGTGCAAGCACTGTGAAAAATTGAGAGTACTGACCATTCAGAAAGAATAAGTAGCATAACAAGTTTATATTTTAGGTTAAAAAGTATAAATAGTTTTAATTCAAAGAAACTTGATGAGAGTCTTTTGGCTTATTACTTTGTTAAAACAAGAGTTTGTCATTATTAAGAGAACATTTTTTTTTCTAGAAAAACTAATTATCAAAATATAAAAAAGGTGACAAAGAGCAAAGAAAATTATTATTTAACTAACAATAGAAAATAAAAAAGACAACAATTTCAACTATTCTTATATTTATTTCGATAGCCTTGTATTGATTGCTTTTATGGTTGATTGCTTTTTTGGTTCTGCAAAGTATGGTATAGAGTTTTTCCGAGTGTATTCTCTAGTAAGGGTCCGTCGGGGACTGCTCTGTCCCGCTCCCTCGTTCCTTGGTACTTCCTGTCTCTTTTCCCCCCAATTTTCCCCGTTTCTCCGCTTATTGGGCCTTCGCTTCGATTTAGCGCTGACACATTTCGCTGGAGAATGTTTGTTTCTTCTCTTTTTTTTTTTTTTTGCTTTGCTGTTGAGTAACGGCACACTCTGATGTGTGAGTATGTGTGTGTGTGCATGTGAGTGTTCGTCCTTGCTACCATGTGTGTGTGTGTGTCTGTGTGTATTTGCCTTACAATTCCCCAAATTGTAATTTTATAGCAGCGTCATTGCCCAAAATGCTCAAATAGACTTTTGCCTTTTGGTCCGTTTCAAGTAACTTTTTTTTTCCTTCTCTATCCTGTGCTTATCCTTGAGTATTTTCTCGTTTTTTGGCCAACACTTGAGAAACTTTTGGCTGCTGCTGGGCTTCTTCTGTCTGTGCTGTCCTTTCTTCTCCAGCCTGTTCCCCACTTTCTCCGGTCTTTCTGCACCCGTACATCTTCCTATTCTCAACTTGATTCCTATACTCGACTGGTAGTTTCTAACTCGGCTCAATTCGATTTTGTCTGCAAACTGAATGAAGTGAATTGCATTGCCATTGGCCACGTTTGGCTACCCTAATGCTACCCTTTAAGTGTCTAAAATGGGACTAGCTATGTTGATTTTAATGAGGCCTTATTAATATACTGCTATCTTGGATGCCCAAATAACCTTCAACCATGAAATATCGAAATAAATTGTAGGGTATTTTAATGGCTTACAAAAATAATCATTTAAGGTTCTAAAAAAAAGTCAATCTCATTTAGAAGTACATATGAAGATACAATTCAAGGCTGTCAGCTTGAAAAATAATTGCTTACCACTAGATAAAAATAATATATGTATATCTCTTGAGAAATCAAGGATTAATATGTTATGAGGAGAGGGTGTACGGGATTAGCTCCAGTTGCCACCTGGCCATCAACCCCAATTCCTTCATGAGCCGAAGTGCCCGACTTAAGCCCTTTGCAAAGCGTTGATGGCACCGCCATGTCTTTGAGTTGGGCTCGGAATCCGCCCCCCCTCCCCCTCCCCTCCGTCGGCTTGATGACCGGATTTCGGTCTCCGGCCTCCGGCAATCCAATCCGTCTGCTCCCGTTCGGTGGCCTCCATCCTGTGATGTGATGTGCACTCAATCCTGTTGCATCCTGGCCAGTTAGGCGAATCGCATATTTTATTCAGACTTTCATTTAGTTCAGCCCCCGCCCGACCCCTTTGGGTCACATGTAATTTTTGTTTAGCCATTCCAATTGCAATTCCATTTCGCAAAAAGGGGAGTTTGGGTGGATTCTCTGGGAGGTCAGGTGGATGGGTGGCGGCCATATAAATCAACTTTAATTTAAATGCTCGGCTCGGCTGCAGCAATGAAATCGGAATGAGCACACTCTGTGCCCCTATATATATGCATCGCTCCATCTCTGGACCTTTGTGGCCTTTGGCTTCTATTCTGGTCGGCAGCTCAAACAAATGAAGCCATCCGAGGCCAGGAGAGCATCTTTTGTGCTCCAGGCTTCGTCTATCGCTTCCATTTTGGCCAGCATCCGATTTAATTGCGGCAGTGACGGGGTCCCAAGGTGTTACAGCGATTCTATGAATTTATAATTTGTATTTTTAAGTGGAAGAATATTTTTTAAAATTTTCAAGAATACAAAATCTCAAAAAATTTGGTTAAAAACAGTCTACAAAGTTATTTAAAGATATGTTGTCAATGGTATAATATATGTTTTTTTTTTTGATAATAGTAGAATACAGTTCTCACTGATGTTATTTATTTGGTTTGGCCAACAAAATGAGTTTCACTTATAAAATGAAAAGGTATACTTAAGGACTACTTAAGATACTCAATGCTTTTACCACGACCGTGCCAATTAACTGATGCCTTTGTCAGCGCAAATCAAATAAAGACATGGTTTAATGATATGTATGAGATACCCTTAAAAACCATCCCGCACACATGATATTTATTAAAGCATTTTCCTTCTATATTTCTCGCATTTCCAGGATACCCGCAGCCCTCATACCGATGGCTGAAGGACGGCGTCCCCGTGGGCGACTTCTCATCCAGCCAGTTCTACCGATTCCACAGCACTCGACGCGAGGATGCGGGCAGCTACCAGTGCATTGCCAGAAATGACGCCGGATCCATATTCAGCGAGAAGACCGACGTTGTCGTTGCCTGTAAGTTAATATTTCCACGTTCGACGGGGAGGGGGGGGTTAGAGTCCGGTGGGGCACATCCTTGCATCCTCATACGTCGATTACGCCACATCATCATCATCAACAGAAGTGAAAAATTGGGATGAAAACACGAGCTTAAGGCGCTGAAATGTGAGCTACTCTCTGGGATAATCCCATTCTTTTTTATTTTTCGGGTTTTTTCCCGTTGGGCATTTAGGCAGATTGAGTTACCAATTTAACGAGAAATTATAGGAATTCAATGATGGCCTATTGACGATCCTTGATCCTTGTGCCTCATTAGCTAACTTTGGTGACCAAGCCTTATTTTAAAACATCAAAGTATAAGCTATAAAATGGAATATCAATTGGGATAACCCAACAATCAATGTCAGCCAAAACTGTTCCCAGAATGAGACATGGACGGGTGTGAAAGGGGGTTTCTAGGTGAACTACTAATTAAACGGCTGTCACACCAGCCAAGCATTTCCCCTCTAGCCCGGATAAATGTTTAGCTGCTAATTTTTCTTTAATGCGAACTTAATTACGACAAGAACGGAATGTGGAGAAGGAGGCCATCTCGGCTGAGAGGGTGGGGGGTTAGGGGTTCGGGGTTGAGAGTTAAGGGTTAAGGGTCATCGGGTAGGTGTGGATGCAACGAACAATTAGACAAGTAAGTGTGAGTGACACTTGAGTTCTGCGCTCTGAATGTGAGCGTGCGTGTGAGTGCTTATTACCCCACTACTTGAACCTAATAAATCGAGCTCTCGACATGAGAACGACCTCCATGAAGAGAAGAACGCCTTATGCCATCACTTATGCCCAGTGATGGGAACAGTACTCGATTTCTGTACCTAGGTTGGATAAAGAGTACAATATTTATAGGTTGAATAGAAAAAATCATGATTTATTTGAAAATTGACACAGCTTCATGGTTTTAAGCATAAAAAGCGAGATTTCGAATTTTAATAGTTGTATATAAACTTCGTAGTTATGAAGATTTGATAAAAGGTTCGTCATATTTGTTTTAGGTAAAGTATTGAATCTGGGTACAACAGCGCTCGGGCCAACCCTTTCGCAATTACCCCACCTAAGCGGTGACCTTCTTTTCGGAGGCGGTTGGTGGGCGTGGCTCACTGACAGACTGACTCAGTGACTCGTCGACCGGTTGACTGGTTGACTTGGAGCAGCGGCAGCAGCGTCTTGAGCACTTAATTAATTGTAGGACCAAAGGAGCGAGAGAGAGAGCGTGCTTAAACTGAACTAATAACCTTTAAAGCTCAGCTGGGTAGTTCTTAGCGGGGGGCGGTGGGGGGCTGCTTAAGAGCGGGTTCAGAGGTTAAATTGACTGGCCCGCAGGCCGCGCCATCGTTGCCTTCAATTCAATTAGCGAATGACACCACAGGAAGGCACAGAGCGTTTCCATGGGATTGGGGTTACTTCGATTTTGGGTGTTGGCAGATCCAGAATGTATAGCGAAGGGAATATCATTTACAATAAATGATAGCAAGGAATAGAATAGTAGTTACTGTGACAAATATAAAAAGCTAAAAGGCAATACTGATTAACTTCCTTTCTGATTACTGAAAGAATAAAGTTGCTACTAAGAGAATTATGAAATGACTGTTTCAAGATTAAATCTATTTACCTGATTGATTAACGATTAATAATATCAAAAACCTTTTTTTCCACAGACATGGGCATTTTTGAGAACACCACCGAGGGTCGTTTGTCGGTGATCAGTGGCCATCCCGCGATATTCGATATGCCAGCTATTGATTCGGTGCCGGTGCCGTCGGTTATGTGGCAATCGGAGAACGGACCTTTGACCTACGACATCAAGTACGCCTTCACCCAGGCCAATCAGCTGGTCATCCTGAGTGCGGATGAGAACGATCGCAGGGGGTATCGTGCCAAGGCGACCAACACGCAGTTGGGCAAAGAGGAGAGCAGTGCCTTTGTCCATCTGAATGTCAGTGGCGATCCCTACATAGAAGTGGCGCCCGAAATCATAGTGCGTCCGCAGGACGTGAAGGTCAAAATGGGAACGGGTGTGGTGGAGCTGCAGTGCATTGCGAATGCCAGGCCGCTGCACGAGTTGGAAACGCTTTGGCTGAAGGATGGCCTTGCCGTGGAGACGGCCGGAGTACGGCACACTCTAAACGATCCCTGGAATCGAACCCTGGCCCTGTTGCAGGTGAATAGCTCCCATTCCGGTGAATACACCTGCCAGGTGCGGTTGCGCAGTGGCGGCTATCCGACCGTGAGTGCTTCGGCCCGCCTCCAAATCCTCGAACCGCCGGTCTTCATACCCATGCGAGCGGAAACGTTTGGGGAATTCGGCGGACAGGTGCAGCTAACCTGCGATGTTGTGGGCGAACCCAGGCCCCAGGTCAAGTGGTTCAGGAACGCCGAGCCCGTGGATGCACACATTGAGAGTGGCAGGTGGGTGGCGCATGGCGATTCAATCGATTGGTTATCTGGTAACGCTAAAAGCTCTCTTTCTCTCAAATCCCCTGGCAGATACACGTTGAACCCCGATAATACGCTGGTAATTAAGAAACTAATCCTGGATGATGCCGCCATGTTTCAGTGTTTGGCCATCAACGAAGCGGGCGAGAACTCGGCGAGCACTTGGTTGCGCGTTAAAAGTAAGTCAAGAGCTGATTTCCTACTATGCCTGTGTGGCAGTGGAGCTAAAAGTGGGAGCTAAAGGATCCTTTGGTTAAATAGTAACTGCCAGTTATAAATATATAGATATTTTATGCCAATTTTTTTTTTTTTTTTTAATTAAAGAATGTTTAAATTCTTAAGTGCTGTTAATGTTTTTTTTATTTTGTAATCAAAATCTAACGATCTGCATTTAAAATGTATAAAAATGTTCACAGTACATTTTCAAAAAAATGCTAATTTGTAAACTCAAAAGTTTCTCGCCATATAATACCCAAAATTAAATGCCCCACTTTAGCCCATGTCACACGGAGTAAGATTAAATGATGTCAATCCAAGCTACTGCCTGAATGCCTGCCACATTGGTATACTAAATAAGTGCTCTTTTCATATGTCCCCGTCTCTCCCTCTCTCTTTACATCTATGCCCTATGAACTATACCCCTAACCATTTTTGCATTTTGACCTTTTAACCCATTATTAACAAACGCATTCATAGCAAAAACGGCCAAGATCCGCGTGAAGCGTTTGGCCCAGCCGCGAATCCTGAGGGTAAGAGCTTCGCATGCTGGCTTGGGATCGGAAAAGGGATCGGGATCGGGATCAGGTTCCTCCGGTAGACGCAAGGAGTTTCGCTTTGGTATGGGCATACAGCAAAATGCCACACAAAACACACACTCACTTCAGCACTCACACTTACTTCTGCACCACTAGCATTGCACTTTCACCACCGCCTTAAGTAAAACCCCTAAAAAACCCAGTAAAAACCCCATTAAACTTCTCAAGATATCATACCCCATAGAAAGTAGCTCTTTTGATTGTTTTGCGATTGAATTTGTTGTTTTATTGGCTTGGCTTGCTGTTATTTTACTGCCTTTGGCGTCCTAAGTCTAAGCTTAATATTATCTGCCAGTATTCTCTTGGCTCCCTTGTTTCCGTTTCATCTTCTTTTTTGTGCCATGGACCATTCTTAATTTGTTTTTCACCCTACGGCTCCTGCGGAGCTTCGTTTTGCAGTCTTGGCCAAGCGCCTTTGGCCAACAGGAGCAGCAAAAATTTCATCTGCTCTATTCTCTATTCGGTTGCTTTATCAAATTTGTCAAAAGCAGAAGACTTTTTCATACAAGTTGATTAGTCCCCGGCCACCGTCACCACTTTTCTTTTTTGGATAAACACAAACACCCCTGCCCTGGCTAATATAATAAATTTATATGCACAAAGAGCTCAATCTTTCGCCATTAAACTCAATTTATCTTAACCTTTATCTAGTTGGAAGGCATTTGGTTGCACAGAAAATAAATATTGACTTAAATTTGATATTCACAGGTCAAAATGATTTTTACTTTGTTCACATACTTTTGATGAGGTACATGATACACTTCAAAATATAGATTTCACATTTGTTTTCCTCTGTGTAATTAAATTTTAAGCTTTGGCAATAACAACATTATTTTTTTTAATTATTTAGTTATTACTTTACTTTAAATTAGTATTGACACCTAATCTTCAACTTTGTTTTTCTCTTACTAAAATATGATGCAAGTCCCCAATTTTAATACGACCCTGTAAAACAAACTTTGAATTGCTATCCCTTCTATAAAAATATATTGCTATGAATTTCTCATTGAGTGACGGCATAATATAAGTATATGAGTTAGGACTTTACCTTCAAAGGCTCCCAAGTACCGTTAAGTGCTGGGTCAAATGGCTGCCTAAGGGTTGCCACCCAACCCTAAAAACCCTACAAAAAAAGACACACCCACTCGAATATGACTTGCTGTGGGACAATTTTGCATTTTAATGAATTTCATAATGCGAAAATTAAGACTGACACACAAGTCACACTTCTGCGGGACAAGAGAGTCCTGTCATGCTGACATGACGTCGTAGGGTTTCCTTTTTTTTTGTCTCCTTTTCTTTTTTTTAGTTCCGAGTTCGAAGTTACCCGCTGGCTGGCTGACTGACTGACTGGCTGGCCGGAGAATAATTCCTCATTCATGAGCCTAACCCAAAAAACGAGTGACTCCGCCGCTGACGTTTTAAATATTTGACAGACAGAGTTGAGAGTTGAGTTCTTTGAAGGGGGCGAAGGACATATTGTTTTGCGGGTCTAAAATAAGTTTCGTCTCTGTGTCTTTCTTGATGGGACTTTAAGCAAAGTTTGTGCGCTGCTGCCACCCTCATCGCTTAAATTTTTATGGCCAGAGCTGGGATTTTCATGTAAATTTCAAATTTCCATGCATATTTTTCTGAGTTATTCCTATGTTGCAGCATCCTCCCTCCCTCATTTCCATCTATTTTTATCTCCTCTCCAGTTATTTTTTTGTAGCCCTGCTGCATTGTATTCGAGTTAAACTAGTTAAGAGATTTTGTCGTCAGCGGTTTATTGAAAAACTTTCCAGCTTTTATAGTTAGCTTGGGCAAGTTTCTGATATTTTTTTTTTTGCTCCTTAGCCCCTACAGGATTTCTTGGCATGACTGAATGGTAACCAATCGTTGCGGCTCATTTAATTTTATTTGCCTAGGCTAATTCGAGTCAATTTGTTTGTCTGCCCCAGCGCATTTTACGATCCTGGGCGGCGGGCCATCACTTAGTCCTCTCCAAGTCTCTAATTCTCTGCCCAGTAGTCTCCCCAACTCGGGGATAAGTTTTATTGCCGGCAGAAGTTTTTGTTGTCTGACTGCATTTGGTCCAGGCCAACAGCAGAATGAAGAAGCTGCTGGCCTAATCGGCTTTGTTTCTGGGTGAGCATGTGTGCCCTGCCCATGAATTCCTTGTCCTAGTCCTTTTTCCACAGCAGTGAGCTGGCCTCGTAATTGGTCTATGCCGAGATAATCCAGATCAGGATCAGAATCGGATTATGAACACCTTTGGCCGCTTGCTGTTTGACTCTCCGGCTCTCTGATTCGATTACCCACCGAGTTCGGTGCAACAGACCCTTGGCTATTTATCAGGGACTATTTACACTGATAAAAAAAAAGGACAATGAAGAATAATCGAACTTTAACTAAATCAATTCTGCAAATTGTTGAGAAAACATTCCTATGTTCAGCACATTATCGATAGTCGGCCTGCGAATATTTAAATCAGCTTATTTGTGCTTGTGATTTTCTCAGTGTTAAGGATTAACCCTGCATTCATTCGAAGCGCCCTTCTCCGCGCTTCTCAAGTCGCGCACTTGGGACTCGCTTGATTTCATTTTGCAATTTCTTTCGTTTATTGTTTGTGCGCTAGTTTATCTGCTGGTGGAGCTGCTCCTCCTTCAACGTATTCCGCACCTCTTCGCTATGGCAACAAGTGTTTGGCATTTGTATTGCTGATTCCCCAGTCCCCTCTCTATTTTCCGCCTGGAATGCCACTTGAGGGATAATCCTTGTGCCGGAGCACTTTTCACTTAGATAGGCGAAGAAGTTGAGTTGGGAAATTATTTTCCAGCCTTTCGCGTTCAAGGGGATTGCTTGGTCTTGGCTTGGGTGTTCGTTCTTGGCTCCTAAGACCTGGCTGCATTTTAATTGCACCTCCTGCCGCGCCGCCCACGGTTTGTCAAAGTTTTGCATCTTTCTGTGTTGGCCTTTTCTCTGAAGCGCGCACTCGCCTTCCTCACTTCATTTTTGTTAAGTTGGCGTAAATCTGCGCCCCCGACACTCCAGATCCTCCAGCTCGGCTTGCACCTGCCACAGTCAGAGTTTTCCACATCGCATTTTCCGGCTGCCTGAGCATTTCCCGGCTGCCTCAACTCTCGAGTAACATAATTTCGTAATTTCCCGAAACGCAAAAGTGATTTTAATCGCCGCTTCCTGCCATTTCCAAGGTGCCTGCACTTAGCACCCACCGCCCATCTCCTTCTATTTGTTTGTCTGTGTGTTTTTGTGCTTGTGTATGTGTGTGAGTAATTAGGTGACTTTTGGGGCGGGGGTGGGCATGGCTGTTTCACTTCCTTTCATTCGTCTGATGGCTCAATGCGATTTCCACTGCGCGAATTTGTAAAAATTTCTTTTATTTGCTCAGTCGAAGTTTCGTTGTCGTTTTCGTTTTCATTTTCATTTTACACGACCCCACCAACAGGTGGTGAATTTGGCGGAGGTCAGAGGTCAGCATAGCTTAACCCCACAACGCCCCAGTGATTGATTGCAGCGAACATTACAGTTTCGAGTTGATTGGCTTGCGACATGCCATGCTCATAAAAAGGACTTTCAAATTCCTTTAGTAAATTGGTAATGTTGGTATAGTTACTTTGGTTCCTTAAATGGGCTTAAGCTATATAATATACAGCACTTACTTATTTACAGCACTTAAATAAATAATGTCAATAAAAATGTCACAGCAAATATAAGAAACTTGCTAATTCAATAATATTTTCAAGTTCGGTTTTAAATTCGATTAAAATTTTATATTGAATATACATTTTAATCAGCAAAAGGTTTGAAGTATTGTTAAAAATGCAAGATTTCAAAATAGTTCTGGACTGGTTTTCGACATATAAACCTAATCTCCCTCTGTTCGATAACTCCCAAAATTAAGAAACGCTGTAGAGCTATTTTCGATTAATCGAAAAGTTTGTATCAAAAATTCAGCAGCTCAAAGAGAGGCGGACTTAAAAAGCGGTTCTTTTTATGCTTATTAAAATAAGAAAAGGGCGCTGCTCAAAAGGAAAACTGAAACGAAAAACCGTTTAAGTGGTGCCAAATGGGGTGGGTGGAAATTTTAGAGCCGGGCACAAAGGCGGCGGCACGAGGGTTAAAAACAATTCGCATGCTAATGTTGGACTCTGGAACGGGTGGCCACTTCAATGGCCAAGTAATGGCAATTATTGCCATCGCACGCCATTGCCCCCAGTTTTCCCACCCAGTTTTTCACACCACCACCCACTTTTCCCACTTGTCCGGCTGAGTGAGCGTTTTATTATGACTTTAAGTTGATGGCGCGGCCTCTTTAGTGGGTCAACTCGAAATTAATTACAGCCAACCCCGTTGACGCAGGCAAATGGAAATGGCACAAGAAAGTGCCTTTACATTAACAAAGATACTTCGAAATGTTCAATTTATTTGGGATAATCAAAATACAAGAAAACCACATAATTAAGTTTAGGGCTTACTAAGATGTATGTTACTAAGATGTATTCACTTCGAAGCGGTTGTTTTTCTAACTTGAACGACAAGTATATTATCTAATATTTTAATATTATATCTTGTAAAACCACTGTGATTTACTTATTTGTGAAATCAGTTACAAAAACTATTTTCATTTTTCTTTGTGTACAAGCGGCGTATACTTAACAAACATTACGTATACGCTCCGTTTGATTATTGAGCATTAATCATCACTTGCGCACTTGACTTCGATTTAGTTTAAATTTATGCTAAGCACTCCGCTTAGATGCAAGTTTTTTGTTTTATTTATTTTTTTTAGGACTCCCTGGCAAATCCTGCCACAAATTGTTTCCTTTTCTTGGGAGGTCCTTTCCGTGTTTTTAATATGCGCCTTGCGTGAGCCATAAAAACCGGACCAAAGGACCTGGAAAGTGGGAGAAGGCTGGTTGGTTGGCTACTGGCCACCGGGGCAGATTAAGCACACTTAACACGTTGCCCGGGCAAAGGAGTTATCCGGGCATATATATATATATTATTGCCCTTTAAATTTTCCATACAAAAATTAAACCCGATGTGATGTCATATTCTGCGCAGCTTAATCGTCCTTTAAGTGTATGCACTCACACAAAAGTTACTTGTTTACCTCGAGAACCCGCTTAATCATCTTTAACCCGACTTCAAGTTGGCCAGGCCTGTATTCTGTCCTGTATTCTTTCCAACCCCGGGATTTTCTCTTTCCTTTCCTTTCCCTTATTTTATTTGTTAAGCAGAGTTGATGTCTTTATGATTTTACCCAACAATTGCAACTGCAACGGCGAGCACTTAATATCTTAATGTTGGAAGGAGCCTGGGTGCTTTTTTATTATAATTTTATGCACTTATTTACATAAGCGTAGTTAACGGGAATGCGCCATCATGCGAAATTATTACGAATATTATTACATTTGCGCTACCGCCTGGAGTCAGTAGCAAAAACAGTTAAGAGCAGCCTGAGTTTCGGCCTTGAAGCGCGTGGCATTTGGCCATAACAATAAAAACAGGCAAAAACAGCAGAAACAGGCAGCCATGGTGCCACTCAAAATCCAATAAATAATTTACATTAACCAGTGGCAAGTGAAAGGGCGAGATGTGGAGCCAAATGGTCTGGGAAATGGAATCGGCAGGTGTATACCTGTAGGGATTCCATACACCTGATGCGACGATTCAGGCAGCATGATTAATTGGCCAGACTTTAAATTGGTGTAATCATAATTGCAAAAGTCAGCACACAATAAAGGGCAGAAAGTGAGTCAATGAAGCAGTCAATCAAAGAAAAAGAATCAATTACAATCAAATGAGAGCTCAGCTGATGGACTTTGGTAATGCACGAAATGAGCAGGAAAATTAATAGGCTTGATTATGATTAAATGGGAAATATAAATAAAGAATGCAATCATGCTTAAACTGCACCAATTATGTTTTTATAATATTCTTAATACATTTTCTACTGAGCGATAATCATTTTGTCACCAAAACTCAGTGCAAAACTATACTCGGTAAACACGGCGTATATTTTACGATAAATAAATAAGTAATAATAAGATAAAATAAACATTTTAAAACGGTGGGTTAATCAGTTCAATGAAAAAATGTCATATGCTGATGGCTACAAAAAACTATTTGATTTTTGATAAAAAAAAAATATCACAAAATGTAGACTAAAAAACTTTCGTTACATATTTTATATTAACATTCAAATGTTTTTTGTCACGTATTTGTCATGTTTTTGTGCTTTGAATTATTTAACAGTATTTTTCATAGGCTTACCATATGTAAATATCCCTTATTGTTTATTCATCAATAAGTTTGCAGTACATTTAATTTAATTAATTTTTGTTTCAGCTTCATAGATTTATCTTAGAGGATGAATACAGAATAAATCACCCAAACCACTTACACCCCTTACTTATCCACTAATTGCGTAGAATCTTGCCTAAAAACCCACCGTGATTTTGCCTTCAAAATTAATTGTGGCTTTATTGTAATTGAATGTGTTTGAATTCCTACAGCATCGGCTCCAATCATGGAACTGCCGCCCCAGAATGTGACCGCCTTGGATGGCAAGGATGCGACTATATCCTGCCGAGCTGTTGGATCGCCCAACCCGAACATCACCTGGATATACAATGGTGAGTTTTGCAATGCCGATTCCTTAGAGCATGATGGCTGTCGTAGTAGTCCCTAGTCCACTAATGATGATGATGCTAATACCATGTCATTCTCTTTTATTTTGCCGTTGTTTTGCTCGCTAACAAACCAATCAACCTGTAACGCTAACAAAACTGCTTGCTGCGGAACCCGTAACCACCGTATTCGCATCGTGCATCGTGCCAACCTGCCAAATAACCCAACGTCCATCCACCTGCCGAAACAATGAAATGCCCGAAACCCAGAGACCCAACTGGTGGACATATCCAGCCGGGTGCAGATACTCGAATCGGGGGACCTGCTCATCTCGAACATCCGATCCGTGGACGCGGGTCTGTACATCTGCGTGCGGGCCAACGAGGCGGGCAGCGTCAAGGGCGAGGCCTATTTGAGTGTTTTGGGTGAGTTTTAGTCCTTGTTTTCCTCCCTGTGTGGGAAAGCCATCCCCTCCTGAAAAATGTAATTGCCTGCCGCTCCGCCCGTCTGTTAGTTTCAAGTGCGTCTGTCTAGTCGGACGCCTTTGAGTGTCAGCGTTTTAGTTACCGGGGCTTTCGAGGGTTTTATGTTTTATGTTTTATGTTTTAGGTAGCACCCACCCCCCCGCGCAACTCCAGCCCCGAGATTTTAACCGCTTTTGTTTAAAGTATTTAAGCTAGTCAAAAAGCATGCAGCGTTTAAACTTTGGTTGTTTATTACTGCCCCCTTTCAAATAAAATAAGCTATACTTTCACCACTAGATAATTTAATCATTTAGTTTTTATAAATACTAAAGCACTTCAGTTACAGAGTGTGAACATTTTAACATACTGATAAAGGCTATTTGAATATTGTTAGTTTTTAAATCAAGGAGATTGATTCCAATGAGTTAACCTATAATCAACAAAAAATCCTTTTATTGAAACAAGAGTGAACAATATCAGCCTAATGGTGCAAACATTCGATCCGTTTAACAGAATTAAACTCTACCCACTGCTTTTTTTAAGCGACTAACTTGAGCAGAATATATCCTTTTGCCCCCAACTCTTCTTAACCCTATTCTGCCCCCACTCTTCTTAACCCTCTTCTGCCCCCCCACTCTTCTTAACCCTATGCTGCCCCATCAATTGTTCAATTGCAGAGCTTTGATGTTGGCACATCCTGCGACTGTTACTGAAATGCTGTCATCCGCCCAAGGAAACTCTTGTGTAACCACAAAAGAGATTCAAATTGAGTTTACTTACCAAAAATGCTCTCTATTAGACGGTTGTTTGTGCACCTGTTTTGGCCCCACTCACTCCTTAATGTGCATCTACCTCTCTATAGCTATATGATTGCCAATGACATTTTGGTGAACACACAGAAAAATATCAATTTCAACATTAGCCACTGTTCAAAATTTAATGATATTGTAGTTGGAAAGAAAAATGATGAGTATGATGGATTTCTTCGTTAAAAGTTTTTTTATATGAGATATTTTTATCAAAAATAGTTATTGAATGGTATTCAATGGTAAAGTTAATCTTCCCTTTTCTGTTAAACTAATGCACTTTTTGTTTAACTTAGTGAATATTTTGAAACGACTTGCTCGGTTTTTTTGTCCGTGTACTTGCGCCACATATTTAGGTTGCTATCTGTGCGTTAGTGCGGCCCTAACATCGCATCAAATCAACTAAAATGCATGGTCCAATGATAATAATGTATGTCATCAAAGCCGCAGCAGCCACAGCAACAACACGGCTTTATAATAATGCCAACAACCAAAGCAGTGGCAACGACAACGACAACAACGACAACGACACGATGGCTGCCATTTGAAGTGCTCCCTCCTGGGCAGCGTCAATTGCTTTTGGGATAATACGAAAAATATTCCACCATTTCCATACATTTGCGCACATATGTCTATGTTAAACGAGCATATGGCTTTGACTTTTTGTGCGTGAGCATCAGAGAACTAGAAAATTCAAATACTTCAAATGATTTTTTTAAGGGTATTTGTTGTAGCCTGCCGCTCTGCTGTTGTCCATTGTGTTGTTTGTGTAATTAAAGTTGATTTGTACATGCAATATTTTTGGCCCTGAACACACGAGTGTGTTGTGAGCATGATGTGTGTGTGTGTGTATGTGGTCCTAAAAGGCAGCATCAATGTGCGGCTAATTGGCAAAACGCCGGAATGCGGCCCGTGGACTCTGGACTCTGGACTTTGACCACCGGCGCTGATGGCAGTTTTCCATCACCATCACCCCTTTAACCAACAAAACCTCGTGGCTTTATTTGTGTGTTGCATAAAACACTGTTCCCAAGTCCGACAAAGAAATAAAAAAGAGAGACGCAAGAAGCTCTTTGTAGGCGGGTTATAAAGTTTTAAATACTCTTTTTATAAGAATGTTTGCCATTAGAGGGATTTTTTTGAGTAACTTGTTTTTAGCGACATTGCAGTAACTTTTAACGCCTTTCGCTTGACTTATAAACTAGGCATCGGAAATTTGATGTATACCTAAAATAGTTGAATTGTTTATCACAAAATAATATTTGAGGGCCAATAGGTGCATTATGTGCCATAAATAATACACCTTATCCAGGATATTCACTATTGAAAGGGTAAACCAGGTTCTTTTTTGGCCTATTCGCTCTCGCCATTCAGTGCAGTGCAGTGCTGTTCATCTCTTCTCATATGGGGAACAACTTGGCTTATGGCAAACAGACCGACCGACCGACAGCAACAAGAACAACTATAACCCATCACCACGGGCAGAACCACCATATAGCACCATATAACACCAGTTCCAGTGCCAGTGCCACCAACAATGTCTGGGCCACGGGGCGCGTTGAACTTTTGATGCATGCGGGCCAGCAAGTGACTGAAAAGGGCTAAAAAAGAAATGCCGAGCGAGAGCAAAGAAAAAAGGAAGAAAAGGCATAAAATAAATAAAATCAAAGAGAAAGCCATACATAAAGGGAACAAACGAAGGGGGCCTAAAGTGTGGGGTTAAAGACTGTGAAATACCCTTTAATGTGCGCTAGGTGGGGGAATCTGCACTGCCAAGATACAAAATTATTTGTGATATTGTTGAGTATCATAAATGCATGCCTTGTCTTACGAATGCCAAAAGGATTGAGAATAACATAAACTAAATAATAAGAGTTTTGGTATGAATTAGATTATAGATCCAAATAAGTGTTTCTGTTGCACCCCCAATAATTCGATTAAAAAGCTTTTTTTTATACCCTTGCAGAGGGTATTATAATTTTGGTCAAAAGTGTGCAACGCAGTGAAGGAGACATCTCCGACCCTATAAAGTATATATATTCTTGATCAGGATCACCTCCTGAGTTGATATAGCCATGTCCGTCTGTCCGTCTGTCCGTCTGTCCGTCTGTCCGTCTGTCTGTTTCTACGCAAACTAGTCTCTCAGTTTTAAAGCTATCGGATTGAAACTTTGCACACACCCTTCTTTCCTTTGCACGCAGTATATAAGTCGGAACGGCCGGGATCGGCCGACTATATCCTATAGCTGCCATATAACTGATTGATCGGAAATGCCATAACTTTCGTGTTTGTAAAGTTAGGAAGTTGGGATTTTCTATGGGTTTTATATTTGGCCAATCAATCCGACCTACCAAATTTCATAAGGATCGGCCGACTATATCCTATAGCTGCCATATAACTGATTGATCGGAACTGCCATAACTTTGGTGTTTGTAAAGTTAGAAAGTTGGGATTTTCTATGGGTTTTATATTTGGCCAATCAATCCGACCTACCAAATTTCATAAGGATCGGCCGACTATATCCTATAGCTGCCATATAACTGATTGATCGGAAATGCCATAACTTTGGTGTTTGTAAAGTTAGGAAGTTGGGATTTTCTATGGGTTTTATTTTGGCCCAATCAATTCGACATATTAAATTTCATAAGGATCGGCCGACTATATCCTATAGCTGCCATATAACTGATTGATCGGAAATGAAATAACTTTGGTGTTTTTAAAGTTAGGAAGGTGGGATTTTTTATGAGTATTAAAAATGCATCATATGAATAATTTTGGAGAATATAATTTGCAGAATATTCTGCAAGGGTATTTCAACTTCGGCTCCGCCCGAAGTTAGCTTTCCTTTCTTGTTTACCGATCCATTTAATAAGCACGCCCCAAAACCCATCGAATCCAGGGTGTTTCCATACGGTCTTCGTGTGTAAGTTTTAAGGCCTTTAAATTCATTTGCCCCACCTGCTCCTTGGATTCTCACCGGGTTAAGGATGAGCCAAGGGGGGCAGTTGAAAGAAGAGAGGGGAGAGGATGTGTCGACCGGTAGGCGTGCAATAAAAGTGGGCGGGGCTGTCGCGACTTGTCATTTGCCACACGACTTGCGGTCGTTTAATCTGCATTGCCGTGTTGTTAATGTGTTCCATCCCTCCGGTCTCCCGTCTCCTTTCTCCCGTCTCCTTTCTCCTGTCCCTCGTATCCTGTCTCTCGTATCCTGTCTCCCGTATCCCACCTCCTGTCCAGAGAAAGTCCTCTTATTTTTTGCTCCGTTTTTCCTCTTTTCCCGCAGTGCGGACACAAATCATCCAGCCGCCGGTGGACACAACGGTGCTACTTGGCCTCACCGCCACCCTGCAGTGCAAGGTGTCCAGTGATCCCAGTGTGCCGTACAACATTGACTGGTATCGCGAGGGTCAGTCGTCGACGCCCATCAGTAATTCGCAGCGCATTGGCGTCCAGGCGGACGGGCAACTGGAGATCCAGGCGGTGCGGGCCAGCGATGTGGGCAGCTATGCCTGTGTGGTCACCTCTCCCGGGGGAAATGAGACGCGGTCCGCCCGCCTCAGCGTCATCGAGCTCCCCTTCCCGCCCAGCAACGTGAAGGTGGAGCGACTGGCGGAGCCGCAGCAGCGCAGCATCAACGTGTCCTGGACACCGGGATTCGATGGCAACAGTCCAATATCCAAATTTATTATCCAGCGACGTGAGGTCTCCGAATTGGGTAAGTTTCGTTGGCCACTCTTATCTATACATACTTTTCGGTAGCGTAGAGTTTGTGGGTTGCGGTGGTTTTGGTTAGTATTGGATTTATGATTTATGAAAAACGAGGAGGGGTGTAAAAGCGTACACGGTTGCCATTTATAAGCAAAAATGATTGGACAGAAAAAAAGCGGCTACATCACAGTCACATATAAATACTTCCATTGTATACAAAATATATAACTCATGAACATATAGTAGAGAACACTTAAATACAAAATAACATAAGTGACGAGTACTCTTAGGTTAACTGTAAGTTATAGGAATATTACCTCTCAGCTCATCAGTTGCAGTTCTTTCTTTTCGGAAGTTTGACCGTTTCAATTACTATATATTTACGATAAGAGTTGTTTTGCAACCAGATCAAAACATTTAAGTCATATATTATACATGAAGTGGCAACCGTTGCTTAATTATAAGCTCATATAAGCTCAGGAACCACGAACCACAACTTTTGGTTAGGAAATCATTACAGACAACACAAAGGAAACCAAGATTTTGATGCGTTTCTTTTGTTCTCTCTTTTCTTCCATTAAATTTACTTTGAACACCACCAAAAACTGGAACGAACCGAAACAATACGAACTGTAAATTGATTGTTTTATATATATTGTATTTATTGATGATAACTTGTTTGTACATTTGTTTCTAATTTTCGATTGTAATTTGTTGTTTTGCACTTTGTTTTCATCGCGTTTTCACATCAACATCAACAACAACAACATCACCACACGGAACGCCCTGTAATCTACACACATTTCACCAATATAAATTATACCCAATGTGGTTCACCAACTATCGCACACAAAATAACACCAATCCCCAACATCCACCCATTCACCATAATCCCCCCGCCTGCTGTTTTTTCCAAACACATTAACATCACAGAAAAATTCGTAGGTCCAGTTCCAGATCCCCTGCTCAACTGGATCACCGAACTGAGCAATGTCTCGGCGGATCAACGATGGATCCTGCTCGAGAACCTCAAGGCCGCCACCGTGTATCAGTTTAGGGTTAGTGCAGTGAATCGCGTGGGCGAAGGTTCGCCATCGGAACCCAGTAATGTCGTCGAACTGCCCCAGGAAGGTGAGTAGTCCCGCTTCTAGGACTCTGATCATCATTATGTGCATCCCTTACTCGTATCGTAACGTATATTGTGTGTGTGTTGTGTTGCTTTCCCTAAGTTTACATTTATTTGTGAATATTTTAATTATGCTACTTTTTTTTGTTCATAAAAGCTCTTGTATTTAACGCTTAAATTTGTATAATTTATAAATAAGAATGCTTTTAATTCAATTTGACGTTTTAAAATTTATTTTCTTAGCCATCTTTAAATTGAAAATATTTCGTTCATAAATTTAAATCTGATTTTATAGTGATTATTATAAAACATTAAGTGATTCATATAAATAGTGATATATAGCCCACTTATGATCCTGTATAGTGTAAAGAACTAATGCTGAATACCCTGTATATGTATTGTACTTTTAACTGCTATCGTTGTCATCACGAAAATGAAATTTGAAAATCGCTGTTGGTCGCTGGCCCGCGCGTAGAGTTTCCGCTTCACCGAGGTATATACATATAGCCCAGACTCACGCCCCCTTAAAGCCCCCTCACACGAATCACACACACACTTAAAAAAAAAAAAAAAAAAAGAGAGATGTACAGACTCTCCTTTAAAAGGACTAAATACTTATAATAAATATACACTAATATGCTGGCTTTTCAACCCCCCACCATTTAGCTCCTTCCGGTCCACCGGTGGGATTTGTTGGCTCCGCTCGCTCCATGTCGGAGATCATATCGCAGTGGCAACCGCCATTGGAGGAGCATCGCAATGGCCAGATCCTGGGCTACATCCTGCGATATCGGCTATTTGGCTACAACAATGTCCCGTGGTCCTATCAAAATATCACAAACGAAGCGCAACGCAACTTTCTGATCCAGGAACTGATCACCTGGAAGGATTACATTGTACAGATCGCTGCCTATAACAACATGGGCGTGGGTGTCTACACCGAGGGTTCCAAAATTAAGACCAAGGAGGGCGTCCCAGAAGCACCGCCCACGAATGTGAAAGTCGAGGCCATCAACTCGACGGCGGCCAGATGCCGCTGGACTCCACCTAATCCGCAGCAGATAAATGGTATCAATCAGGGCTATAAGATTCAGGCATGGCAACGTCGCTTGATCGATGGCGAGGGGAGGGATATTGAAAGGCGCATGATGACCGTGCCCCCGAGTGTGATTGATCCACTGGCGGAACAGACGGCCATCCTCGGAGGACTGGAGAAGTTTGCCGAATACAATATCAGTGTGCTCTGCTTCACGGATCCCGGCGATGGTGTGGCCAGTGTGCAAGTGCCAGTGATGACCCTGGATGATGTGCCCGATGAGGTTACCTCTCTGCATTTTGACGATGTCTCCGATCGATCTGTTAAAGTGCTTTGGGCACCGCCACGCTTTTCGAACGGTATCCTAACTGGCTATACGGTTCGCTACCAAGTCAAAGATCGCCCGGATACACTGAAATCCTTCAATCTCACAGCGGACGATACAGAGCTGACGGTGAATCAACTGCAGGCCACCACGCACTATTGGTTTGAGATCTTCGCGTGGACACGAGTGGGCAGTGGAACCCCGAAAACAGCCACCATTCAGTCCGGCGTGGAACCAGTTCTGCCACATGCACCCACCAGTCTGGCCCTGTCCAATATCGAAGCCTTCTCCGTTGTGCTGCAATTCACGCCGGGCTTTGATGGCAACTCCAGCATCACCAAGTGGAAGGTCGAGGGTCAGACAGCGAGGAATATGACGTGGTTCACCATTTGCGAGATCAGTGACCCCGATGCGGAGACCTTGACGGTCACCGGCCTGGTGCCATTCACCCAATACAGACTGAGGCTGAGTGCCAGCAATGTGGTTGGCAGTTCGAAACCCTCGGAGGCCACCAAGGATTTCCAGACCATCCAGGCCAGGCCCAAGCATCCGCCATTCAACGTGACCGTGAGAGCAATGAGTGCCCAGCAGCTGAGAGTTCGTTGGATTCCACTGCAACAAACCGAGTGGTACGGCAATCCCCGGGGCTATAACATATCCTACAAGCAGTTGACGAAGACACCGGGCACCATCAAATACCTGCCCCGATCGGTGGTAATCGAGGATCACACGGCCAATTCGCATGTGTTGGACGGTCTGGAGGAGTGGACACTGTACGAGGTGATAATGAATGCCTGCAATGATGTGGGCTGCTCGAAGGAGAGTGGCACTGCGATAGAGCGGACCCGCGAAGCTGTTCCCAGCTACGGACCGCTGGATGTCCAGGCGAATGCCACGTCGTCCACCACAGTGGTTGTGGAGTGGGGAGAAGTGCCGCGACAACACCGGAACGGTCAGATTGATGGCTACAAGGTGTTCTATGCCGCCGCAGATCGGGGACAACAGGTGCTGCACAATACGATACCGAATAACGCCACCTTCACCACCACTTTGACGGAACTCAAAAAGTTCGTGGTGTACCACGTCCAGGTTTTGGCCTACACCAGATTGGGCAATGGTGCACTGAGCACTCCACCCATCAGAGTTCAGACCTTCGAGGATACGCCTGGCGTTCCGTCGAATGTGAGTTTCCCCGATGTCACTCTGACCATGGCCCGCATCATTTGGGACGTGCCCATGGATCCGAATGGAGAGATCTTGGCCTACCAGGTCACCTACACCCTGAATGGCAGTGCCATGCTGAACTACAGTCGCGAGTTTCCACCCTCCGATCGGACATTCCGGGCCACCGGTTTGCTTCCCGAGAAGTACTACAGTTTCAGTTGTACGGCCCAAACGCGTCTGGGTTGGGGCAAAATAGCCACTGCCCTGGTCTACACCACAAACAACAGGGAGCGGCCCCAGGCACCGTCCGTTCCGCAAATATCACGCAGCCAGATCCAGGCCCATCAGATCACCTTCAGTTGGACACCGGGCAGAGATGGCTTCGCCCCACTGCGATACTACACGGTGGAGATGCGCGAGAACGAGGGCAGGTGGCAACCACTGCCGGAGAGGGTGGATCCCCTGCTGAGTTCATACACAGCGCTTGGTCTGCGGCCCTATATGACCTACCAGTTTCGCATACAGGCCACCAACGACCTGGGACCCTCGGCCTTCAGTCGGGAGAGTGTGGTCGTGCGAACTCTGCCCGCTGCTCCGGCAGCCGGAGTGGGAGGTCTCAAGGTCGTGCCCATCACCACCACTTCGGTGCGGGTGCAGTGGAGCGCCTTGGAGACAGGAATGTGGAATGGTGATGCCGGAACCGGTGGCTACAGGATTCTGTATCAGCAGCTCTCCGACTTTCCCACCGCCCTGCAGTCAACGCCCAAGACGGATGTGCATGGCATCAATGAGAACAGTGTGGTGCTGTCGGATCTTCAGCAGGATCGCAACTATGAGATTGTGGTGTTGCCCTTCAATTCCCAAGGCCCTGGACCTGCCACGCCCCCGGCAGCGGTTTATGTGGGCGAGGCGGTGCCGACCGGAGAACCCAGAGCGGTGGATGCAGCACCCATTTCCAGCACCGAAGTGCGTCTACTGTGGAAGCCACCAAAGCAGAGCATGCAGAATGGCGACATCCTCGGCTACAAGATCTACTACCTGGTCACCTACTCACCGCAAGCCTTGGAGCCCGGCCGCAAGTGGGAGGAGGAGATCGAGGTGGTCTCGGCCACAGCCACTTCACACAGTCTGGTGTTCCTCGACAAGTTCACCGAGTATCGCATCCAGCTGCTGGCCTTCAATCCGGCCGGAGATGGACCAAGATCGGCGCCAATTACCGTGAAAACGCTGCCGGGAGTACCGAGTGCTCCACTTCTCCTTCGATTCTCCGATATCACCATGCAGAGCTTGGAGGTCACCTGGGATCCACCAAAGTTCCTCAACGGCGAGATCCTGGGTTACTTGGTCACCTACGAAACCACTGAGGAGAATGAGAGTAAGTTCTAAACATGAGTTTAATCTGGGGATATTAGTTAATGATAACCGCAATCTTTTTTACCCACAGAGTTCAGCAAACAGGTGAAACAAAAGGTATCGAATACGACACTTCGCGTGCAGAATCTGGAGGAGGAGGTCACGTATACGTTCACCGTCCGTGCTCAAACGTCCGTGGATTACGGGCCGGGTGTGAGTGAAAATGTGACGACTGGACCCCAGGATGGATCACCGGTGGCGCCGCGTGATCTCATCCTGACCAAGACGCTGTCCAGCGTCGAGATGCACTGGATCAATGGGCCGTCGGGAAGGGGACCAATTCTGGGCTATCTCATCGAGGCCAAGAAGCGAGGTAAGTTTTTGCGTTTCCCTACTGCAAATTGTAGAATTGGTTTTGGACTTGCTCTTACTACATAATCTCTACGTATTCTTTTTGGATCTCTCCTCTTTTCCATTCGATCACTCTTTGGTGACTTGGTTCTAAAATGACAAAATCTTTCCAAAAACTATAATAACAAAAATTACTCTTTTGCTTGCGTAGAAAAAGGAGAGCCGTCATTTGTTTGTAAGTATTGCTGTCCATAGAAAGTAGAATTTAAGTAATCCTAGTCACATCCTAACTCAATCACAAGAGAACTAATCCCATCCTGACAGGAATTATCATATTAAATTATGCCTGAACTAACCAAAACTAATGCAAAACAAGAATGGGAGCAAAGCTTCTACCCTTGCAGCTGGTACAAAAATTAAATATTCTACAATTCGATTTCGATGGGTAAATAAAGACGAAAAATCGACCCGAAAATATAAACCAAGATTTCAACACAGATTTTTAGATAATCAAACTATAATCATTTAGAGATATGCCACTTTGAAATCGGATGGCTGTAAAAAAAGTTATGGGCTTAGAAGTGCAGGTTTTAGGTCACTTTTCTGCAAACCCATTTTTTGAAAATTTGGAAAGGGGTTACATCATTGAAACTGACTAAAAATCGACCCAAAAAAAAAAAGTAAACCAAAAACATAGATTTTTAGGGAATTGGACCACAATCATTTTAAGATATGCCACTTTGAATTAGGATGTCTGTAAGAAAAGTTATGGGCTTAGAAGTGCAGGTTTTAGGTCACTATTCTGTAAACCCATTTTTCCAAAATTTGGAAAGGGGTTACATCATTGAAACTAACTAAAAATCGACCCAAAAAAAAAAAAGTAAACTAAAAACATAGTTTTTTTGGGAAATGAACCACAATCATTTTAAGATATGCCACTTTGAAATCTGTAAAAAAAGTTATGGGCTTAGAAGTGCAGGTTTTAGGTCACTTTTCTGCAAACCCATTTTTTGAAAATTTGGAAAGGGGTTACATCATTGAAAATGACGAAAAATCGACCCAAAAAAAAAAAGTAAACCAAAAACACAGATTTTTAGAGAATTGGACCACAATCATTTTAAGATATGCCACTTTGAAATAGGATGTCTGCAAGAAAAGTTATGGCTTCAGGAAATCAGTTTTTAGGTCACTTTTCTGCAAACCCATTTTTCGAAAATTTGGAAATGGGTTACATTGCTTAAAATGATTAAAAATCGACCCAAAAAAAAAAACTAAACTGAAAACACAGATTTTTAGGGAATCAAACCACGATCATTTTGAAGTATGTCACTTTGAAAAAGGATGCCTGTAAGAAAAGTTATGAGCTTAGAAGTGCAGTTTTTTGACACTTTTCTGCAAAGCAAAAGAAATCAAGAATATATATTCCTTGTAGGGTCGGAAATATTTCCTTCACTACGTTGCAAACTTTTGACTGAAATTATAATACCTCCTGCAAGGGTATAAATATTGCCGAATTATTCTTTAAATTTACTTCTTTAAGAATATGTTTAATTTGCTTTAAACCTTAAAAAAATTAACCTACTGCATTTTACTTGCCTAAAGACCCTTCGAAACCGTAATATATAATTTATCCCTGATATTTATTTATCGCCATTAAGTTTCCCTGAATATTGAAATATCTTCCAAGCGAAAACCTAACTCTTATCTCCTGCCAATCATAGACGACTCCCGCTGGACGAAGATCGAGCAGACAAGGAAGGGAATGATGCAGGACTTCACGGTCAGCTACCACATCCTGATGCCCTCGACGGCGTACACATTCCGTGTGATCGCCTACAATCGCTATGGCATTTCGTTCCCCGTGTACTCCAAGGACTCGATATTGACGCCGTCGAAACTTCACCTGGAGTACGGCTACCTGCAGCACAAGCCCTTCTATCGGCAAACCTGGTTCATGGTCTCCCTGGCGGCCACTTCGATTGTGATCATAGTGATGGTCATTGCGGTGTTGTGTGTCAAGAGCAAGAGCTACAAATACAAACGTGAGTGTGCGCTTTGGGTTTTACATAATGGATTATTGATCGATCTCTTATTGAATTGCAGAGGAGGCACAGAAGACTCTGGAGGAGTCCATGGCCATGTCCATTGACGAGCGACAGGAGTTGGCTCTGGAGTTGTATCGCTCCCGCCACGGCGTTGGAACAGGCACCCTCAACAGTGTGGGCACTCTGCGCAGCGGCACCCTGGGCACCCTGGGCAGGAAGTCCACCAATCGACCTCCGCCGGGTGTTCACCTCGGCAAGAGCCCGCCACGCCCCTCGCCCGCCTCCGTGGCGTACCACAGCGACGAGGAGAGCTTGAAGTGCTACGACGAGAACCCGGACGACAGCAGCGTAACCGAGAAGCCCTCGGAGGTGAGCAGTTCGGAGGCATCGCAGGTGAGTTGAGGGAAAAACAGTGACCAAGTAAAATATGCTAACTAAACGTAGAACAAAGTGCATTTTAAGCTTTAAGCGATCTCAAAAACTCCTTTTAAAATAGCTATAATCCCTACTAACCCAACTAAATTTCAAATTCATTATGGTTCTTGGAAGCAACCAGCGAATTATTATAAACAAACATATTTTACTAAGGACCGTTTGCCTGCTTGATGAATATTATGCTCAAGACATGTGGACTAGATCGTGTTTCCCTCATGTTTTTAAGTTTGTATAATGTCTTGAGTTTCCAAAAATGGTGGAATTATTGAATGATAAGTAATTTGAATATTTTATATTTACTTTGCAGCATTCGGAGAGCGAGAACGAGAGCGTGCGCAGCGATCCGCATTCGTTTGTGAATCACTATGCCAACGTGAACGACTCACTGCGGCAGTCGTGGAAGAAGACCAAGCCGGTGCGGAACTACTCCAGCTACACCGATTCGGAGCCGGAGGGCAGTGCAGTGATGAGCCTCAATGGTGGCCAGATTATCGTCAATAATATGGCCAGATCGAGGGCACCACTGCCCGGCTTCTCGTCGTTCGTCTGACAATCAACCGAGTTCTAAGATCTAAGCACCAGTAGCAACGGCACCGTCATCCGCGAGACCTTTGTCTAGGTTTGTCCACGAGGAGGATAAGGCGGGGGTGGTCCGGAAATGGGAGACGGAGCTGGGGGCTTGGCTGGGGGCGATCCATATGGAATATGGAACAAGGAGGACGAGGACGAGGACAACCACATATCAGACTGATCCAGCAGGACCTCCGGGCCTCAGCCCCTCCAGCTCTCCGACGATGCGCTGCTACAGGGATATATACATATTACTAAATAACAGACAGACATTCGGTTAGGTTATCCTGTATGCATTTAGTTTTAGTTTCTAATTACGAGAGATCTGAGATTTGCGAGCATTTATGTACTACCCACACTGTGTTGTGTGTTTGTGTTCTAGTGTTTCTGTTTCAACTGAAAATGTTTTTTATTCAGAAATGTCTCTAAAGCCTTTTTAATCTGTATCATTCTTAGACTGATCTGTATAGCTAAACATTTTAATTTAAGACTGTGGCACTAGAACACCAATGCAAAACACAGTGGGCGAAGCGCATTAGTTTTAGCCTGTGTTTCCCACTGTGTTTCCCAGCAGGACTCTGCTCCTATTTTGTAGTATTTATTTACGGGTGTGCAGTGTGAGTGCGGTGCTGTCTGCCACACCTCCAAACAATGGCATTTAATCGAAGGGGCGCGAATCGAATTCAATCCGGATACGAATCCGAATCCGAAATCGAATCTTGTGATAAACCGATTTCTCGCGCCCGGTAAAGTTTAACAAATGATTTCCAAGTGTGTTCAGCGCGTGGCAGGCAGATTGAACTTTTGAGTGACTGTGAGTGTGAATGAGCTACATACGCGTTTAGTCTGGCGCAATCTCATTATTTTTAAAACGACAAAAAAGTTATGTTTTAATTTTTATTTTATTTTTTTTGTGTGTGCGAATACAACTAGTTAATCTAGAAGTTTGAAGGAGGAGACGAAACACCGATGCAATCGGTGGTCTGAGTAGAAGAAACCGAGACAAAAAGTTCAAGAGAAACACAAAAAAACACAACATGAGGAGACATGCAAACGAAAAACAAATAATCATATCTTATAAGCAAAGATAAATGTATTTTTTTTTTGGACAGGCAAACGGATGAAGGCTATAGCTATTGGAATGAGCAGAAATCGAACGAAGAAGAAGGCTTAGGATACGTATATTCATCAGATACATTGATAGGCCATATTAATGCAATTTCTTTACCACGTAAGCCCACAAACGAAAGCAACTGTAACACACAAAGCAAACAAACAAACGAGCGAGCAAACATGCAACTAGCAGACCTGCAGCAAACTCAAACAAACGAGGAAAAGATTCTTTTCGAGCGCATGCGCAGCAGACTTAGCACTAAGTACGATCAGTGCGATCTTAGTAGATGTAAGATGCATTTTTTTTTGTTAGTTGGGCCCAGTCCCTCCGGGGGGACTACGCCCTGGTACTCTAGCTCATAACTCTTCGATTGTTCAACCCCCGACGCTTAGGTGTAATTGTACTTGTAATTGTATTTGAATGCAGTTTATATTTATGACTATATTTATATATCGATGTATACATGTATATCTAAAAACTTAAACGACTGATTATATATTTTCCCCCGATTAGTTGTATACTTAACTCCTTTTTTGTATTGTAATACCTACGCATTAATTACATATTAACTACGTTTAGACCACTTTGGCGCCCTCTGAAAAGAAATGGGAGTGGAAAACCGGCGGAGTTTTCCCCCAATCGCAAGCTAATTTCAACTTCAAAGACTCGAAGCACAAGTTCATCTAGTTAAGTAAATGTAATTGTAATTGTTGAATTGATGATCGAAGGATCGAAGGATCGGCGTCCTCCACTAATTGAGGATGCAAGTCGTTTGATGTGGAGGAGGATGGAGGATGGCTTTTAGGGATCGAGAGAAGGAAAAGAAAAAGAAGTTGGAGAAGGATAAGGATAAGAAGATGTCGGAGCTCAATGATCTTGACTCGGGGCTAGTTGAAATCCGTGCAGCAAGCGCAAAGTATTAGAATATTGATAAAAACAATTTAAATGTGTAAATGTAATTGATGGAGCATACGAATATGAATCAATAAAAGAACATGAAATCAATGTAAAAAAAAGGTCTTTAAACTTTTAGCATGTAATCCCCTAAATTAAACTAATTTTTCTTATTTTTCCAGCCTCTTGCTATTTATTTTATGTCTATTTAAAATAAGAGAAAAAAAATGTAGGTCTGTCGGTAGGCGTTGACTTGTATATGCAGGGATGTTCCAGAAATCGCTGACGATTGGCGCGTCAAATGTCTTTCAGTGTACCAGAGTTTTACCTTAAAATTGCTCAGACTTTAGAATACACCTATTTTTTGAATGGCCTTAAATCCTTTAGGCAAAATTTAAGCTTCCTGGGACACTGAGACTTGACCAGCGGCTGGCGACAATTTCTGGGACACCCCCGAGAGTGACGAATCAGTCAACGAGTGGGTGGCTTAATACTACAGAGTCTGCTTGCTTTAGGCGGGACTGTCAGAGGTCGTCTCCTGCGTTTCCGGCTGGGCCTTGGTGGCACCCTCCTCCTGTCCCTGTCCCTGTTCCTGCTCCCCCTCCTCCTCCTCGTCCTCCTCCTCCCCCTCGTTCTCTGTCTCGCCATCAGCATCCGCTTCCAATTCCTGACTCTCGATGTGACGAGCCACCGGCTGGGACTTGAAGGCCGTGGTGGCTGGAGTGGCCGGATGAGGTGGTGCGGTGGCCACTGGTGAGGATGAGACCAGACTGGGCACGCTCACAGGACACATGCAGGGCACAAATTGGATGCGACTGCCGCCGGCACCCTGATCCGACATCAGATTCTGGTGCGACTGGTAGTTGAAGTAGTCCGGATACGGATACTGGGGCCTGCCGTTGTAGAGGTTGCTCAGCCGGCGATTGTACGTGGGATACTCGCCGAAGCGCATCAGACTGGAGGTGGATCCCTCGGAGAAGCTGCTGCTGGTGGATTGGGGCGGCGGAGGAGGGGGTGGGGGCGTGGTCGTCGTAGTGGTAGTACTGCTGGTCGTGGTCGGTGCCGGAGTGGTCGTCGTCGTCGTGGTGGTCGTCGTCGAAGTGGTTGTGGGCGCGGGAGTGGTGGTGGTGCTGGTGGTGGTGCTGCTGCCCACGGAGGCACTGCTCAGCCCCGCCGGAGGAGTCACCTCCGGCCTGGAGACGGAGTCATGGCGCCGGGCAGCCGCATAGCTGGTCACCGCATACGGATCGTACTGGCCACCCGGGAGCAGGGGCGTCTGGGCTGCCCCGAATCCAAAGAACCCAGGTCCCAGCGGCTGGTAGGTGTAGGTGCGGAAGTAGGTGAGCGGGATGTGCTGCAGCACCGGACCACTTGGCTCCCTGGTCTCCCTACAAAAAAGCACAGGTGATGTTGCAACCATATTAACTTGCACCTTCAATACTCACGTTGTTGTCTTTGGCCACCAGAAGCCGTTGGACAGTTCGCAGCCTGCCAGGATTAGAGTGATCTAAGGAGGGGAAGGAGTGAAGATGGCTTAATTCGCTTGCAGAGGGATAAATACTTGGTAAGTCCGACATTTCCCTAGTCGATAAAACTTTCAAATTTCAATTCAAAGTCATATTCCCCTTTAAATATTTGTTCAATTTAATCCTTAAGATTAATTGGCCCTTTTAATACTATTAACATTCAACAGAAATTTTTTATTCACTTGCTCAATCTCAACATATTTAAAATAACCAAACTCGTATAACGTTGCCACAACAAGAACATTTATATTTATAGAGAATTTAAGTTACAATTTATACTATTTTTTTGGCAGTCAAACTATTTTCATTTTGTTAGTTTCCGATTTAAGAAACATCAAACCAAACATAAACAGAATCCTTTTTTCGTGGTGGAAGTTCGTATCACTTGTGTCATAGAAAAACTTCGTGGTCTTTTTCAGTAGGCAAGGATATTTGAAAGCAAGTCAATCCTTTTTTACTTTTTTTCCACATACCACAAAGTATAGCCACATTTTGCTTGTACGTTGCACTTCACTGGATGAATGTCCCTTTATCCTTGGGGAACAATTAAAAAATATGAAAAAAAAAGGAAGTGATCCACTCGCGTTCGCGGTTGCCTTTGTTCTAAGCCCAAAAAGAGTCGCGGCTCGAGCTTTTATAGCCGAAAACTAAAAACTGAAAACTGGGAATGGGGATCGGTTGGGATCGGTTGGGATCGATTGTGTGGCCCATGGCGATGCTGGGCAGAACAGAAAAGCCGCCACCAACCGGGTTTTTCCTCCAATGGAAAAGAGGGGGGGAAATAGGAAAAGTGGAAAGGGGAGTCTGGAGTCTGGAGTCTGGTGTTTTGGAGTTTGAAGTTTGGAGTGAAGACCCCTTGTAGAACAACGAGAAAATTAATTGCAGGCTGCAGAGCGAAAACTAAGCTGGGAAATCAATAATAATAATGAACGGGGGAACAACAACAGCATGGAGAGGCGGATCATTGACAAAGTGATTGAATGAATGATGGAGCCACTGACAGAAAAGTAGAAGGGGCACGGTTCTTGAAAGGGCCGCATCCATTCGATTGGCCATAAAAATTTGTTGATGACTCTTCTTCGGCCTTCCTCCCTCCCCTTGCTTTTTAACACATTGAAACTTTGTTTTCCTTTCTGATTTTCTGTGTTTTGAGTTCTGGAATTTGGGTCAGTCGACGCCTTCAGCCTCAACAGTTCGATTTGCACGATGGGTTATGCAACTTTGGGTCACTCAATATCTCAATAGAGTAGAGTGTGGTTCCTATTCTTCACTTTCCAATTTACGACCGCCTTTTCAGAGACCGGGCTCTTTTCTGTGGCCCAGGAATTTATGGCTGACCTTTATGGCTTGTAAAACTGTTCCACTATTCCGACCCATTACAATCTAAACTGTCTCATGGCTCCATCTGAATGGCCATATGTAGAGAGGCGTTAATGGTCATCTCGGGATGATTGTCATAATCACAAACTGGGTTCTTTTTTTCCCCCATCCGTTCCCCCAAATGATTCTATACTTGTACGCTATCTTATCTCATCAGTTGTTCTTTACTCTTAGGTGTATGACTAATTAGGGGATTTATCTCCGCGGTCGGAAGCCATTCTCAATGTACTTGGAGGTGTAGTACCTGGTCTGGTTATCCGTTCCCAGTGAGCGGTGGTGCGGTCCCTTGTAGCTGAAATTCAAGAGCGATTCGTAGTGTGTAGTAATACATTATGAATGCAAGAGAGCACCAACTCACCGTGAATTCAGAATGAACCAGGTGCTGGGCTCCCGTTCCGCCGAGCTCCTCTTCTCGATCCGCTTCTTGGATGGATTTTGGAGCAGTTTGCCCAGCGTGTAAACCGGGAAGGCGTAGTACTCCCTCTTGAGTGCGTAACGCGAGCTCTGGCGCACGGGCGGTGGTGGTGGTGAAGTGGTGCTGGTCAGGTGCTGCTCCACCACTGGTCGCTCCAGACTCTCATCGAAATAGACGATCCGAAAGGGTTCAGTGCTGCTGGCAGTGGAGGTTTCCGTTGGCTCCAGAGGTAGCTCCACTTCCGTTTCGGCCTCCTCTTCTGCCAGCCAGTCTGGTTCACCCATCTCCTCGTCATCGAGATCGGCCAGCTCCTGATGCTCCTCCAGTTCCGTTTCCCCACTGGCGTACTCTCGGTGGTTGCTGTTGTGCCCAGTGGATCTTCGCAGGACAGTCTGCCACTGCATCACTTCTTGGGGGGAGTGGAAGGCTTCATATTGCTTGGCCTTCTTCCTTTTCCGCTTGCCCAGCCGCACCATCTCCTCGATCCTGGGCAGCTGTGTCTCGTAGGACGGCGGAGTGGGTGGCGGAGTGGGCGTGGTGGTTCTGATCGTTGGTGCACTAGTGGTGCTGGTCAGACCCGGATCCCCGATGGCCTCATGTGCGTAAAAGGGTATCAGGGTCAGGTTCATCATCTCCTGCTGTCCCGGCACTCGCAATCGCTGGACAATCGGCTTGGGCCGGAACATGGGCGTCGAGGGGGGATAGAGCACTTGACCGGGAACCGGCTCCTGCATGGGATATCGCCTCCTACTCAGCATGGTGTTCAGTATCAGCTCCCCCCTGGTTCCGTTGTAAACGAAAATGGGATAGTCATCCAGGGAATTCTCCCCGGGACCATTGTCGAAAACGGGCAGATGCCGACGGTGACTCCTGGTCTGCGCGATCGCTGGTTGCACGTACTGATGGGGCAGCTGCAGGCGATGGGGCATCATGAAGCGTCGCTGGGGTAATGAAGGGGGAAGTCTTGGAGGAGGAGGAGGAGGAGGAGGCGGAGGAGACGGAGGCACATCCCGATCTTCATGTCTAACCAGAAAGGTGACGGGTCTGGGTTCGGGTGCCACACCTCCTCTTCCTCTTCCCTGCCGCCGGATCATCAGCGGAGTTATCCTGGTTGTCGTCTCATAATCCGCTTCTTGGCGATCCTGTCTCTGCCGCTTGGCCAGCCCATCTTCCAGTATCCAAAGTGGACGATGCTCGCCCGCCAAGTAGCTTTGCCCCAAGGTGACCTCAATCCAAAGTACTAGCACAATCCAAGGCACCTCCATTTAGTGCGACGAATGTGTGTGAAATGGTCAACTTGCCACTCTAATCCATCACTTTATACGGCTTTAGTTGGACACTTGGATTCGGGTTGCTTTTGGTTTCTGGCCGATGGCGTAACTAACTTTCGTTTTGGGCGAAAATCGCACAACTCGTTCTGAGTGGGTCGCCCAAAGGTCGCCGAGTGGGTCACCACTCGGTGTAATGTAGGTCCGAAACCAGAAAGAATTAATGCCTCCTAACTTGGCACTGATTTAGTGCTTAAATGTATCAAAGAGAGTTACTCATTTCGCAACTCAATTTTGTGGTAGACTTCTTTTAAACCCATTTATTCCTATATTCAGAACGCATTCTTATTTACAATGTGTTTAATATCAACATAAGAAGGATAGATTCACATCTTATGTCCTACTTTTGCCCAACGCAAACATAATAAAAGACTTATTTTATGCCACATTTAAACGAATGATCTCTATATCTCTAGAGCCTCCCATTCCCCAGTGGCATCTCTTGTCAGGGATTTTCGGTGTCTGGTGGTTTTGTCAGGAGTTGGACAGCTGCCAACTTCGCTTCAGCATCAATGGAGCCAGCTATTTTCCATTTCCATTTCAAACTCCATCTCCATGGACCATCAGCTGTCAAAACTGGCATTAATCAAAACACTCTTAACCGATTCCCTCTGTTGCGGTGGCCTGCTCCTCCTTCGGTTCTCGGTTCTCGATTCTCGGAGCAGCGCAGTGGAAGTGAATTTTCGGGGACTCTTTGATGGGCAGACGGAGAAGACCTTCGCGCCGGGACTTTACACAGATAGAAAAACAGCTCGATATCAGTTTAATATTCCCAAGACGGAAATGTGCAGGTTTATATCAGGTACTCAAACAAATTCGCTATTTGATACCTTTATTTTATTTCTTAGTTACAAAAGTCTCAAACAGAAAATCCTTTTTGCCTTCGCCCACAAACTATAATAACATCTGCAAATGCGAAACATAATAAATAGAAATCCCAGTTGTCTTTTTGGTTTCTGATTAATATTGTTTATATATTTTTGATGCGACTTCTGTTTCCACTGCTGCACTTTGAAGGTTTTCTAGCACTCCCCTGATTATAATCTTATAATTTTGATATTTTATTAGATATATTTCTGTTTCTATTGTAATCATTTAACTTGAAAAACTCTCATGTCGTATCCATTTTCTTCGAGTGCAGAGCTCTGTTTTCGGTTTTGACCGCCGCCTGTTCTGGGCCAACTTGTTCTCGTTTCTCAAGGGCCACAAGTGTGCAACAAGTGGAACATTCTGACCGAAAACGGGGTTAATAGCCTCTGACGGACGGACAACTGCAGGCGGTCGTGAGTTCTCACTTTGGAGCAGCGGCCCCACAATGAAAATGGGAAATGGAAAATGGAAAAATGATTGATTAGCCCTGTAGATCGCGGCTTTGATCGATCAATCGGCGCTTGCATGTGGCATTCTACATGTTGTGCTTACTTGTAAAACTCGTACTAATTACGGATGGATAAAATGCGTTTTTGAGGCGGGAATGGGAATGGGGATGGCAATGGGATGGGGACTCCATGTGGGATCGGGATCGGAATCTTTGTGTGATCTCCAGCCGGGTGGAAAGACGAGAAATTGCCCGGGCCAAATGGATAAATAAATCGAAAAGCGTTTTCTCCCATCGATCCATTCATGGATGATTTGATGTGATCATCCTCCTCTTCGCTCCGAACTCCCATTTCAATTCCGATTGCGTGACTTGACAGCATTATTAGGTAAGGAGTCGTACGGTGTGATTCCTGGCTTGGATTAATTCGCTTTTAATGGCCTCTAATGCGTTTTAAATTCCCCCCTGCCTGTCCACTGTCCACTGAGCAATGTCATAAATTCCACACATCCATGGAGCATCCATCCATGCCAGATGTACGTCACGCCAACCCGTGCCCATAATTAACAGCCAGAAATATTTGGACAATCATAAAACACACGCAGACGGACAAAGAAAGGCATCTAAATCACAGGGAAATCATATTTGACACCGGCAATTTGTTCTATGCATTTCGGTATAGAATGCATTTTATGTAAATGAAAGTTGTCCTCAATCTGGAGGTCGTATCTGGTATCTCTGATTGATGTCCGGTGTGCCGTGAGCTATGAACAATAAACCAATCAAGAGGCAGAATATGTCAAACGATTTGTTTGTCCATTGTGCGGCTCCTCCTCGCTTTCCTCCTCGTTTTCCTCCTCATTTTCCTCATCTTGGCAGTGTGTTTACATGGGCGAGGAACATCATTAATGCGATGCACAGATAAGCAATCTAATGGATGCGATTGTGCCTTGTTCTTTGGTGTTCGCTAACCAGAGTATTAGTTCTTAAATAGTTAAGTAAGTCCAAGTTCTAGAGTATTCCTCTATATCAACACCATTTTGTAAATGCATTAAACAAGTATTTATTATAACACCTATAATTTGAAAGAGCCATCTTCTATAACTTTATAATTAAAAAGTAATTTCAATTTTCTTGACTCAAATGCCCAATTTGCTGTCCATTTCGTATTTGATTACTAAATAAAAATTTAATAAATAATAAACATTTTACCCCTCTTGAAGTACAGACATTTATGATTGTTTATTTGCTCTACTTTGATTAGTTACTTAAATACGGCTATCGTTCTGCCAATCAAACAACCCATATATAATATTAGATTTCTCGCATTCAGTTATCTTATCTAAACAATTTGTCCATCTGCCTATAAGCCCACTACAATATATAACTCTGAGTGTTTTCAATTGCCATGTCAAATGCTTGTGTTATCTCGGAGATACTTCTGTTTCCATCTTGAATGTTCTAATATTATTCTCTTGGGCAGCATGTGTTTTCGGCTGTCTTTGACTGGAGTTTTCTATACCTGCTACCTGTTGCAAGGACTTGGAGTGTTTTTCTGAATTGAGGCTGCTGTTCTACTCTTTTAACCTTTGTGTAGAATTTTTCCATAGTCGCACAAATAGCTTTCTTTGGTCCGATATCTTGAGCTTTCTGCTGGCTGGGATCGCCAATCTGCTGATGACGAAGACCCCGAGTGGAAAAGCTCTCCAACAACCCCGCGATCTGCGTGAGCAAATTCAATTAGCGAGTCGCGTTCCAGCACATGTGGCTCTCTCCTCGTATTCCGATTTCGATTCCCGATCCGAATCCAAATCCGGCGAAAGCTTCGCCCCGACCCCGTTCCAGTACTCCCAGTGCTAGAATCATCGCATTTCGCCTCCCTCTCTGCACAGAAAGAAAAATGTATATGATTTACTTATGGTTTTACATTCTATAAGTGATATATGTCAAAACAGTATTTTCAATTCCTTTTATTATATCAGTATGATATCATTATTATATTCAAATAATATATTACATTAATTTGATTAATCATCGAATTTCGCCTTCCTCTCTGCACAGAAAGAAAAATTTATATGATTTACTTATGGTTTTACATACTATAAATGGTATATGTCAAAACAATATTTTCAATTCATTTTATTATATCAGTATGATATCATTATTATATTCAAATAATGTATTACATTAATTTGATGCTATATCAAATTTGGATTGCCAGCATTGTCCACTCGTAAACAAAAGGCAAAAAGAAAACTACTTTTTCAAATTGACTTCGCAGTGTTTTCTTTCTGTGTGGTCTTTTGTCTTCGACACAAGCAGCTGCCTCAACCTCGAGCTCAGTGCGAATTGCGTTCTCGAGGCGTGCGGTGGCGGTTCCTTAGTAGTTTTCCGGCTCTGTCCCAATCTATTACCCCTCATTGCTCACACGCAGTTGGCTCTGGGTGAAAAGTGACAGCGTTCGACAGTCCTGCTTCCCGGTGGAGCTGCTAGTTTTTCCCAGGCATTCGGACAGAGAAGTGTGGCGAAGGGAGAAGGGGGAGTCGCAAGGATGGCCGCCCAGCAGCAGGATATCTCGCACGCCAAGCGCGCCGCCTTCCAAGTTCTGGCCGGCGGTTCGGCTGGCTTCCTGGAGGTCTGCATCATGCAGCCCCTCGACGTGGTCAAGACCCGCATCCAGATCCAGACCACTCCGGTGTCCAGTGCCTCAGCTTTGGGAGAGGTGAGTTATCATGGGGCATAGGCAGGTATTCCTCCAGAAAGCAGGTCGACTTGGGTATAAATTACCAGACAAATTAATAGCTTCTGGAGCAAAGATACATGTAGCTAAAACACACAAAGATCACAAAGATTGTTCTGTAGTAAGCCTATGAGCCAATATTGTTTCCCAAAAGATTCTCTAGACAGCATAGATATTTCTCAGATTATATCGTTTATGTAAGAAGAAACACAGATATATAGAAATATTGGACACTAATTAATCACCTCGGAATTCAAGAGACATGAACAGATTGTCCATATCTTGATATGATCCGAAGAGGCTACTCCAAAGATATATATCTTCTCCCATCAGCTGTGGCTTGTTTTGGTTTTGTTTTTTTGGGGCTGGGGCTGTTCGTTTTTGGATAAGGGCAAAGCAAGGTCACGGACACACGCTCCCCAGTTTGTCTATGCTGAACCAGCAGCTCTCTCTGTGTTTACATTTCTCGAGCCAAGGGCCAGACAATCCATATTTATCAGCAGTCGAAGCGAAACGCCGCGCCGAACCAGCTTATCAGCCACGTTTATAAATATATATAATATATGTATATATGGCTCAAGCAGTCCCCAATCCAAATCGAAATCGGAATTATGCGCTGATAGCAGTCGGCACTTTCGATTCCGTTCCGACACTGGACACGCGTGTTGGCCATTAATTTTCGGTTTGGCTTTTGGGGGAAGTGCGTGGGAAATCGCAGGTGCAGCACCTAGTTGTAGCTCCATTCCTAGGAATTTGAACTGGAGAAACTGGTACAAGTGAATTGGGAGGTCCACACCTGCAAAGCCTATCTAATCTGGGTGTTTTCTGGGCCCTGTTTTCGGAAATCTTTATGCTTAGAGGGACTTAGATAAGGCTAAAACAGAGCTAGATTTTCTGGAATAATTGTTATGATATTAAAGAAGTTGCAAAAAATTAGATAAACAAATGAGCTAAAAAGACAAAGAAAGAAGAGTCTCTCAGATTATTTCTGCTTAGACTTCAGCGAAGATATAGGTTTATGGGAAACAATATTTTGTGTGCAGCCCCAGCATAAAAATGTCTTTATTTTGCGACACCATTTCGCATCTTTCAGTCGAGGAGGCGCGATGATTAAACAAATTTACGACTGCAAATGAAAGCAGTCGGAAAAAGTGGGAAAAGGGGTTGGAGGGGACGGACAGGGGGAAATTAGCACAAATACAACAGATAAATATGTGCGGACAATGCACGCAATTGCCCGTGGATAAGTTCCAGTTTTGCGTGTTGCGAAGAAAGAGTGCATAGAACAAAAACAAATATTTAGCAAGCAATTTATTTAAATATAATGATAATATAGTATATTTTCTAAGTTTAAATCAAAACTTGAGCCCCTTCCCTTTCCACCTTTAAAAACAATATACTTATGAACTTTTCGCTACTTTTCAGCTGCACTACAATGGCGTGTTCGACTGCTTCGCCAAGATGTACCGCCATGAGGGCATCACCTCCTACTGGAAGGGGATTATGCCGCCGATCCTGGCGGAGACGCCCAAGCGGGCCATCAAGTTCCTGGTGTTCGAGCAGACGAAGCCGCTCTTCCAGTTTGGCTCGCCCACGCCCACCCCATTGACCTTCTCGCTGGCGGGACTGACGGCCGGCACCCTGGAGGCCATTGCCGTGAATCCCTTCGAGGTGGTCAAGGTGGCCCAGCAGGCGGACCGGCAGAAGAAGATGCTCAGCACGTTCGCGGTGGCCAAGGGCATCATCAAGCAGGACGGACTGGGCTTCCGAGGACTCAACAAGGGCATCACCGCCACCATGGGACGCAATGGGGTCTTCAACATGGTGTACTTCGGGTTCTACCACAGCGTGAAGAATGTGGTGCCCGAGTACAAGGAGAACCACCTGGAGTTCCTGCGCAAGGTGACCATCGGTTTCCTGGCCGGCACGCTGGCCTGCTTCGTCAACATCCCCTTCGATGTGGCCAAGTCGCGCATCCAGGGCCCACAGCCTGTGCCCGGCCAGATCAAGTACCGCGGAACCCTCAGCTCCATGGGCATTGTTTATCGCGAGGAGGGATTCCGGGCTCTGTACAAGGGACTCGTGCCCAAGATTATGCGTCTGGGCCCGGGCGGTGCCATCCTGCTGCTGGTCTTCGAGTACTCCTACGACTACCTGCTGCACAACTACTCATAGTGGCCAAATCCCCAATGTCCCCCATCTAGATATTACTATTCTTTTTTTTTACTTGTATATTCATAGGTAGTCGAGAGGGAGTTGCATTTGAACGCTAGACTTGCGATTGTGATTCGTAATTAAATATGAAAATAAAATATGTTTTGTAAATCAATGTGTTTATGTGTTTATGTGTTTTTTTTGGATTTTTGGAATTGTATATTTATTTTGTAGCATACTTTTGGGGCGGTTTGGAGCGGCCACAAAAATTGCCGTCACCGGCACTCCGAAAAATGCGCACTTGTTTTGCATAATACGCAAGGATAGCGTGGCCAAAACATGGAATGCCATACCTTGCCGAGCTCGTAGAAGGATTCTCTATCGATTGACATCGGAAACTGAAACTTTTTTTTCAGTCAAGAATTCGCAAATTTGAATGATGGTTACATCAGTCAAAAGTCGATTTTCGGACTCAAAATTTTTTGTTCGGGATCGGAACGAAAGTTGTGGGGATCGTTAGCTTAGGTCCTTAGCTGTCCGAAACAGTCGTTCTTTTCTCTGTGGGTCCTGTTTTAGGCGAGTTATCCTGCAAAAACAGATTTTCGGAGTAATTTTTTTGGCATTGTTTTTGCAAGATATCTCGGCCGTTATGCGCCCCACAGATAAAAGACTGACTGTTTTGGATTGCTACGGAGTTAAAGAAGAGGACCTCATCACTTGTTTCCCATTCCGATTAAATATAAGCTTTTTAAAATGTCTAATTATTCTTAGAGGCTCGGATCAAACAAAAAAGCTATGTCAGTTGATAGTGTAGGCCTTTAAGAGTCCAAAACGGTCATTGTTTTGGCTGTGCATCGCATATTGGCCGAGATATACTGCAAAAACTCTTTCAGGCAAATGGGTGTAATTATACATTTATCTTACACGACATCTATACATATTTGTATCATGGACTCGAACCCAGCCATTGTATATCCAAGTTTCCCACCCAACCCACGGTCGGTTGTTGTCCCTGCTATGCTGCTGGTATTTTTCTAGTAACCTCACCTGGCCACACTGGCAAAAGTGAAATCATTTACGTTATTATTACGATTATATTCAAAGCTTATTTCGCGGACAACCGACAACGGACTTCGCAAAAACGCAGCAACAAAAACGAGAGTCGGTTGAAGCGTCGCATCCAAAACGGGTTTCTGTAATTAGCATGCGCATCAGTTCGCTGATTTACGCTTGACGTTTGCCGTTTTTTACTGTTTTTTTTTCTTATAGAGTCTCGTCTCCGAGGGAAGTACTAATCCGAATCCGAATCCGGATCACATGATGGCCTCCAGTGGTGGTGCGCGCTCCCATTGGGCCTTCGTGGCCTGGGCGGTGTTGGCCCTGCTGCTGACGCACGGCGGCGATGTTGTGGATGCACGGCGTAACCAGGGCAGCAGCCAGCGCAAGACCTCCTCCTCGTCCTCCAGCTCCTCCAACTACGGGCACGTGACGCAGCCCAGCTACAACACGAACGGCCATGCCGCCGGCAATTCGCATGCGGATGTGGCCAAACTGAGCTACCCCAACTACAACTCGCAGCCCAATCGCCCGATGACCAATGCCGGCTCCCCAGGATCGCCGGGATCTGCCCCCCAACCGGGCTGGAATGTGCCGCAGGGTCCGCCGCCCGCCTACTCCGCCTCCAATCCCGCCGGTGGAGCCAGGCCCAATATGCACGAACCGCCGCCGGCCTACCATGCCCCCAACTACGGAGCAGCTCCGCCCAGCTATGGAGCAGCCACTGGATCGAACGTGCATCAGCCGCAGTACTCGGGAGTCCCGGCGGGAGCCACCTACTACCCAGCCGGAGGACATGCCGGCGGCTATCCTTCTAATATCCCCGCCGGAGCCACCTACTATCCATCCGCAGGACATGTGCCCATGGGCGGTGGCTATCACCCGGCTGCTGCTGCTCCGCCTCCGGGGGCCACCTACTACCAGGCGGGATCTGCCCTGCCACCCGGAGCCACCTACTACTCGGCGCCGCCCCAGCAATCCTCATCTGGCCTGGGCTTCGGTGAGTTCTTGAATTAGCATACCACCTGAAAATAAGCAGAAGAGTTGGTTCATAGAGCAATGAAATGGCAAGGCATATTCATTCCTTATTCATATACCCTCTTGCCATTTGATGTGTTCCCAATCCCAGGTGTTTGACCCATACGGGCATTAAATATTAACCCAATTCATGCCCAAGTTTGGTGTTATTTTAGGCCACACATCTGTTTCTCCACTGAAAAGTTTACTTTCTTCACAGGCACTGGTCTGCTCGCTGGTGGACTGGGCGGTGCTCTGCTGGGCCATGCCCTCACGCCCTCGGGAGGCAGCTCCTCCTCGCAGCCGGTGGCCGCAGCTCCAGCTGCTGGCCAGGATCGCATCATCATCATCAACAACGGCGTGCCGATGAATGCCACCGATGGAACCACTGTGACCAATGCGGCTGGCGTGGCTGCTGCACCGGGAGCAGCTCCAGTTGCCCCAGCTGCACCAATGCCTCCTTCCAACGTGACCCAAGAAGCAGCTCCAGCCGCACCCCTGGCCCCCATGGCTCCCTTCAATCCGGAGGCCTCCAACATGACCGCGCCGGATGCAGCTGCAGCTGCCCCACCAGCTGGCGGCATCATTTGTGTGCCCACAAAGGTTAACGAAACGGATCCGGCTGACAGCACCAAAACGGTGGAGGTGGAGAAGATCGCCTGCTACCCGGCTCCTCCGCCACCAGCTGCTCCGGCTGGCGAGGGACCAGCTCCCCTGGCGCCCATGGCCCCCGTTCAGCCGGGATCGCAGCAGGTGCAGCAGGCCCAGGACGTGGCGGCTCCCCTGCAGGCATCCGTCAAGTCCAACACCAGCGGAGCCCGCTCCCTGGGAGGCGTGACCGGCCAGAGCCTGCTCATTGTGCTGATGTGCGGGGCAGTGGCCAAGCGCTTTGCCGGCTTCTAAAGAGCACGCTTCTGGAACGTTCCAAGCTGCATCGTGTGCACTTGCCCCCTCGGTTAACCAACCCGACCCACTATCCAACCCAACTGTACCTTTCTCCCCCAGCTTTTGTGGCCTTGGCGCGCACGGTTTGTTTGCCCTGGCCAAGATCGATAATTCCAGGCGCTAATTGGACGAAAATTGTTAATTTATGGCGTACCATCTCCGATTACAGTATTCGTGGATAAACAAGTCCGGTTCCCAGTTTAGAATTCCCCCTTTTCCAACTTAGCCTTTAATTGTGATGATTGCGATGAGCATGGGAATGGGACTGGTAATGGTAATGGTGCACCCGTAACCGGACCCCGACCCAGACCCACAACATCCCACTGTGCTCGAAAACAAAAACAAAAAAGAAAAACAAAAACATTCGAATATCTCAGTATATATATAACCCAGTATATAACCCCTACTCAAAAGCCCTTGAAGAAAGACAAAATGAATGTAAGTTCTCACTAAAAGTGTATATTTTTCTAGAATTGTTAGCGTAATTGTTGCTTGTCTTTTTGTATTGTTGTAAGCAAACGTATTTGTTGCACTCCTCAATTGTTGAATAAAATAAAAGCTTCGCCTACACCCATAGCACTCGACACGTAGTGGTTTCATTTCATCAGGCGGTGCCCACGGAGACATTACTCATGCAAACGCCCAAACTAAATACGGATTTGAATAGTTAATGGACCGCTTGCGGCCCCGTGATGCAAAGCAGCGATTGTCCGGACTATTTTGGTCCGCAAAAAGCGGGCATACCGCGTTTTGCCCGCTGAGTGGATAACCCAAAGGGTGACGACGTCCGTCTGTCACCCATTCTGTTTGTCCACTCAACTCGGCGGGCAAAGCCAAGTACATTGTGTCGTTACGAAAACAGGCGGACCACCAGCGGCAAATATTTGAAGAGGCATGATAAACAAAGCATACTACACGTACTTTCATCTCCCGATCTTCCGGAAGGTTCCTAAAGTTGATGGAGCTGGGGGACGTTCTCTAACCACAAGCTATTAAATACAGTTCCACTTGAATAATTCAAACCGCTATTAAACACCTGCATTTATGCTTCTAGTCTTCACAACAAATTCCAGTTTTATAAATGTATATATAATAGTGGTGGTTCTTTTTTCATTGATATATAATTATAATACAAGCCCATTTAAATTAATTTTTAAATTATAAACTTATGTAAATAGATACTCAAAATAAACCTTAGAAAGAGGTGCTCTCACCAAATATTTGCAGTTTAAAACCTTCCGAAAATGTTGCATATTAATAAATAGCATGCTGATGCCCCCACCTGTATTACCCCAAAGTGCATAACATTACTTTCACCACCTTAGGCAACAAAAATAAATAAACTTGCGAGCCCAAGTTTAAATACTCTTGCAGCTATAATAATAATTAAATATGGATAATTAAAAACAATGAAGCTATGTCGATTTTTCGATAAATTGTGACGAAGGATAAAAAACTAAAGTGGTATTTAGAGAATAAAACCACAATCATTTTGAGTTATGCCACTTTGAAATCGGATGTCTGCAAGAAATGTTATGGCTTCAGAAAAACAGTTTTTAGGTCACTTTTCTGCAAACCCATTTTTCCAAAATTTGGAAAGGGGTTACATCAATGAAAATGACTAAAAATCGACCCAAAAAAAAAATGTAAACTAAAAACACAGTTTTTTTGGGAATTGAACCACAATCATTTTAAGATATGCCACTTTGAATTAGGATGTCTGTAAGAAAAGTTATGGGCTTAGAAGTGCAGGTTTAAGGTCATTTTTCTGCAAACCCATTTTTCCAAAATTGGGAAAGGGGTTACATCAATGAAAATGACTAAAAATCGACCCAAAAAAAAAAAGTAAACTAAAAACACAGTTTTTTTGGGAATTGGGCCACAATCATTTTAAGATATGCCACTTTGAATTAGGATGTCTATAAGAAAAGTTATGGGCTTAGAAGAGCAGGTTTTAGGTCACTTTTCTGCAAACCCATTTTTCCAAAATTTGGAAAGGGGTTACATCAATGAAAATGACGAAAAATTGACCCAAAAAAAAAAAAGTAAACTAAAAATACAGTTTTTTTTGGGAATTGGGCCACAATCATTTTAAGATATGCCACTTTGAATTAGGATGTCTGTAAGAAAAGTTATGGGCTTAGAAGTACAGGTTTTAGGTCACTTTTCTGCAAACCCATTTTTCCAAAATTTGGAAAGGGGTTACATCAATGAAAATGACTAAAAATCGACCCAAAAAAAAAATGTAAACTAAAAACACAGTTTTTTTGGGAATTGAACCACAATCATTTTAAGATATGCCACTTTGAATTAGGATGTCTGTAAGAAAAGTTATGGGCTTAGAAGTGCAGGTTTAAGGTCATTTTTCTGCAAACCCATTTTTCCAAAATTTGGAAAGGGGTTACATCAATGAAAATGACTAAAAATCGACCCAAAAAAAAAAAGTAAACTAAAAACACAGTTTTTTTGGGAATTGGGCCACAATCATTTTAAGATATGCCACTTTGAATTAGGATGTCTGTAAGAAAAGTTATGGGCTTAGAAGTACAGGTTTTAGGTCACTTTTCTGCAAACCCATTTTTCCAAAATTTGGAAAGGGGTTACATCATTGAAAATGACTAAAAATCGACCCAAAAAAAAAAGTAAACTAAAAACACAGTTTTTTTGGGAATTGGGCCACAATCATTTTAAGATATGCCACTTTGAATTAGGATGTCTGTAAGAAAAGTTATGGGCTTAGAAGTACAGGTTTTAGGTCACTTTTCTGCAAACCCATTTTTCCAAAATTTGGAAAGGGGTTACATCAATGAAAATGACTAAAAATCGACCCAAAAAAAAAAAGTAAACTAAAAACACAGTTTTTTTGGGAATTGGGCCACAATCATTTTAAGATATGCCACTTTGAATTAAGAAAAGAAAAGTTATGGGCTTAGAAGTGCAGGTTTTAGGTCACTTTTCTGCAAACCCATTTTTCCGAAATTGGGAAAGGGGTTACATCAATGAAAATGACTAAAAATCGACCCAAAAAAAAAAAGTAAACTAAAAACACAGTTTTTTTGGGAATTGAACCACAATCATTTTAAGATATGCCACTTTGAATTAGGATGTCTGTAAGAAAAGTTATGGGCTTGGAAGTGCAGGTTTTAGGTCACTTTTCTGCAAACCCATTTTTCCAAAATTGGGAAAGGGGTTACATCAATGAAAATGACTAAAAATCGACCCAAAAAAAAAAAAAATAAACTAAAAACACAGTTTTTTTGGGAATTGGGCCACAATCATTTTAAGATATGCCACTTTGAATTAGGATGTCTGTAAGAAAAGTTATGGGCTTAGAAGTGCAGGTTTTAGGTCACTTTTCTGCAAACCCATTTTTCCGAAATTGGGAAAGGGGTTACATCAATGAAAATGACTAAAAATCGACCCAAAAAAAAAAAGTAAACTAAAAACACAGTTTTTTTGGGAATTGGGCCACAATCATTTTAAGATATGCCACTTTGAATTAGGATGTCTATAAGAAAAGTTATGGGCTTGGAAGTGCAGGTTTTAGGTCACTTTTCTGCAAACCCATTTTTCCAAAATTGGGAAAGGGGTTACATCAATGAAAATGACTAAAAATCGACCAAAAAAAAAAAAAAATAAACTAAAAACACAGTTTTTTTGGGAATTGGGCCACAATCATTTTAAGATATGCCACTTTGAATTAGGATGTCTATAAGAAAAGTTATGGGCTTAGAAGTGCAGGTTTTAGGTCACTTTTCTGCAAACCCATTTTTCCGAAATTGGGAAAGGGGTTACATCAATGAAAATGACTAAAAATCGACCCAAAAAAAAAAAGTAAACTAAAAACACAGTTTTTTTGGGAATTGGGCCACAATCATTTTAAGATATGCCACTTTGAATTAGGATGTCTATAAGAAAAGTTATGGGCTTAGAAGAGCAGGTTTTAGGTCACTTTTCTGCAAACCCATTTTTCGAAAACTTAGATGATAAAAAATCATACATAATCACCGATCCCCGCTCCATACCAAACATTGTAATACCTTCTGTAAGTGTATAAAAGAAAACCATCACGAAATAAAGCGAGATAGACGTATTGGATCACTAAGCTTTTTTAGAGAGTATAAAAGCACAATAGCGACTAGCGAATATCTTAAAAACCAATAAGCTTTTTCAACGATAATGTTTTATATACGTACTATCTTAATGGATCTTGAAATCACCTCAAGAGAACCCCGAAGAACTTATATAATTGCTTAGTCAGCTTAATCTCAATTGATGTACCATATTTCCCCTTGACATGTTTAAAGATATTTACAGACTAATTAAAAACCACAACTGTTTTGAGATTCACACACAAATTTTTTATTGCGGTGAGCCCAAAGGGATTTTTTCCATGAGTTCACACCTTGTTGTTAGCTTATAAAAACACGCCCCCTTCGGGGACGTGAGATATACATTAAAAACGAATGTAAACCTTGTGTTTTTGCTGTGTGGAAATGGATCGGCTTCATCTTTACTCGGCATCGTCGTCCTCGTCGTCGTTGGAGCTGATCCTGAAGTAGCGGAGCTCGTACGAGTCCTTCTCGTTGGCCACCACACGGATCCAATCGCGCAGGCTGTTCTTCTTCAGGTACTTCTTGGTCAAGTACTTGAGGTAGGCCTTGGAGAAGTGCACGTCGGAGCTGACATGGAGCTTCAGCTTGGAGCGCTCGAAGGTGACGTTGTTGCCCAGGTTGTTCACCTTGCCGTTGACCTTGAGGCGGGCCTTCACGTACTTCTCCTGCGGGCGGAATAGGAACAGGGATTCTCAGGTTAGTTCTGCTTGGATGGTGGGCTGGAGATGGTATCTTGGTATCCCCAAGACACCGGTTAGTCGGAGTAATGTCTCTGTCTTTGTTAAGGCCAAGAGTCGATTGTGTAGAACAGAAGGCCCAAATAAAGAAGAGTGTCCAATTTTTTGCTGTGCCACTGAGTACACTGCCATCAGAGCGACGCATTAAGCTCACTCTCTGACGGCAAATCGGCGTGGCCTGTAATTTGTAGATTTATCCAGGTGATGAATGGGCATGGATGGGGATTGGGAACCACACGGTGGGCTGGGTGACCGTCCCTGAAAGGTGTTCCACTTTAGAGGAACTATATCTGAACACATGGCATCATCAAGTACCCATCCAGGTGGTTCCCATTCCCCACTCGTGAATGAAACTTAAGATGCTAGTTACCTGATCCTCTGGCGGGGGCGACGCTTCAATCGGTTCAGCGCCCTGCTAAGAAGCGCGTTTAGCGCACTCGGTCTGCCCACTAGCGGGTTCTTTTTTATTGAGTGACTGACTTTCCTCAATTGGTGGATGATATATGGAAGCAACACCTAACACTAGTTGGGAAAACCTGCAGTGCCACGAAAGAGCGGACACCGTAAGCAGGGCGCACTATGAATTTTGGCCTGAGGCGCCACGGCTGTGGACGCACTCAACCCAGGGCCCACCACGTGGCGGTACACATAGCACGACTTGACGCTGTTCACAGACGGTTGCACCACTGGCCAGTGCCAGGTCACTGGCGGTCAGAGGCTACCCCGTTGTGCAGTGTCCAGAGCCCCTTGACAATTAGCGCGATCGGGAGGCGCTGCGGATGAACACGTGTGCCGATGGAAGGCAGCGAAGGATGCGATTCGGAACGGACATATACATATAAACACGCCAAGGCAATGCTCTACAGTTAGTGCTGTTCCAGATGTTGTTAACCGCCGGCGGCACGGGTGAAGTCCGCCAGCAGTTTATCGCAAAATGGAGAGGCTTCACTGTAACCACAACTTTTTATCCAGAGCCCCTGGTTAACTTGGAGGGCAATGAAAAGCTTGGTGCGGTAAACTGATACTGATTTTGAGGCTCTATTCTGGTAATTACTTTCAATTATATACTTTGGTTCTTTAGCTTATAGGGAAGTTTTTAATGAGCTGAAATCTGACTCTTGGTTGTCTAAAGGTATGCCACGAGTATAGATTTAAGTGTGAAATTATGCTTTGCAATAGATTTTCTTCATTGAAGATTCATAGGCTTTTTGGTAATGGAACTACAATGTGTAAACTCATACTCATAATAGTCTGTCACACAACCATGTTTCAGTATACTAATAATTTGAAAATGTTCCATAGAATATGAATTGTTTAAAGCATACTTTTAGACAACTTAGTAATAGATTTAGTCACTAGAGATGAATCCCATGGAATACCTTGAAAGCAAAGACCAAATAGAACCTGATTTTGGGAGATTGATTGGATCCATGGGCGGGTCCAGCTACTTACGAAGTCGGCCACATCCATGATGCTGTCCTCAGCGATGTTGGTGCAGTCGATGGTGAAGCGCAGCGAGACCTTCTTCTTCTTCTGTCCCTTGCCGCGGAGCACGTTCTTCTTCACCACCTTGCTGGGGGCAGGAGCAGCCTTGGCCTTGGGCTTGGGAGCGGGCTTGGCGGCGGCGGCAGGAGCAGCTGCAGCCGGAGCAGCAGCAGCAACGGCGGCAGCAGCAGCCGGAGCAGCGGCAGCCTTGGCGGGGGCAGCCTTCTTGGCCGGAGGAGCGGCAGCGGGCGTGGAAGCGGCCTTCTTGGCTGGAGCAGCCTTTCCGGCAGCCGGAGCGGCAGCCTTGGCGTCCTTCTTGGGAGCAGCGGCGGCGGGAGCCTTCTTTCCGGCATCCTTGGCCGCAGCGGCGGGCTTGGCGGCTGCCGGCTTGGCTGCTGCGGGCTTGGCACCAGCGGCGGCGGCGGCTGCCTTCACATCCTTGGCCGCCTCAGGGGCCTTCTTCACATTCTTGGCAGCGGCGGCGGCGGGCTTGGCGGCCTCAGCCTTCGGCTTCTCCACTTTGCCCTTGGCGGCGGCTGCGGGAGCGGCCTTCTTCTCTGCCGGCTTGGCGGCAGCAGCCTTGGTATCACCCTTGTTGGTCTTGGCCTGGTTATGGGTCATCACCGAAAAAAAACAGAAAAAATCACACAGTATTAGCTGGCCATTGCGGGTTACGGGTTGTTTTCACTCCTGGTCACCGGCCACTGGCCACACCCCGCCGCATTACACAACTTGGAGCACGGTTCACACTTTGGCCAGGGATCGGGAGCTGATTGGCGGAGCACTTACGGTTGGAGCCATCTTGTCAGTCGAAAACCACGAGGAAAAAGAACAGAAAGCGGAAGCGACGGCAAGAAGAAGAGGCGGCCAGAGTGGCCAGAGCGGCCAGAGCGGAGCACTGCGAATATACCACACTAATAATACCAAACTCGCTGACATGGGCTTAAAACTCCGCTAAAGTAGTCGTGACTCAATCCATTCGACCATTTTGTGACCTATTATGCTATTTGTAATTGAAATGTGTTATATTGATATATTTTAAATATAAAATTCTAGCCTTCTTAATAACTAATAAAATAAGGACTGGAAGAATGGAGCTGTAGCTACCTATAAGCCTATAACCTCAGGCGACGCCCGAAAAACTGTTGAAAATTGTTTTAGTTTTTCATAGCTTACTAATAGTTTAAAATATAAACTATTAAATACCGGAAATTTGAAAATATTTTAAAATTTCTGTTTCCGACAATTCAACGGAAATAATTTTGCATTATTGAAGATTCAGCGACTCAGTCTTTCAATGCGTTTTTCTCGAAACAGGGAGTATAATTTTAATTATTCATAGCTTACAAATAGTTTTATACACATATAAACTAAGTAGCTTTTGAAGTCCCGAAAATTTGATAATATTTTAAATTTGTCTATAACATTTTTGAACATGTACCATTTCTTAACGTTTGCTTTTAATTTCGGTTGAATTTTTAAGTTAATGTATTCAGTAGATAAGTCTACCCTTATAAGTATTATGGTATGAATTAAATAGACAACAAAATTTTCATTCTACAAAACAACAACAGCTTAAAACTATAAAAGTGGCGGCAAAATGTAGAGATGGTGGAATATTGATGGAAATATGGAGCTGCCATCGAAGGCAGCTCTGACCTATCGATACCCCGTTTCAGACACTTTGGTACACTGGCTTCGGAAGCACTCCATCCACAAAGCATCGATTAAGTAATCGATTAGGCCATCGATAGTTCTTTTCGTGTTGCTGCTTCCAATCGCAACGAAACTCGTGGCGAAATTTAATAAAAATTCGCTGACAATTTGCATTGCAAAACAAAGTGAGTGTGCATAAAGCAGCCCCCGTTGCAGCCCCACTTACCAGACAAACGAAACTTTCCAGATGCCGGGCGTTGAAACGATCAAATCCTCTTGGGCGGATGAGGTGGAGCTCGACTACGGCGGTCTGCCCCCGACCACGGAAACGGTGGAGAATGGACACAAGTATGTGACGGAGTACAAGTACAACAAGGACGACAAGAAGACCAAGGTGGTGCGCACGTACAAGATCTCCAAGCAGGTGGTGCCCAAAACGGTGGCCAAGCGCCGCACCTGGACGAAGTTCGGGGAGTCGAAGAGCGACAAGCCGGGCCCCAACTCGCAGACGACCATGGTGTCCGAGGAGATCATCATGCAATTCCTTAACTCCAAGGAGGACGAGAAGGCCAACGATCCGCTGCTGGATCCCACCAAGAACATAGCCAAGTGCCGCATCTGCAACGGGGAGCATTGGTCGGTCAACTGTCCGTACAAGGGCACGGCGATGGACACCAATCTGATGGAGAAGAAGGCCACCGCCGCCGCAGCGGCCGCCGTGGATGCCCCCAAGTCCGGAAAGTATGTGCCGCCGTTCCTAAAGGACAGTCAAAAGGGCGGATTGGGAATGCGCGGGCGCGACGATACGGCCGCCATCCGGATATCCAATCTGTCCGAGTCCATGACCGAGGCGGATCTGGAAGAGCTGGTAAAGAAGATCGGCCCGCAGAGCAAGATGTATTTGGCGCGCGACAAAAATACCGGACTCTGCAAGGGATTCGCCTACGTGCACTTCAAGCAGCGTAAGGATGCGGCCGCCGCCATCGAGATCCTTAACGGCCACGGGTACGACCATCTGATCCTCAGTGTGGAGTGGTCCAAGCCTCAGAACAATTAGATAGTCCCGTTCTCGTTCCCGTTCCCATTGCCCGCGTTTACTGCTTATAGGAGTTCGTACGGATTGATCACACAAAATGTCCCTATGCTATATAAGTTTGCTACATATAAATAAATAAAACTGCCCGCAGGGGCACCGACAAAAAATATCTTGCTCCTGATCTATAGGAATTCCTGCAGCGTTATTGTAGGTATACAAAGGACTTTTTTACAGTGCTGGATTAGGGGATCAGGATCTTGTTTTTTATTTGCTTGTTTTTAGCCATACACGAATATTTATCAGAATCATAACTCTAGGAATCACAAAATATAACAATTATTTGGACTATTTTAAAATCATTGATTTGATTTTAGTTATTCTTTTTTAAAAGCAAAACCTTGCTATCAAATTAAAATGCAATTATAAATAATAAGAAATTTTCTCTTCACTTGTAAGATATAGCTATCTCCCTCATTTCAAATGATACAGTGGTATCAATCATAAATTAATTACTTTTAAATGGTATTATTTTGTTAAACTTTTTACGAGAGTAGGGCAGTTATTACCAATGTGTCAGTAATTATTAAGTCAGTAAATTGAGATTATTAATAACTAAGTAATTGACAAAATAAATCATATACCGTAGGACATTTTTCAAAATGGAACTAATTCCAAATATTAATTTTCCATACAACTCATAAATATGATGCATTCAATATTGTGATTTTTAATGGCATTGAAAGTAACACATTTCTTGACAAAATTTTTAAAATTCCGTTTACTATATTGACTGTCTACTGTAGGGAGCATGACCCTTTGACTATCTGGCAACGCCAGCGCATGCATACGAAAAACAAAAAACTGTTGTTGTTTTTATGTGTTTGCCAGCGATTTGCGTAAATTGTGTTTGTTTTTGTGGCTTAAAATAGAAATCAGATGCCGCAAAATATTCAAAAAGCATTCGAAGCAGAAACAATATTTTTGATCTTCAGGTGTGTGCTCAATTTCAGTCGTCAGTGAGACGGGCCCCCAGGCGAAAGTCGAAGGTGTTATTTTGCTCCGGCGAAATGGAAAAGTATGGATCCACTGCCAGTTCACCCAAATCAGCACCCAGATCCTCATTAAAATCCCAACCCGGAAAGAAAATGGCTCCGCAAATCAAGAGGGGTCAACGGATTCTCACGGAGAAGCCCTTTGCCTTCGTCCTGAAGTCGCAGTATCGTCTGGAGCGCTGCGACAATTGCCTGGAGGCGTAAGTTCGGCCAATTGGCTCCTGCCCCTTTGCCTGGATCTTCGATCCCTAATTCGTAATCCTTTTTTTGCAGGACTAAGGTGCTTAAGTGCTCCAACTGCCGCTATGTGTCCTACTGCAATCGCGCCTGCCAAATGCAAGCTTGGGCCCAGCACAAGCACGAGTGTCCATTCCTGAAGAAGGTGCATCCCAGAATTGTGCCCGATGCTGCCAGGATGCTCTGCCGCCTGATCCTGCGCCTGGAGCACGGGGGAGATCTGATCCGGGGCTATTACACCGAGCACGGGTCTCGCAAGTTCCGCGATCTCATGTCTCGTAAGTGCAACGTGCGGATCCCCTGGCAAATCCTTGCTAATCTCTGTCAATCTCCGATAGATTATGCCGAAATTAAGAACGATCCCATGCGACTGGAACACCTGGACTCGCTGCACGCCGTTCTCACGGACATGATGGCCGACAGTCCTAGCACGGTGCCGAACAAGACGGAGCTAATGTCCATCTACGGTCGTGTAAGTGGACAGATACCTGTGCGAAAAATCAGGAGCGTATTGGGGGAGCAGATACAGGTTGCTTGAGGACGATGCTTTAAACAAATTTTATTCAGCATATTGAATGTTCCTTCAATGATAGGGAACTTGTCTAGTGTACATCTGTTTTACCTAACAATTGAATATAACGTATATTTTTGTAATACTTTCTAGAAATGTTGTTTACCTATACTAAAGTTTTGCACCTCTTAACAACCAATTTCGCTCCTGGTCGCCCAAATTAGATATCAATCAATGCGGCTTGCCTGGCGCTCTGCCAGGCAATTGATCATCTAGGAAGGGCTACGGTTCACATTCCCCGGCGAACAGATATGCGGGTGCTCCTACACAAGCTCATGCTCTTTTCCTCTCCTCATGCAGCTCATCACCAATGGCTTCAATATCTTGGACGCCGAAATGAACTCCATTGCCACGGCCATATATTTGGGCGTCTCTATTACGGACCACAGCTGCCAGCCGAATGCAGTTGCCACTTTTGAGGGCAACGAGCTTCACGTCCATGCGATCGAGGACATGGAGTGCTTGGACTGGTCCAAGATCTTCATCAGCTACATCGATCTGCTCAATACGCCGGAACAGAGGCGTATGGACCTCAAGGAGCACTACTATTTTCTTTGCGTCTGCAGCAAGTGCACGGATGCCAAGGAGTCGAAGGAAATGTTGGCCGCCCTGTGTCCCAATCGCAACTGTGGCGTGGGCATCAATGTGGAGCGCACAAACTGTCCCCGTTGCGACGCAGGGATTAGTCCCAAGCTGAGGAACGCCTTTAACGAGGCGATGACCCTAACACTGCACAATCTGGAGAACATGAAGGACGTGGCCTGTGAGTTAATGCGATAGACTTAAGGGTTCACAATAACGCATCTCTCTATTTTCCGCCAGATCTCGACGTGTGCAAGGTGTGTCTAGATAAACAGACCGGCGTGTTCCATCCCTTGAACGTGTGGTATGTGAAGACCCTGGATTCTGCCTTTGAAGCTGCAATCGAAGTGGGAAAGTGGGCGGATGCCCTGAATTACGGTCAACGTTTGCTGCCCGGCTTCCAGAAATACCACGGCCCCTGGAATCCGCTGCTCGGGCTACTCCACCTGAAGCTGGGCAAGATCCAGTTGTACGAGGGCCATGCCAAGGAGGCACTGCACCATATTGACGAGGCCCAGCGGATCCTCACCGTCACCCATGGCCGTGATCATAGACTGCTGACTGAGCAGCTGTACCCACTCCTCCTCCAAGCCAGACATGAGTCAAACTAATGATGGTGATTTGATTGTTTTTATTACATTAAATAAATCTTAAGTTAAATAAAGTGTCTTGTGTTGCGTGCCGGATGGATCGTATTTTGTGGCTCAAGAAAGTAATCTGAAACGGAAAGCAATCTAGAATCTATTTTCATATTAATAGTTGAAAAACGCAGTAATTTCTTTAAATAATAAACATATGATTTTCAAAATATATATTACAACTTCACGTAGGTAATTTTATTTTCCGATTTTGAATCGATTCTTCATTAAACTTTTCATTGTTTTTGGCATTTATAACAGTTACAATAATAATCTACAAAAGCGATATTCCTTCAATTTCGACTCCGTTAAGTAGCAAAATTAAATTGGCTACACAGATCACCACCTCTTCGCAAAAAATCCATCCAATCTGGTGTAGAGCTTAAACAATCTGGGTAATGGCCTTGGCCCGACGATCCGTGTCCTGGAAGAGCGCCCGGATGATGTGCCGGATTTCGTCCGCCTTGTAGCTGGCGGTCAGCGGACCGGCGCCGTCGCACCACAGTTCCGTAATCTCCTTGAGCGAGCCGTTCATCATGGCCTTCAGCTGCTGCAGCTTTAGCCAGCTGATGACCTGAACCACTTCGTTCGGCTCGCGGAAGAGTGTGGGCGCCCGTTGCAGCACCACGTCGATAAGGTCGCTCAGCTCACAGGCCATCGTGGCGGAAATGTCGCGCAGCGTGAAAACACGGCGGATCAGTTCGGCGACGAAGGTGTTGATCAGCTCGCAGAAGGTGGCATTGAACACTGTATCCGGAAGCACATTGGCCCAGACGTTCTTCAGTAGCTCCAGCTGGCGGAGACACTGGCGGACGAGCTTCAGTGGACCGGAGCCAAGAGTGTGTGGGCTCTCGAACTCAAAGCCCTGCATGATCTCCATTAATATACCCGCCTGGTAGTCGACCTGCACCCGGAAATACTGTTGCCCGGTGGACTGCAGCGTTTTGGCCAGCGCCGCCAAACTTCCGATGCCCTTGTTGGCATGCTGAGCCACCCAGTGGGTGAAGTACATGCAGTTGTTGTAGAACAGCACCGCCTGCTGTGGAATGCTGTCGAGCAGTTTTCGGTGCACCTTGGGCACTTCATTGATATAGGTGTGGAGCATGATGGCAATGACGCCGGCCAGAGGATCGGCTTCGTCCTCGCCCGATTTTTCCGTGGGTTGGCGCAGGATGCGGTCCATTAGTTTCACAAAGTCCTGAAAAGGGAAATGAATTTGTGATAAGAAAACTCAGAGTTAGGGACTTGACCTACCTGTGCACTCTTGGAGATCATGCACCGGGGGAAGAGGAAAGGGTCGTTCGCCACTTCGGTGGCTAGATTGTTGGGCGCCACCAGTACCATGTCCTGCAAATCCCGCTGGATAATCTCGCGCGCCGTTTCCAGAACCCGACTAAACAGTCGATTGCGGTAGTAGGTTTCGTACTCCTCGACAAACTTCCCCAGTGCTCGATCCTGCTCTGGATTGATGAGGAAAGAGTCCGCTAGCAGTTGTTCGAACTGGGTGACATCTTCGCACAGCGTCGAGGACTGATAATCCTCCATGGTCTCGGGAACGGCTGGTTTCAGGCACTCATCCACCAGCAGCTGGAGCATCTTATTCTTAACATGATCGCCAATGATGCTGAACACATGCTGTTCGCTAGACACACTGCTGTTGATCCCGGCCAGCGTTTGCAGCAGCAGCCGGAAATTGTTCAAAACCTCTTTGTAGTTCGGGCGGAGCTGCGCAGAGCTAGGCTCTTTGGTGGCGTACGAAAGCGACAACCGGACGTGGGAACCACCTTCGACATCTTCGCTGTAATCGGCCATCACAGGCCGTAGAATCAGCGGTTCGATGCAGTTGTCCAGCAAAAATTCGCAGAGACGCACAGGATTGTAATGCTCCTGGAAAAGGGCCTGCACCACGTCCTGCAGCTGCGCCTGATCACGGCTCACCTGCAGCGTGACGCAGCGCGATGTGGGAAAGGATTTGCACTGAAGCTGCACCATCCGATCGAACCGATCTTGAAGGCTCTGCTGCAGCAGATGGGCCTGGACGTGGTACTTCACCTTGATGGTCTCATAGCACTCAAGAGCGTGGAAGATGCGGCGCACCTCCGGCGTCGCAACCTGCGAACCCTCATTTCCGTCTCTTGTCTCATCGCCGTAGATGTAAGCCCTCAATCGCCCTACCAGGTCCAGGATAACCAGGTAATCCTTAGTGGTCTTGGCCTCCTCCACGCACTGGAACAACTGGTCGATCTTAAGCACATGCTCGCTGACTCCGAGGCCTAACAGGATCTCCCGTAGCTGTCTTCCGCTGTCAGCCAACTTGGCATTCGCCTCGTCCAAAGCGCCCAATCCTTCGGAGCCCACCGTCTCCAGAAGATCGTGGATCTCCCGGTTCAAGGAGGCCGACTCCTCCAGGAAAATGTCCGGCGAGGTGTCGTTCGGCATAAACTCCGTGTAGTTGTCGTCGATGTGCTTGCGGACGCGCACCTGGAAGCGATTCACCCGCGTCAGCACTTTCAAAATGGCCGATTGGGTGGCCTCCACGCTGCCGCATCCGTTTCCATTGCCGTTAAACGCCTCCTCCAGCACCTTTAAGCGCGGCGCAACTTCCTCCATGTCCTGCTGCCGGTTCTTTTTCTGCCTTTGGTCCAATTTTTGCGGAAATTGTAATCAAACCAAATCACAACTTGTTTGCGGCTGTGGCGATTGTTTAAAAATGCGATAACGCTGCATCGCTGTGGAAAAATCGATAACTCTATGGCTGAGCCAAACCTACTCAATATAGTAACCGGAAAGAATGCTATATTATTTGTAAAAACATATTGATCAACAAATATTTTTGAAAGTGAGATTAATTACCATCCAATTCATAACTTTTTAATAGGGAACAATTCATTTTTTCAGATTTTGTAAGCCTATTTTTGTTAGTTGTACCCATGTCGTTTTTAAGTCCTAGAAGATGAACGGGCATAATTGGCTAAAAACATTTTTGAAATTGTACAGAAACGGTATGATACAAATTTAAAATAAACTATTTTAATATATTCCAGTTGTTAAGATATTATTAAGTGTAAACGCAAGTTGCACAAAAATTTTTCGAAAATATTTTAACCACTTGGATATTTCTGTACACGAGAATCCGTTTTTACTGCAGGTTTATTTGCTTAGTTGACTGTCATTTGTCAATATACTACCGTTTGAAAATGTAAAATTTAAAGTCTATTGTTTTTACCGAAACAAGAATGAATTATTTTAATTACCAAAATTCCTATACACACAAATGCCATTCAATAAAAACGGGCTAGAAAAGTAGCTATAAACTAGCCGAGATGGTACTTCTGCGTACCCCACAAATCGATAACTGTGACCTATCGATAACTTCGCCATTTTTGAAAAAAAGCGCAAGCTGGCGTCGCATTCCTTTAATGCCAGGTCCCTAAAATCGAAATTGCCGAAAGTGCCGGGTTGCCAGTGGAGATCCCACGTTCCATCGCGATCTAGACCAATCCAAAATTGTTAGTTCCCCCGGGGCGCCGCTATTTCCAGTTACTGTGTTTCCCAGAGGGATCTTCTTGTTTTCCTGTAGTCCACGAATCGGATCTATCGAAAGCGGCTGCTCCGGAAAAAGGTAAGTAGCTAAATGAAAAAGGCGCCAAGAATGGTCACAATATGGAGCTGCTCTTAAATCCACCAGATGTCCTGCGAGGATCCCAATTCGGTGGCCGTGGCGCTGCGCGTGCGTCCTTTGGTGCAGTCCGAGTTGGATCGCGGCTGCCGGATCGCAGTGGAACGGTCGACGGATGGAGCACCACAGGTCACGGTCAACCGGAATGAGGCGTACACGTACAACCACGTCTTCGACATCGGGGACACCCAGAAGGAAATCTTCGAAACCTGCGTACAGGGCAAACTGAAGAAGCTTCTGCACGGCTATAATGTCACGATCCTCGCCTATGGTCAAACAGGCTCTGGGAAGACCTACACCATGGGCACGGCCTTTAACGGAGTGCTGGATGATCATGCGGGTGTCATACCACGCGCCGTTCACGACATATTCTTGGCCATTGAAGAGATGAGAGAGGAGTTCCGCTTTGAGATCACCTGCTCCTTTGTGGAGCTCTACCAGGAGCAGTTCTACGACTTATTTTCGGCGCAAAAACGGGAAAAGGCCACCGTGGACATCAGGGAGGTCAAGAACCGGGTGGTCATGCCGGGTCTCACGGAACTAGAGGTCAAATCCGCCCAGGAGGCGACCGAGCACCTAATGCGCGGCTCTGCCGGACGGGCTGTGGCCGCCACAGCCATGAATGAGACCTCCTCGCGATCGCATGCTATCTTCACATTGACCCTGGTGGCCACAAAGCTGGATGGCAAGTATGTAGGACGAATTTCTTCTTGAGGATTTTTAATCAGTCTTTGTATCCCTGAATCCCCGGCAGGCAATCGGTCACCACATCCCGGTTCAATCTGGTGGATCTGGCAGGCTCGGAACGCTGCTCAAAAACTCTGGCCAGTGGGGATCGCTTCAAGGAGGGTGTCAATATCAACAAAGGCCTTTTGGCCTTGGGCAATGTGATCAATGCCTTGGGCTGTGAGTAATAACCATCTAGAATATGTATATTGTTTTTAGATATTGTTTTTTGTTTTCTAAAAAATTGAAGCATTACATTCATTTCTTTTGCGTTTTTCTCAAAACGACTGTTCAAACTGGAAGTCAATATGTGTTAAAACCGATTTAATTAAAATTCGTATCAGATATTTGTTATAAAATTTGTTATAAAACTATTAATAGTTTCTTTTAGTTATTTTTTTAAATTTTTTGTCCAACATGGGTTTTTTATTAAAACATGCTCAATTTCATTACCTATTTCAGCTGGCCAGGCCGCTGGCTATATACCCTATCGCCAGTCTAAGCTGACGCGTCTGCTGCAGGACTCCCTGGGTGGCAACTCTATCACCTTGATGATTGCCTGCGTCAGTCCGGCGGACTACAATGTGGCAGAAACCCTGAGCACCCTTCGCTATGCGGATCGGGCCTTGCAAATCAAGAACAAGCCCGTGGTCAATCTCGATCCGCATGCGGCGGAGGTCAATATGCTGAAGAACATCATCCAGAAGCTGCGTGTGGAGCTTTTGGCGGGCGGCAAAATGAGCAGCTCCATAACCAGTGCAGTGGGTGCCGCCGGCTTGGGTCCCGTCCCCAGCGAGGAGTCCCTAACTGGCTCCATGGCCAATGCTGCTGAGAACCAACGTCTCAAAGAGCAAGTGCGCAGTCTTCTGGATAGGAATAGGAAACTGCAGCAGGAGCTCCATCACTCGTTGGCCGATCTAACCGAGAAGGAGATGCGAGCCCACATCGTCGAGCAGGCTCACGATAAACTCCGCAGCCACGTGCTGCAACTAAAGAGTAAACTGGAGCAGCAACAGGCCGGATCGGGAGCTGGGGACGCAGATGATGGCCGTCAACTGCAGGAAATCAGCCAACTGGTGGAGATGGTGGGCGATGAGTTCCAGCGCACTCAGGAGGAACTGGAAACCCACGGCCAGGAGATATGCCAGCACCTTAGTGGCCAATTTAAATCTGAAAGGGAGGAGAACGGCGGCTCCAATGGTGGCGATGAAGTTAACGAAATGCTGCAATCCCACTCAGAGGAGTTCACTGACAAGCAACTGAATTTCGCTGGCGAACTGCGCAGCATCAATCGCCAACTCAACATCAAACAGGAGCTGCACGAGCGCATCATTCGCAACTTTAGCCAGCTGGAGGGTGAGGACGAGGACGCCAAGCTGCGACAGTGCAACCAGAAGATCGATGACCTGGAGGCGGAACGGCGGGACCTCATGGACCAGCTGCGCAACATCAAGAACAAGGATACCTCCGCCAAAATTGCCGAGGAGCGACGCAAGCGTCTGCAGCTTTTGGAGCAGGAGATCTCCGACCTGCGCCGCAAGCTGGTCACTCAGGCCAACATGCTGAAGATGCGGGAAAAGGAGCGCGAAAAGATCCAAAACCTGAGTGGCGAGATCCGGGCCATGAAGGAGTCCAAGGTGAAGCTCATACGGGCAATGCGTGGCGAATCCGAGAAGTTCCGCCAATGGAAAATGGTGCGAGAAAAGGAGCTCACCCAACTGAAAAGTAAGGACCGCAAGATGCAGTCGGAGATCGTGCGCCAGCAGACGCTGCACTCCAAGCAGCGGCAGGTTTTGAAACGCAAATGTGAGGAGGCCTTGGCGGCCAATAAGCGGCTAAAGGATGCCCTCGAACGCCAGGCCTCGGCGCAGGCCCAGCGCCAGAAGTACGCCAAGGATCACGGAGGCTCCGCCGCTGGCTCCTCCAACTCACACTCGAAGACCGACAGCTGGGTGGACCGCGAGCTGGAGATCATACTCTCTCTAATTGATGCCGAGCACAGTTTGGACCAACTGATGGAGGACCGGGCGGTGATCAACAATCACTATCAACTGCTGCAGCAGGAGAAGACCAACGATCCGGCCGAGGCCAAGGAGCAGGCCCGCCTACTGGCCAGTCTCGAGGAGGAGCTCGAGATGCGCAATGCTCAAATCTCTGACCTCCAGCAGAAGGTCTGCCCCACCGACCTGGATAGCCGCATTCGCTCTCTGGCTGAGGGCGTCCAAAGCATTGGCGAGTCCCGGGCTGTTAGTAAGCAGCTCCTCAAGACTTTGGTGCAACAGCGACGCCAACAGTCGGCAAGCTTGAATGAGCAGCGCACGGCCTTGGATGAGCAGCGTACGCAGCTCCTGGAGGCCCAACAGCAACAGGAGACTGTAAATAAACGCCTCCGTTTGGCCCAAACCGAGCACGAGGAGCAAATGCTGGCCCAACAGCGCGCCTACGAGGAGAAGGTGGCCGTTTTAATTAGAACAGCCAACCAGAGATCGGGTGAAATTAAGCCACCGGCGGCGGAGGAGCGGGATCGCCAGCAGATACTCGAAGAACTGCTCAGCAGCCGAGAGGCACTGCAGCAAGAGCTGGACAAGCTAAAAGCCAAGACCAAGGCGAAGGTCAAGGCGCCAAGGGTCCAGCCCCAGGATGTCGATGATAGTGTGATAATGATGGATCCTTACGAAATTATAGAACCGAGCGATAGCGGCAGCGACGATCCCGAATGGGTGCCCTCCAAGTCCAAATCCAAGGTGGGTTTGAGTGGTATTTGTTGACCAGGCTTTGCTTGAAATTCACTAATATGCTTTGCTTAAACAATAATAATCCCGGACTAATTGTTTTTTTCACCGCAGAGATTCCAGTCGGACTCCAGCCGCAATGTTGCGCTCACCCAGGTTTCAAGTCCTCCCGATAGCCAGGATGCCAATACCACGTCGGCCGTCAATGCATCCATCCAATCGCTGAATTCCACACAGGCCACGGAGGAGGGCAAACGCGGTAGGGGATGCAAGTGTCGCACCAAGTGCAACACCAAGCGGTGCGGCTGCTTTGTGGGCAGCAATGAATGCTCTGAGAGCTGCGTTTGCAAGGGTCAGTGTCTCAATCCGATGAATGCCAAGCAGCCACCACCGGAAAACGGCGGGGGTGATGCCCATACAGTCACGGAAAGCAATGTAGACGCGGTGGAGGACTCTGAAATGGCCGAGAATGCTCAGGGTGAGCCAGACCAGACCACCAAGGAGAACTCGGGGATCTTCACACCGCCGGACGCGCCCAACAAGGCCGTACTTTCGCCGAAGCGATCGCTGCTGGATCTTAAGAATCCATCCACACCGCTCGGCAATGTTAACGCAGTGGAGGATTTCAATGGACCTAAGCTAACAAGGTGGGCAAGAATCCTTAATATTGTACGTACGCAATGCAAGTCTCTGTCTTCAATTTGCAGAATGTCGGGATTGGCATTTGCCACGCCCAAGCGGAAATTCTTTTAAAGTTGCAAGGAACGCAATGCAAACACGGATCCGGATGTGGTGAAACGGGAAACGGAAGTGGTGCCGCAGGAATGAGTCGCCAGATGCCTTTCAGCACGTTTTTAGTAGCTAGATTAGACTCGTTTAAGTATGTTTATGTTGTTGTTTAGGAAATGCTTCCCACAGAATCCATTTTAACCAAGAGTGTACAACCCATTCACGTTTTATAATGTAACAATATAACATCCAACAATCTGCACTGATTCATTTCTGGGTGATCTAAATGGATTTTCGACTGCAGCGCGGAGCAGTTTGAATAACTTTAGAAATCGTCGCTTAATTTTTACCTATTTATTAAAGCCAAGTTGTTGGTCCTGTTCCATACATTTATATACATTTTTGTTTTGTTAGATATAAGTAATAAATTCTATTCTATTCTTATAACAGGTGTATTAAGTAATATAACCCTTTAGTTTGTGTTCTTATTTAGGATAAAAGGGATATATTTGCCGAGGACGCACGATTACGAAAGAGATAGGTATATAGATATACAGATCAACCAAAATGACGCACAGTGGAACTTAATTCCATAAGCATTAATATTTTTTTTAAAAAAAAGAGAAAATAATTAAATACAATATGATTTTAACTTTAATTTTTTTACAAAATATACTTATAAAAGTGTTCTTATGGACTTGAAACGGTTATGGATGCGTTATCAAAGTCGATCGTTTATTCTTGAAAGCTGTCAAAGGAAAGGATCATGCTAAATGAGTATTTGACCGATAATCTTTTTTTTTAATAAGGTCCATTGTACTTTTTTTGTGGTCAATGACCCCCAAAGCACCAATAAAAAGATAACTTGTAATTATATTTTTGACATTTTATTATTGTTTTTGTATTTGGTTCTTTTTTCATAACAGTTTAATGTGTGTGTGTGAGTGTGGTGTGTGCGACATCCTTTTTTCGCATCTTTTGGGATTTACGAGGTGATTGCAATGCACGTGTTCCATATTTTTGGGAGGTGTGTTTGGGCGTGGGTCTCAAAGCACCAATAACAGTTAAACAGAATGACAAAGAGAGAAACAATCAAAAGAGAACTAAAAACAGAGTACTACAAAAATAAAGAACAGAGAAATTCGACGGGGCCCTGACAAGATGATCCAGGACCTCTTTCACTAATCACGATCATATCATTCACACCACAATTATTTTTTCTGGAGTTAAAGGACTTCACAATGAATACGGAAAAATGCCGATCCTGATCCTCTGGGTTTTCGGGTATAAATCCTGGAGTGAATGCCATATTTACACAGGCCAAACAATACACAAAGTACATCAATATTTGCACATTTAAGTACATAAGTCTAAATATTTAAGTTTGCTTCGCTTTTTATCCTTGGTTTCGGTGTGAATGATATTTAACAGATTATCAATTTACAATACATTAATGTACACTTTTTTAAATAATCGTAATAATAATAATAAATCTACACAATATACATACAATATTTATATTTATATAAATATAGCGGATTTTTTCACTACAGACTATACAAAAAAATATATTTATAATGAAATTACACTTAATGGAGAGTTTTTGTGTGGTTTTCTTGGATCGGTATAATTCCCCTAATTGATGTTGTTGCTGGTGAGTGGTGCACTTTCAAAGATTTATTTTTAAGACATTGTCTATAACATTTGTTCCTTTGGGTTTAATAAACGTCTATTCTCTGATTTTTTTCTTTCATTTTTTGGCAATATTATGAATGATCATGATTTTAGAACGAAACAACAATTATATGCGTGTGTGCGGGTGTGTGTTGTGCAGGTGTGTGTTGTGTGTTGTGCAGGTGTGTGTTTTAGTGGGTGGGTGACTCTTATGCTTAGAAAATGTACAAATAAAGTAAATCAATCAGATAGTGACAGGACAACACACTGAACCTAGCCAAATTGTGCGATATTTCTTTCGTTTTTTGCTTTGTTTCATTTGGTTATTGGGGTTTTGGGCGATATGATGACCATGGCTACTTGATGACTCCCTCTCCTCCAGTTCCAAAATACCCTAGACAGTCTCCAGTACGCGCACATCCTTCTGCACCACGTAGAACTTGTGCTTTTTGCCAACCAAGCCCCAAATGACGGCCACATTCTCGATGACCACATTCACGGGTATCGTGCACACCGCACCCAGCACGCAGGCCAAGAATCGCAACAATCCGAAGCGGTAAAGCGAAAAGGATTTGATTACGCCAAACACGTACATATAGATATTGATGGCCGCAATGAAGGCGCAAACGAAATCCACTAGATTTGGGCAGGGAATGGGATACAGTGCCGCAAAGATGATGTTCGACGTGGATAACGGCATGGTGACCCACGAATAGACACTGATGCCCAGCAGCAGCTTGTGCTTGAAGGGAATCATCTTGGAGTGCACCACCAGCAGGATGCCCTGAAGCCATCGCTTCCTCTGCTGCAAAAAGTCGAGCAGCGTGAACGGCGACTTTTCGTACATCTCGCCCTCGATGAAGTTGAACGTGTATCCCTGGCTGAAGGCCCGCATCGCAAAGAAGCAGTCCTCGGCCACCGAGCCATCGATTCCATTGTCAAAGGACACAGAACGCTCCGCATCCACCTGCCAAAAAATAACAGGGTATTAGTATGTTTTATTCGAAATTAAATTCAATTCTTTGGGTCGATTGTGGACCATATTCATAGGAATATTTAAATACCCTTAATAAAATATTATGATTATATTAATCACTAGCAATGAGTAAATAGGCATTCCCTTTTATTTACTAACTAAAAATGTTATAAAAAAAACATTTTTACTTCATAGAACCAGATAGATACAATTATGAAAAAACCCTTTGAATAAGCATCTGAGTAATCCATAAATAATCGCAATAATGCAACACATTAAGTTAAAACATTACAAAACAAAATATCATCCATCTACAAACTAAGCGTGGATGCGTATCACAGTGACGATAATTTGTTTTGTTAGTCACTTAAAGTATGAAGGTATATATGAAATTTTAATTGTTTCTATATCTAATCTCCAAGTCAATAGTTATTGGTATATGCTTTTAATTGAACAGAATAATAATTCATAAGTTTCTCTATGTAATTGGAATTATTTAAACACATAAAATCAACTAAATTTGAATGATAAATTGATGTATAAATTCTGAGAATTGATTGCGACAACTTTTATAATGGGTTATTATCAAGTATTTTGATAACAGATTGTTGACTGGCAATAATGACTGGTATTTGTTGCCTGTTATGCAATTGAAAACAGACTATATGTATAGAAATACATATATTTTTGGTTTGAGCTCACAGAACTACAGAAAACAGTTAATTAGCCTCTTTCAAACCTAGAATTTCCCACTAATTTGGTAAGTACAAGAATTAGGTCGTGTTTTGTTTGGGGCTTAGGGAGCTGTCAATTGTGATAGATGACCCACGGGAAAGTAAGTAGAATTCCCCAAGAGCCCACTAATTTTCACCCACAAATCGAGCCACATAGCGGTTGGAATTACCCACCTGGGTGACCACATAGCTGCCCTTCCAGCTGAACAGCGGCTTGTGGAAGAATTTGAACTGCAGTCGCAGCTTGCCCATGTCATCGGAGACCCGAAAGCTGTCCGCCAATGTGGTCAGCCAATTGACCACGTTCTCGTTGGCATAGGTGATCAGTCCCTGGCCAAACGGGTGCTTGCCATCCAGCACAAAGTTAATGATGCCACGCACTGAGTTCTCCGTTAGCAGCGTCTCCTCATCCAGATGGACTATCCAATCGCTGTCGTTCAGCACGTTGACATTATCCTCCAGACAATACTGCAGTGCCCGCGACTTGAAGAGGGCTCCGGTTCTCGTCTTGTACTCCTTGGGCACCACAATCTCCCGGATGCGACGATGTTGCGCTAGGTTGACGGCCTTATCCGTGACCACTTCGATCAGGAAGTTCTCCAGTCCAGTGTCCAGACAGGTGTTCATGTTGCGTAGGACATTTGTCTTCACCAAGTCCGGGAAATCGCCGCGCGTGACCACCCGGATGCAGATGAAGGGCGCCAGCAGGGGACTGCCCTTAAGGACGACCTTCTCGGGGAAGGCATTGTAAAATACCAGGCCGCAAAAGTTAAACAACACCTGGGGCAGCGTGAGGAGCGTGAGAAAGCGCAGTAAGTACAGCAGAACCGTGGCCAACTGGCCGTATTCAGTCCATGGATCCACGAGCGTAAACGAATTCTCGTCAATCTTAATACCGCCGGAGAATACTTCGAAGGTAACTATCACAGTGATGAGCAGTGTGCAGTGCAGCAGATGCTTTGTGGTGGAGTTCATCTTGGTTTGCGGGTTGTGTATGGTGTGCAGAGTGTTGTAAAGTATCTTAAATGGCTATAGTCCTCCTGCCTTAAGTAGACTTGTGCTCCGGTATCCGTAATCCTTATATGCCTTGTTTGTTCGTTCGTTCGTTCCCGACTCAAACTGAATCAGTTGGTTGCAGTTGCTTCCGGTTATAATTACTATTGTTTTTTATTTTTGTAAGTTATTTGTGCTTAAACTTCTGCGTTTGAACGGAAGTTGACCCAGGCACCCCGGCTCGATAAGTTGTGTTCCGAATCCTCCTCTATCTGCTTCTAGGCGTGCGGTGGCGTCTCCTCCGCTTCCTCTTCAGCTGTTGGTGAACTTTGACTTGGTTGCTGCCGCTGGCTTGCTTGCATTTAAGACTTTCAGCTCTGATTCCTGGTCAGACATTTCTGTGAATGGAACAAATGCGATACGATTGTTTAGTTACTTGGATCAGTTTGGATCAGTAAATATAAGAAATAGAAAAGCAGGCGGATAATGAAATCTAAATTTATACAGCAAGAACACTTGACAAGTTTAGTATAAATATTTAAACGTAAGCAAATAAAATAATTTTCCAACAAAAATCCCATTTCTCCTAAAAAGAAATAACAACGGATCAACACTAATGGAATTATCTATTCCGAAAAAACTGAAATGCCATAAAATTGGCATCTCTCTTCTGCGACTCGCAATCTGGCATTTAAAATTAATTAGTGACGACCATGCGGTGCTTAATTTATTTAACCTTTCACATCGGGCTCATTTTTCGTTATATGATTGAATTAGAACCGAGTGACTGGGCGTTCCATGTAACCGCCATTAAAACATGTTAATCATTAGGAATCGCGTGCCTGGCGGCCCATAACTATTGATCATATAACCAGCCAGCCAGCTTTTTTCCATATTTTCCAAACAGATTCTCCCATATAGCCCGTATATTTTGTGGAGCAATTGAGCGAGTTCAAATGCCAACAATTTGATTATAATTGCTGCACTTTTTAATCCCCTTGCAAAGGGTATTATAATTTCAGTAAAAAGTTTGCAACGCAGTGAAGTAAGTACATTCTTGATCATCATTACCAAGAGAGTCTAGCCATGTTCGTTTATACGCAAACTAGTCTTTCAGTTATAAAGCTATGTAGGAACAATATACTTTATATATATACTTTATAGGAACAATTGGAAAAGTAAGTGCAAAAATATTATAGCTTCGTTGTTTTTTAACATAGACGAATATATAAAATTGATAAAAAAATCAAAAAAACAAATTTAAATATAGTCGTTTTATGGAACATTTAATTTTTTTAATGTCTACTGAGCATACAAACTTCGGCTCGCAAATATTTGCTTTCATTTTTGATAAATTTTCATTCGTATGATTATTACTGGTGGCGCTGCCCTCAACATTCTGGGCGGAGTATTTTTGGTTTGCCACGCAGATAACGTCTGATCATCTAAGCAAATGACATACTTATTTATACCCATCATAAATATGTGTATGCATAGTGCCCATCGATGATACTGTTTTCGCAAATGTTTCCATTTGCTTGTTCATTTCTTAATGACTAAGCGTGATATGAATGGAAGTATTTAAAAAAAGAAAAATGAGCAAGCAAATGAGCGGTGTTGTCGAACCTGGGGATACCAGGAAATGTTTAGATAATTCAGCCTTTGAATGACACTTTCGAGTGCATTAATGAAATTAAATCAAATTAACGATAAGGACTCGTTTTCTCATTAATCATCAATCAGTAGTCCAATATATATACATTATTCGTTGGGCAAAGCATGATTGACATACATTGCCCTTCAACTGCCCACGAACTTGATAAGCACAATACTCCCGCATCGAGTTGAATTTAATTAAACAAATTTAGGTTGAAATCTATCCAGGATTATTTACTGGATAGGCAACTCAATTATAAATACTACATATATGTTTGGGGGGTCTACGATACACAATGAACCTCTACAAAAGTGACGATACCCGGGTGAGGAAATGAAACACAAGGGAATTGACAAACAGTCGGAAACTCATACACACATTTGATACATGTGATTCATGTGGTTGGACTTAGGACTACTGTTCCAAAGAAAAATGAAAACAAATCGCTGACCAGCGTAGCACTAAAGCAGAACTTTTCCATGGAATTCGAGTAACCCGGGAGTGTCGAGCAGACTGGGCGTTTTCCAATGCAAGGGACACATAAAGATTACACACGCCCATATCGATTTATCCACACACATCTGTTAAATTGTAGGGAGGGAACCCAGAAACTTGGAAGGTTGGGCGGTGCGGTGATAACAAAATATCGAGGGCTAGGTGGCGACTATGGAATGCTAAGCATTTGCTAGGGTTTCCGGATAATTCTCGACTGCTGGTTCTTGAAAAGGCTCATGTAAGTCGTTAAAGTTTGACTCGACCGCCGATTTTAAGTGGTCACAGTAAATACTCGCTATCATACAGCTGAACAGTCCTCATGTTTTTCAAAAATACTTACACAATGCTAATCGTTTAAATGACTTTATGAATGGTCCCTTAACTTCAACTTCCCTTAACATTATCTTCTTTACACACTTAAACATTCGCAAAAATACTTCCTTTTTGGTTGATATATGCTTGACTTTGGGGAGATTAATACAATTCTGTAAGCAAACTTCTACTACACGTACAAAAAAAACTTGGATTAGACTTCCATTTTATTGGCTCCCCCCTTAACTGATTTCGACTGTTTTTGGCCGGCTATTGAGGCACTTCAGCCAAACTGATAAAAACACTTCTCACCCCAGGGAATATGGCATAATATGGCACTACTAACAACCCGTCGGCGATAAGCGACGGCCTTCGACAATTGCGAAATCCTAAATACACGCTTTCTTATTTGGACCTAACCAAATCCCTGACGGCTGAGATCCCACCCGAACCTCAACTGGTTGATGAGTGACAGACCCAAACCCAAACCCAAATAACATTAAACCGATGCCAATGACACCAGTGTGCTTATCACCGAGTGATCCGCGAACGCGACTACAATTGTGAATGAATCATACGGCCGGAGGAGTCGGTTCAACGACAATTCCGGAGAGACCGGGCCTCAGATAGCCCGGGAGAATTGTTGTTGGGGGCGTAATGAACTTGGATCGCTGGCGAAAACCGGTCCGGTTCTCTACCGCTCTTACATAAACAACAAAATCGGACTGTCTGACTGGCTCGGTGCAATAATCTCAACAATAGTACTACTATATGGTGTTTTTCATTTGCTGGCTTTGATTGTTTTCTTTTTTATTTTTTTTTTTCGCAACTAACTGCGAGAAAATGAAAATGAATGCAACGCTCCAACGATTGCAGGGCAGTGCACAAAATCGAAAACAGTGGATACTTGGGTTAAGGGATAAATCGAAAGTGCAAGCTTTTGACTGCAATTATAATACCCTCTGCGAGGGTATACAAATTGTTGGGCAAACAGTAATCTTTGATATCAATTAATTGCATAACATTCGATTAAGCAAAGAATTTTCGTATTCGTCGTATATTTCAGTAAACACAAGATATGAGATATTTTTTGGTGTAGAAGTTATTATCTTTAACTCATTAATTGGCAATACTTTCTTTTTTTTGTCATATATCTTAATAATTACGCAACTAAAGTTGTGGTGTGCAATATTTTAAGTTGATTAACTTAACAAGTAATCCACTTAAGAAGAAGTTTGTATTGATCAGTGGTTAAAATGCCTCGTGAAAAGATTATCTAGCAAAGATTGCATCTGATATATAACCTTAAACACATAAACAGAACGCTGATTTACAAACTATTTGCAGGCGATAACTACTGTAGTGTGCGATGCCATTGCTGATATACTGATTAATTGCCGCGGTACATTGTTCCCGGGGACAATTCCAAAGCAACGATGTGAAGCTCCAAGTGCAGGTAAGGTAAATCTAATCGTGGGCACCTGCCCTGAGTCACATCGCACTTGGGCACTTTGGCACTTGAGAAGCGGTTCCATTAGCCAAGTTAATAGTTCAGGCCTACTCTATTCGGTTTTCACTTCCATTATTGGCCAGGGCCCATTAATTAGCACGTCTCTAGACTGGCCTAGAAGTCAATTAAAGTAACTACACCAATTACACAGGAAAAAAATGGTTATAGCTTGGGGTAATCCATCGAGATTACATAATATCTTGGTATAGATTTCGGATTTATCGCTTCCCCTTTTCATTCATAAACGTAATATTTAATCACATGAATCCTCGCGTTTTCATAGCTTTCAAAACTTTTTAAAGGATATCTTTAACCAATTTGTAAAACGTTTACAATTGTGTCTTTAAAAGAATTCAGGACTTGTATTTAATAGATCTATTGGTCTTATTATGATATAGTTTTCAATGGGGTCTCTAATATATAACATCGATATTGTTGTCACATCAAATATTTTTCCCTGTGCAATGCAGTCAATGTCAAAGTCCACCACATGGCTCTATGAATGGGAAATCCCCAGTTCACAGGGGATCGCTTCAGGTGTTGTGAATTACAGTCATTGCTGGTGGGCATGGGCTGTGTTTTGTTTTGTTTTCCCGTCGTCAGAACCCCCCCTCTCACCAGTCCATAATCGCGCGTTTTCGGCTTTTTTTTCTATTTATTATTCGTGTTTTTTTTTCGTATATTTCGCTGTGATTCGTTGCACGTTTTCGACTCGATTCGTTTCGTTTTTTTACGCGCGGTCTCTGACTTTTCCTCTCGTGCTTCGAACTCCGAAGACGGTCGCCGGTACACTAAGCTCCATGGAAATCGGTCAGGTACACCTGCCCATATGGTACTTGGTGTATGGAAATGTCTGTGTGTGTGCGTTGTCATAATAATAAATTAAATACGTTATCAAGCGCAGAACACAATCAGCGGAGGGCAGAGCGCCGCTAACCTTTGTTGGTAGAATGTACCTGGTACACGTAGAAGAATCACTCCCGCAATCGCTAAATATTACGTATTGCCCAAGAGTAATCGGCACTGCGAAAATCCAAGCTAAACAATTTTCGATGCATTGTACGTCATTTCAGTGATTTATCAAATAGAATGTGGCTTTTCGGTGAATTATGATTCACTCGATTGATTTAACCTGATTTCTTCTGATACCAGTTGATCTGAAGTGTACCTATAGGTTTAAAGGAGTGCTTATCTTATTTATGATATCCACACTTTCGAATATCAATGACCCATATTTTTTCGCATTTCCTGCAGACAGAATTTTTTATAGCTAAACAGTACATATCATAAGTTTTAATACAAATTTGATTATTTTTAAGCCAATTTACTAAATCCATCGTTTTAAATAATAACTTTAACGAAAAAGTATTATAATTTTCACCGTGTATAACGCACGATTACGTCGTAATCAGTTCTTGAATCATTTGAATCACACTGCGAGTTTAGTGAGTGTCTGCCACAGTGGGTGACTAATTTAGAGCGTTTGCACTCGGTTTTAAGTAGGACATTAGTTCTGTCATTTATTACTTTTCCAGAGATGTCGTCATGAATCAGATAAATGGGAATAATGGGCACTCCAAAAACAGAGATATATGTATATCTAATATTAATATGAAAAAGAGTAGATAGGGACATTGGCACGTACTGAAAAAACCTAATTTTGGTTTGTTAGTTAGTTAGTTTTCGGTTATACCACCTGAAATGAGGTCTTGGGTGAGGACACTACAGAAATAATAGAAGGATAGACCAATGGACTCAATATCAGATGCCAGTTTGCTGTAAACCTAACTCAGTGGCAACAGTAGCACTCGAGTAGATAGACAGATAAATAGGATAATTGCATGTCAAAAAGTAGATAGGGACATTAGCAGGAACGTTTACCGAAACCTAGGTGCGAGTTGTGTTGTTGTAGAGTGGCAGTAGTTTGGGTAAGTACTTCCCCCGACATGACATCATAGGTCAGGTAGTGAGGGATAGGGACATTCGATGAACAAAGGTAAGAGTAGATAGGGACAAAAGGAGGCACATTTACTGAATACTAGGTGACAGTCTTGTTGTTCGGCTCATTATGTCGGTTTTTTTGTGCTCTTCGTCACGCGCTTCGTTTGGAGGAGTAGTGGACGATAGTGCCGGCTAGTTTTGAAGACACTTCGCGGGCTGGGAAACAGGCAGAGTGAAAAGAAAACGCTTATCGCAGTGGGCTGAGCAAACACCGACAAATGTTGATAACCGCTGGCAGAGCACACAATCAGCATTCGTTAATTGTGGCCACAAATGAAATGTAAGTAAGTCTGTGTCGAGTGCAAGTCGAACAACAAATGCACTTCTCTATAAGATTAAATCAATATAAATTGTTTTCCCAATCTGCAGTAGATAACGATTAAGACAACTGATAATCTTCATTGCGCAAGAAACCGGGAACTCTTTAAATTAACCCTTTAGAGGTTGAATGATTTAAAAAAAATACGAAATGATCTACTTATAATAGCTTTAAAGGGAATTTTATGCACAAGATGTTTACTTTAAAAAAATGGACTCAAGACAAAGGTGTGTTAAGCGATTTATATACATATTGTGTTTATACTGGAAAATGTTTACAATCTTAAGCCCACATTTATTTTTATCTCTATCAGCAATTCAGAAAGTGCATCGACTTAAAAATGTATTATGTTTTTGAAAAAGTAAAATTAAATGGTATAAATTTATGGACAGTGTCTGTTATTTTATTTGAAAATATTAACGGTTTTTTACAAAATTATTTCATATTCTTTTTTTTGGCAACAATTGTTTGCACGTTTTTTAGTTTTTAAAAGAACTAAAACCTACTAAATTTAAAAATAAAATATTGGAATAAATCTGGTTGTTTAATTCGGCATTTTTACCGAACGGAAACAGTTCTTGTGATGAGAAAACTACATTTCCCTGAGTATATGTACATCACAGAATGATCAATTCTGCGTTGCTGCCTTTTTCCACAATTATCCCATTCATTCGGAAGATGTTTACAGAATGTGGTATTAACATCAAATGCACATAAACATCCTGGTGGGGACTTTTTTTTTGTGGTGACTGTACATTATGGGATTGGTGTCATAAGGGTTAAGAACACACCCTGCTGCGCCCGTTAGGGAGCTAAAAGTGGGTCCACTGTGGGCGAAATTCTTGCCCAAGGACATTCCCCGCTGGCTATGAATATTGAATGTAGACGAAAGTCACGAGATCCCGAGTAACTTTCCAAGTTAACAGGTCACAATGCCACACAAAAAAAAAACAAAACAACACGCGAGCTCTGTCCAAACAGACACACAGCTGTGCTCAAATTAATAGCACTTTCTTTTGGTAACTGTTGGCAAGACATTTCTGAACTAATCTTTTTTCGACAATTTTTTTCGTATAGTAAGAAATAAATACTTTAATTTAAAATGCAATGATTTTGGCTTAATATTTTAAATAGTAGTTAAACGCAAAAATCAATTTATCAAAATAAAACTTACATATGCTTAAACAAATATAAACAAAACGTGAACCAAAGTATTTTTTGTCTATACAACCCGTACATAATACTACAAGACCTAATAGCAAATTACACAAATATATATAGGTATACATATGTATAAATGTTGGCCCCATCGTAATTACAGATACATTTTTCGTGAATGCTATATTTAGTCATATTATTTTGCCCGCAGCTGTGCACATACACACACGACAAAAACAAAAACAACGACTAACCGAAATGTGCTAATAGGCGGCCCAAGGGCGTCGAAAAGGGGGAAGAGGTGGGGCAAGTTACCTTAGCGGGTGGCTAACCAACAAGGGCGTAGCCAAGGGACAAGTTTAATTTGTATGTTAAAGGTTAAAATATCGAATTATTAATTTTTTTATTCATTTCTTTTTTTGTAAAAGTTTATTGATTATTGATCATTAAACTAATGTACCCCCAGGAAAAACCCTAACTACGCTCCTTTTTCGTAACTTACCATGTTTTCCATGCCAAAACGAAGTGGGTAGAAGAAGAGGAAGTGTCCGAATGTTTGGGTTTATTTTTCTATCTGTTTCTCTTTTCTTCGATTTTCTTTTAGCTGCAGTTTGTTGTTGTTATTGGTGTGGCAGGAGGCAGGGGGCGTGGCGGTGGTGGGCGGGAGTTATCCGCGTTTTTGGGTGTGCCGCGAAAATTATACACTTTTCTTTTGGCGCCTCTCCCGTCTTTTACTCTCTCGCTCTCTCTTTTGCGCCCGCCGATTTGTTTGGTTTATTTTCGTATTAGAATTTCTTGTTGCTGGGGTTTTGTTTTTGTTGTTGGTGCTGATCTTGTCTTGTTCATTAATATTTGCAATTTTTATATGGGAATATATGTATATTTATAAACTTGATAATTTTTCTTTCGTCCTTTCCCTCTCACCGGTTCACACTGCTCTCTTTCGATCTTGCAGAGTACTTTGCACAGGAAAAAAATAGAGTACTAGTGTTTGGAGAACCCGGAATTAACAGCGAATGTTTCAAATTTGGATAAAGGAAAATCGATTTTCCCACGAGCGGTGTTTTTGTTTTTTTTTTGTTGCAACTTTTTTTTCTACTATGCGCGTGTGTGTGTGTGTGCGGTGCTGGTGTTAAAGTGAGTGTGCGACGGCGGCGAAGCGAAATTGACTTGCAAAACCCTAAATTCACTGGGCGATTGTTTTGCAGATTGGCGCGCACATTGCTGAGGATTCGGACTGCGGATTCGGTTAAGTTCAACCAAACGAAACGAGTGAATCGAATCCGTGTTTTCCGTGTTTCGTCGGTTTTTTCGATTTTCGTTTTGCTGAGTGCCCGTCGTGCACCGCTGTAGAAATGCCGTGCCGTACGGTCACTTTGATGGTGAGACAGTGTAACCGTAGCTTATGTAACAGGGCTGAAGCAGGGTCATAATCAATTTGGCGGAAAAATTCAAAATTTGTACGGCCTTGAGCCAATTTACATATTTCATTTTTACACAGCTACTAAGTTTTTATTTAACCAGAATACCCCTGAATAAAACTTAATAAAATTCAACTATTACAAATAAGTGGCTCGCCTCAAAAAACGCTCAAGATGCAAGGGCATTTTTCGCGCCGTTGAGGACGTGTTTTCATTTATTCAAAATTTACATCTCGTATTTTATATATATTCTTTCTGGTGCTTGGGTTTTGTCCCAAGCTCCTATGTATATGCATGTGTGTGGGTTTTTGCTTAAATTTAGTTTTCTCGTCACCGAAAGATCATTATAATTGTTTTGTGGGGTGTGTGGCTGTGTCAAAGGTTACAAACATTTTTGGGGAATATTCTCCCTGCTTGGTGGCCAATACAATAGGCTAATAAATATTTATACAATAATAATTGTTTTTTTTTAGTTTTTTCCGATTTTTTTTTGTGGTTTTCTGTTCTGCCTTAGAATGTGAGTTTTAAATTGTGATTTAAAAGTAGAATTTAAGGGTTCAATCTTTAAATTATGTATACAAAAAAAGAGTTATTAAAATTAGAATTAGACTTTTTCCTTAAACATAATGTTATCCAAGAAATATGTGTGTGTGGAGGCAACCAAAGCTGCTGCTCTGGCCGATCGCTCGTTCTTCCGTCCTCCAGCTGGATACCAGCGATACAAGTCGCCCTCTTTATGTGTCCGACTTCCACAGCTTAATGGTCTTGTCGTTCTCGAGCGCCGCGGATGCGATGATGTTTTCCGTGGGATGGCAAGCGGTGCACAGCACGGTGTCGGTGTGTCCCTGTAGCTTCTGCACCACCTCCTTGCTCTGTAGATTCCAGATGTAGACCATGTTGTCCTCGCTGCCGCTCACGATCCACTGAAAAGGCAGAAACACATATATTTAAAAGTACTAATAACGTTTTACAGAAATTATGTCATTAGGAAGTTACAGACGTGAATTAACTCAATAACTATTCGATATATCTTTTGTTTTTATGTGTGATACGACTTTGCACTGTAAATATCTTCCTGCATACAATACTAAATTACAGACTAAAATAGTTTAAAATATACTTGCATTAGGGAAAAATACTTCAAAAGGGGACTGTAGTTGCCATTCCCAAACTTACCTTGCCACCCGTTACCGAGAAATTGGCGAATATGCAGTATTTCTCGTTTTTATGGCCCGTATACGTCTTGAGGCACTTGCCCTTTGAGTAGTCCCACAACTTCAGCGTATTGTCTAGCGTGGCGGCCAGGATGTACTTGCCATTGGGCGAGAATTTGACAAAGCTGACGGGTGGGTTGTCGTCGTCGATCAGGGTTTTTAAACACTGCCCACTGGCCGTGTCCCAGATGCGGCACAGTCCATCGTAGCTGCTGCTCACAATCAGCGAGCCATCCCGGTTGAAGTGGACCGCCGAAACGGGATCGGAGTGGGCGGGCAGGGTCTTCAGGCACTTGCCAGTGCGCACATCCCAAATGCGAACGCTCTCGTCGAAACTGCCGGACACAATCAGATTGGATTGCGGATTGAAGTTGCAGCAGAACACATAGTTGCTGTGCCCCTTCAGGGTCTTTAAACTCTTCCCGGTGCTCAGTTCCCAGACCTTGAGGGTCTTGTCATCGCTGCCGCTGACGAGGAGTCGCGAATCCGAGCTCCAGGCTACATCACTGATGCCCAGCTTGTGGCCCGCAATGGTCTTCTCGAACTTCCCATCGTAGGCTCCCCAGATTTTGATCAGTTTATCGGCGGCTGAGGGAGAAATAGGTATATTAATACGAAGTATATTGCTAGCTTCAAAATTAATTTTTAAATTTGTTTTAACTATATCCTTATGCTTTATAAAAAGCATTGGCTTTAAAGCTCCATAATTTTATAACTCGTTTATATTTTCTTATACTTTTGGGCGAATAATAGCTTAGTCTTTAGAATTAAAAAAAAAAAAATACGGCAGGTTGTTGCTCAATTTCGTTTTAAGAGCACTCTGTTTATTTTATAAAATTTACTTATGATGAGATAAGGTAAACCAGGGAAACGACCTGACTCTTTTTCATAAACATTTAAATTTCTAGTAATCAAACTACCACCTGTCAATAAACAATGAATTCAATACTTTGTAAAATATAACTAAACTTCTAAACTTTTAATTTTTTTAAACTAAATGACGTTTGTTTATGAAGTTGTCTAATTACTTGGGAACTTTTGCAAATGGTCTTTTAATTGCTTCAAGCAACTGCATAGCCAGCCTATTAATAAGTAATGCTTCTTTTAAGACCCCAATTTAAAAAAATATATATATTTTTCAAAAAAAATTTCCGATTAAAATTAGGATAAAATGTATATGTACATGCATATTTGCCAACTGAATTCGCTTGATAGAAATTTGTGTGACCCCCAATATGATTGGGGTACTACCGTACGTAGAATAACCACTTTGTATACCCGCTGAATTTGTAAGTGGAAATGGTCCTTTGGTTGCATTTTAAAGGACAACCCCTAGTCGCGAGAGTCCATGGGTTCGGAAGGAAGTAAATCCACCCCCCTACTCCCCACCCGTGCTCCTTGGGTCCCTGCCGTCCACCTGTCCGGCTTCCCAGGGATAGGTTATGATATACTCACAGGAACTGGCCAGCCACTCGCCGTTCGGACTAAACTTGACCGCCGATACCGCCTTCGTGTGCCCGGCCAGGGTGAACTTGAGCGTATAGTTGGGCTTCACCGACAGCGAGCTCTTGTTGGAGGCGCTGCTGTTTGAGGAGGTGGTGGCCCCCGGTTGGCCCACCGAATTCGGTTGCAGGGAATTCGGCCCACTGGGCGCCGTGGGCAGTGGTTGCGGTGGCGGATGCACTACGCCGGGATGGCCGCCGTGCACGGCTCCGATGGGCACCATGTCCTCCGGTTTCGGATTCCGATGATCCTTGCCCCGCCTCCTACTATATTATATTTTCCTTTTTTCGGCACGCCGCACACGTGCTTCTTCTTCTTGTTGTTCCGGCTTTTTGGGAACGCCGACGCCGATTTTGCGAATCCTCTGGAGATTTCGGTGGAGTCGGAAGCTCCTCCTTTTTCGGGTTGTCTCCGGCTGCTCTCTGCTCGGTTAACGATTTGTTTATTTTAGCGGGCGCTTGGTTTTTTGGCTCGTTTGTGCCACACGTGAAAATAATAACAATTATGGTCACACTAACAAATAAAATAATGTTGCCAGCGCCCCAGTGTGACCGTTGCGACTTAAGGCCAATATTCCACAGGGGTGATTGTGCACCACCATCCGGTTGAACGTTGCACGATGTGTTTAGTGGTTTTATGGGGCGTTTTTGGGTACTGTGAATTCGGGGATTGGCGGAGTTTGGATCCCATAAGCTCGGCCTGAGTTTCCCCCTATGTCATAAAAAAACTTCCGAAAATCATGAAACGCGTGCCCCTCCCATGGCGTTGCCAGATCGCGAAGTCAATTCCCCATAGAATTTTCTCACGGCTTAATGTAACTTTTAAATCGGTTTCTTATATATTTGTTTGGTAATAAATGTATTTTTCATAACTTACCAATTCAGGGGTATGAGTAATTTTGTTAAAATTTTAATTTTAATTGTTAAGTATTTGGTGATTATATACACAAGATAGTGTTGGAAATCCTTAAGTTTTGTGCACTCCATTAGAAAGAGTTTTTTTCAATTTTTTTATTACAATTTTTTTTTTCATTTTTTATTCATCTTAGGTAATAAATATCTGTTTCATAACTTACCAATTCAGGGGTATAAGTAATTAAAATTGTAAATATTTGGTGATTGCATACACACGATTGTGTTGAAAGTTTTTAAGTTTTGTACATTCCCATAAAAAGCCGTTTTTTTAATTGTTTTTTTTGTTGTAATTTTTCGTTTTTTATTATTTTGATCACCAGACGAAAAGTTATTATAGACAGTGTCATACAAATCAGCTGACCGCTGCAATTTAAATACGACGTTTTAAAGTGTTCTTAATACTACATAACATTTTAAAATATTGTGAAGTTATGAAGAAATTTGCTAGATTTCAAATTTTGTCCTTGAACTTTAGAGTTAAACAATTAAAAATAGGTAGCAAATTGTTTTTATTAGTGAGGCAGCCTAGACAGTAGGTATTTCTACTCGCCCAACAAACGGTCACACTTGCATACAAGCTTCGGTAAAGGAAAACGTAAGTCATCCCTGAAAAATCAAAACATTCTAGAGGTGGAGAATAATCGATGTTTGTGGACATCGATGTTTTTGGTGAAAAACATCGATGTTTAATCGATGTTTAACAAATTTTTTTGTTGTTATTATATTTTAATTTTATTAATATTTTTGTTTTTGTTAAGGAACAGAAGCTTATCGACGACTGATGGCGATAAGCGAGTGCGACGGTCCGAAATCATTTGGCCTGCCTTGCTAAAGAGGCGTTCAGACTCGCATGAGGATGCTGGAATACAAAGGAACTTTTTCGAGATCTTTTTAAATGGTTCATCAGTTGACATCTGAAATAAGATATTTTGTTTAATTGAATATTTGAAGAACAAAAGACTTAGCATATAAAGTTTTACCTCCCAATACGCCAACGGATCGCACTTTTCCGGTTGGTTCCCTTTCTCTAGATGTTGGCGTAAGAGTATAATGGAATCCGCCCGAAGTGATTGAACTGTTGTCTCCATTTTAGTTTTGAGGAATGAGAACCGTGTAGGTTCCTCTGTTGGTGGTGCTGGCTGCGGTCGTGGAGTTGTTGTCATAACGGAGTTCAGCTCTTCCTGCAAAGCCTTGGCCGCTTCCTCCGAGTTCGATTGGGCAAGGAACCCTTGCTTCTTGAATCGCGGATCGAGAATTGTTGCGATACGAGGAATCGTTCTAGTTTCATATGCAAACAATCTTTCCCTTAGACGAATCTTCATGTAATCTGCGGCAGCGATTCCTTCAATTGTTTTGAAATCGAATCCATTAACTTTGTGGAAAAGTTCACAAATTACAGGAATGATCAACGAAATTGAGACATTGGTGTTCGTCGAAACCGACAAGGTTGCATCCGCGCATGGAGCAAGCAATATCGAAATCTCTTTTAAAACGTTAATTTCTTCGGCAGACAACGGTGAAGGGGCATTGTGAGATACAGCCAATACTACACTAATATATTCGTTTGTCAGAATTACTCGCTTGATCATTTCGTATACGCTATTCCAGCGCGTCGGCATTTCTTGAACCAGGCCATATGGAGTTTCTGTTTTTTGTGCTGCTTTGAATTTTGCATACGCAGTCGAGCTTCTTTTAAAAAACGATACAACAGTCTTGCATTTGCTTAGAATTTCCTCTAATATTGGCTGTTTTAATATGTCCTGGACCAGCAGGTTAATAGTGTGGGCCACACACGGCAAGTGTTTGTATTTTAATGAAACGCACGCCTTTTTCATGGAAGCGTCGTTATCAGACACAAGACATACAACTTTTTGCGCTATCGCCCAGTCATCTAGCACCGATTTTATCGTTTCTGCTATATTTGCAGCGGTGTGATTTGTTGGCGTTAGAAGATGTTGTGTTGATAAAATTGCCGATTCCAATTTGAAATTATTGGATATGAAATGGCATGTAATGGTTATGTAGCCCTCGTTGGCTCGAGATGTCCACAAATCAGTTGTTAGTGCCAGATGATCAACACTGTTTAGAATTCCTCTCAGCGTTTCTTTGCATTTTTCGTACTCTCTTGGCAAACAAACATCCCGCAAGTATGTTCTACTTGGCAATTTGTATCGAGGATCCATCTTTTTAAGAAGGGCACTAAAACCTTCATCCTCGACACAACTGAATGGCTGAACGTCGACAGCTATCATATTCAGTACCATCTCGTCAAGTTTGCGTTTCCTCGCCGAATCATTTGTATAAAAAACCGTGTCTGGGTGGACGTGATTCAGGTGGTTGAGCAAGTTTGTTGTGTTTCCCAATGTGCGTATCGCTTTCCCACAATACTTACACACACCGTGTGTTTTCTCAGCCGTTTTGTTGAAATGATCCCACGCAATGGAAGCTTCACGCTTCTTTTTTTGAGCTGGCTCCTCCACATTCTCCTCTGAATTTGATGTTCCTAAAAAAGTAATATTTTCATATAAATATCATATAAAATATTATATACATATCATATATCAAATGTACATGTCATGCGGTTGCATGCAAGCAGGCGTACATACATACATATGTATGTATGTATGTATATGTACATTTGTAGATGCACACATATTTCACCAGCTTTTATATTAACATTACTTACGTTTCAGGTATCTGTCCATGACCGTCCACTCCACAACTTCATCCAGCACCTCCAACAGAACACTAATATAAAATAAAATATGAGTAATTTATAAAAAATAAATGAATACAACTTTACTTACAATTACACGTTTTCTTCCTCAGATGCGCAGTTAGAGATGGAAAACATCGATGTTTGGCTTGCCAAACCGATACCGATGTTTTGAAAACATCGATTACATCGATGTTAACATCGATTTTTCTCCACCTCTAAAACATTCACAATAGACGGCACATTCACAATAGACGCCACATTCTCCTGTGCAGCGCAGCCGAGGACGAAAAGGACCCAAGGACCAACTGATTCGGCCAGGATGAACGGACTGCCGCCCAGCAAGCACTACAATTTAACGCACTACCAGCAGCGTTACAATTGGGACTGCGGACTGTCCTGCATCATCATGATCCTGTCGGCGCAGCAGAGGGAACAGCTCCTTGGGAACTTTGAGGCAGTGTGCGGGGAGGAGGGGTTTGGGTCCAGCACGTGGACCATAGACCTGTGCTACCTGCTAATGCGCTACCAGGTGATAATGTTCAGACGTGATAAATCGACCAAGTATCCAAGATATCTATCCTTGTATATTTGGAAATTCCAAATTTTTGAACAGTTTGATAAGTAAAAATGCCTACCATACATATATAATAATGTTACAACGTATCTATATACCAGGTGCGGCACGAATACTTCACCCAAACACTCGGAATCGATCCCAATTACGCCCAGCACACCTACTATTCCAAAATCATTGACAAGGACGAACGACGAGTGACGCGCAAGTTCAAGGACGCCCGGGCACATGGACTGCGCGTGGAGCAGCGCACCGTCGACATGGAGGTCATCCTGCGGCATTTGGCCCGCCACGGACCCGTCATCCTGCTAACCAATGCCTCGCTGCTAACTTGTGAAGTGTGTAAACGCAATGTCCTGGAGAAATTCGGGTGAGTTACTAGTCCCCGGCCATGCCAAAACCCATCGTAATCCCCTCCCCCTAAATCGCAAATGAAAAGATGTTTTAATATACCTTGCATCGCTCGAAATACACGCCTACTGGGACCCAAAAGGTACGCCGGTCACTATGTGGTGCTCTGTGGATACGATATGGCCGCCGAGAAGCTATTTTACCACAATCCCGAGGTGCACGATGGTCGTGAGTATTTAAAAAATAGCAGGGTTACTCGATAAGGAAGTAAACCCCATTTTAAATGGTTGTTTTGGGCTTAGCTTTGTGTTTATCTCATTTAATTACTTACTTTTATAATTTATTGACTTATAGGTTATAATGTATTTTATAGGCAAACACTTCTTTATCAAAGATAAAGTTAAAATAAGTCAACCCATTAATCAAGTCACTTAACCAAAAAAACCCAATTTGACGGCTTAAGTTTCTATGTTAAGTGCCGACATAATAATCAAATATTTTTTTTAATTTAGTAACATTTTATACCAATATAATCTGATGAGAAAATGCCTGTCGTGCTATATGTATTTAAAAAACCTAAAAAAAATCCGAACTGAAACTTGCTGAGCTAAACTTAAATTACTTAAAATCAAAAAATACTAATAATATGTTGTATTCAATTTTCTTATTTAACTAACACTTAAAAATTGGGTGCCTTAATTCAAGTTGTGTCACTCTTGTGCTATCCAATTACGCTGCAAATTCATTGATTTTCTTTTTTGGCTGTGTTCCACAGACATTTGCCGGTGCCTCATCGAGTCCATGGACACAGCACGTCGGGCTTACGGCACCGACGAGGACATCATCTTCATCTACGAGAAGAAAACCACTCCCACCAAGGAGTGAAAGGATTAAAAACCGAATTAGGATCAAGGAGAGAAACAGGAGTACCTGCAGTTGCCAGGTTGCCAGCTTATAAGGAACGGAGGTTTGGAATCTGCGCTTGTGATATTAGAACCATAAAGGGAGAGCACGTCGGGGGGACTTAGAGAGGATGGAGGTTTAAAAAAAGAGCTGCTTGGTTAACTTTGGCACAACAGTGTACTTTATTTAGGTATTGCTAACAGTTGGTCCCCATAAAAAACAACAATTACAAACGTTCATGTAAACCAGCCAGGCAGCTGTCTAGATTTATAGTTATAGAGTTCGCTTCAAAAACTGTAAACGGAAAGTAATTTAGGGATATTTCTTGGTAATGTTCCCATTGAACGATTCTATATAATAATTAAGTTAGTAATTTTCATTTCCAATTGAAAAGTATTTTTTATTTTATCGCTGAGCCTCTTATTTTAATTCCATTGTTTTGGTGACAAGTGACCTTCTTGATGTTAAGCATTTGATAAAGTAGACTTTCCTATTTAAAATCTTTATACCAATATCCTCCTTCTTTTCCGTGACCTCATCGATATCATCATTTAAGGATGTCTTAGATTGTTGGTGACTAGTTTGATTCCTTTTTTATGAACACCTTGCATTGTATTTTATCGCTGCGCCTCTTATTTTAATTCCTTTTTTTGTGACATAAGTGACCTTCTTGATGTTATGTATTGGCTAAAGTGGACTTTCCCTTTTTTAATCTTTTTCATTCTTTTCCGTGACCTCATCGATATCATCATTAAATCGAACTTTTCTCATATTTTTTTAAGGATGTTTTAGAATGTCGGTGACTAGTTTGATTCCTTTTTTATGAACACCTTGCATTGTATTTTATCGCTGCGCCTCTTATTTTAATTCCTTTTTTTTGATATAAGTGACTTTCTTTATGTTATGTATTGGATAAAGTGGACTTTCCTATTTTAAATCTTTTTCCTTCTTTTCCGTGACCTCATCGATATCATCATTAAATCGAACTTTACTCATCTTTTTTAAAGGATGTTTTAGAATGTCGGTGACTAGTTTGATTCCTTTTTTATGAACACCTTGCATTGTATTTTATAGCTGCGCTTCTTATTTTAATTCCGTTTTTTTTTTGTGACATAAGTGACCTTCTTGATGTTATGTATTGGATAAAGTGGACTTTCCTATTTTAAATCTTTTCCTTCTTTTCCGTGACCTCATTGATATCATCGTTGAACCGAACCTTTCTCATCTTTTTTTGAGAAATCTCTGTGACCTTCCTGGTGCATTTAAAATTGGACACATAGTAAACCCGGTTAATGAAATTGTTTGTTCTTACAAACTGTTTTTATACCCTTGCAGAGGGTATTATAATTTTGGTCAAAAGTGTGCAACGCAGTGAAGGAGACATCTCCGACCCTATAAAGTATATATATTCTTGATCAGGATCACCTCCTGAGTTGATATAGCCATGTCCGTCTGTCCGTCTGTCCGTCTGTCTGTTTCTACGCAAACTAGTCTCTCAGTTTTAAAGCTATCGGATTGAAACTTTGCACACACCCTTCTTTCCTTTGCACGCAGTATATAAGTCGGAACGGCCGGGATCGGCCGACTATATCCTATAGCTGCCATATAACTGAACGATCGGAAATGCCATAACTTTGGTGTTTGTAAAGTTAGGAAGTTGGGATTTTCTATGGGTTTTGAATTTGGCTAATCAATCCGACATGCCGAATTTCATAAGGATCGGCCGACTATATCCTATAGCTGCCATATAACTGATTGATCGGAAATGCCATAACTTTGGTGTTTGTAAAGTTAGAATGTTGGGATTTTCTATGGGTTTTATATTTGGCTAATCAATCCGACATGCCGAATTTCATAAGGATCGGCCGACTATATCCTATAGCTGCCATATAACTGATTGATCGGAAATGCCATAACTTTGGTGTTTGTAAAGTTAGGAAGTTGGCATTTTCTATGGGTGTTATATTTGGCCAGCCAATCCGACCTACCAAATTTCATAAGGATCGGCCGACTATATCCTATAGCTGCCATATAACTGAACGATTGGAAATGTCATAACTTTGGTGTTGTTAAAGTTAGGAAGTTGGGATTTTTTATGAGTATTAAGAATGCATCATTTGAATAATTTTGGAGAATATAATTTACAGAGTATTCTGCAAGGGTATATCAACTTCGGCTCCGCCCGAAGTTAGCTTTCCTTTCTTGTTTTTAATATAGTGTCATTATTTTTAAATGGCATTATAGGATCTCCAGCACTCGGATTTTCTTGATGGTGTAATCTTCTTTTTCTTTTTTAGAAAGAAAGCTTTACTCCTTTTTAAATTTGTTATTGAGTGTCACTTTCATTTGTGAATTAAATAGTAGATTTCTATTTGACTTCAAGGAAATGTTAATTATTAGACTATAGTTTTAGCTTTAAATAATACCTAGAAATCGCCCTAACTTACTTTCCGTATTCTGTTAAGTAAATTCCGTATATTTTTGCATTTCCGTCAAATCGACCCACTTAAACATTCCAATGCGATTATGAATAAATGATTATATGTAGAAAATATAAAAGATTATTGTTCCAAATCAGACCCCGTCAGTCGTGTCCTTAATGGGGCTGCTTCTTGACGTCCTCGTCTTCCCCGCAGATCCTTTTGTAGAGCTGCTGCATCTTGATGTGCGGCGCCTCAACGGGTAGGATCACCTTGCCATTCTTGTCCGTGTATTTGTCGTAGGGTTCCTCCGAGAAGACCTCAAATCCATGGGAGCGGAAAATCTTCTGCGAGAAAATGCCAGTGGCATCGGCTTTCATCACGCGGAAACCATTATCTTTGGCCACCGCCAGGGATTGCTTGACCAGCTCATTGGCAATTCCCTGGCCACGATAACCGGAATCCACCGACAGGATGCGTACATCAAACATTCTCACCACATCGAAGTGCTCGAAAAGATTGTGTTTAAGGCTGTGCCCGTGCAGCAGCTCAAAGATCTTCCGGAAATCCGCGTCGATACTGCCGTCCAGTTTTTGTCGCGATTTGGCCGTGTCTCCCGGTCTCAAGATGCCATTAAGGACTACGCCGGCGATTTTGCAGCACCCATCCACCTTCACGTCCACGGCCATCAGGCTCATCCGATCCTTAATGGCCTCCACACAGTGGTCCTCCAGAGCGGTGCAACTGCTCCCGTTTTGGCACAATCCGGCGGCCTTGTTCAGCGGCTCGTCGGCAAAGAAGAAGCGACGCAGGTGCTCCAACACCTGGTCACAGTGCTCCATTCCGATCAGTTTGTACTCCATGGTGGTGCAGCTAGCGGAGGCACTACTCCTACGGATGGTGGGCAATCTCCAAGTGGAGGTAATAAATTAATAATAATAATCTATGATTGATTGACTTTTTTAAACTATTATATATATTTTTAAAAAAATATTTAAGAAGCATTGATTGTGCATTAAAAGATTCTTTTAATTTTGCATTATTCTACTTTGGATTTAAACATTGAACATAAATTGATCAAAGTTGTATACTAATTGATTTCTGATAGTAAAATTGTGATAAATTCTTACTTAATATTAATGTGTATTTAATTTAGTTTTAAGTGTTTTGTATTAGTTTTCATTGATTGATGATCTGGAGTAATTTCTTTCTATCCTTATTATAATTACTAAAAAAATAGTTTTAATTATAATTATAATCGAATTTTAGACAAATTTAAGAACTCAAGTTTCTTCCCGAAAATATAATGAATTAGTATGCTGAAATAATTATAGTTGAATGAATGTTTTTTGACGTATGCAAATTTGTAGGTACATCGTATATGCGAAGGACACTTTTCTATAACTTAATTAGTCGCAACTCTCTCTGCCCTTTCATATATCAACCTTTGTCTCTCACTCGCTCTCAGTGCACTTTCCACATCCTTTATGATTGCCCTAATGACACACCACCATCGAAAGCCGCTCCCAATGACACTCCCCCCCCCACAAAACACCACATTATGCTGTCCATTTAACCCCATTTAACCATGACAAAGGTCGTATTACCTGTGGTAAACCGATTTCGAGTTTTATCCCATGAAATAAGAAGTCAGTTCCACTTACTCTGTAGTTTTGCGACGTATTGGATAGGATAAACTGGACGGTATTGCGCGGACTGTTTGTTTGTTTTCCTCGGCTGGGAAAAAATGTGTAACCTACTTGCGGGCGCTTTCAGATGCGAAACGCGACTGGAGCAGCTGGAGCAGCCGACAAAAGTGAACCACCAGCGACAGCATCCCGTTTGTACACCTTGAGAAAATATCTACAACATATTTTATAATAGTGTATTTTCACTTGATTTTTAAGTCATCTTAAGACAACGAACTTTTTCACTAAAGATTGGTTTAAGATGGACTTTAACAAAAAATTCACTAAGATGTAAAAGAGCAGTTCAATCAGTACTTAAGTAGTTACTTAAATATATTTTATTTGTATTACTAGATCTGTCAGTTAAATATTTTTATGTCTAAGCGAAATATGCGGAATGTTTCTGAATTTGACAAGTACTATTCGCAGTATACTTACTCCCCATTTAGTACCCTTTATGCTCAGTGTACGCCCTCGGGTTTGCATCATTGCCGAAGCATGAGAAAAATGCTGCCCTTTGGGGGGGTACAAAATAAAAAAGGGGAGCCCGCAACAACTGCTCTGTTGTCCCTGTTGTTGTCGTATCCTCCGAGTGACAGCCATGCGTATACGCAACGTGAACGATTGCCTGGCCCTGACTTATGCCCAAATACAAATACAAATACCAATACAATTGCTGGCCCAGTAAACTCGAGAGTTTACCCCACCCGACTTCTACCGGAAAATCCTGCTGAAATCTTCCCAAATCCCACTTTTTTGTTCGGATTCGCACCAACTGTTGATTCCGCCTTTGTTAGGTTATATCCATCGTACAATGTACGCCCGTATTCGCACTTATATACAGATTTTGACTTAACGACTAGGACGTGCCACAACCAAAAAAAGAGGGCGAGAGTTTTCTGTTAATAAATATATGCACACATTTCTTCTTCTTTTTGCGTGGAATTGGGGTGTAAAAAAATTAGAGCCCTTATCTGCTAGTTGCTATTCCATATAACATGATACTAAGTTACTAAATCTGTGATTAAAATATAATTTATTGCTACATATTCCCAGTTTTGTTGTATTATTATTTTGAATGCATTTTAATTTTTCGTTTTGTTGTTAAACAACAGAAAACAACAAAATGTCTGGTTTTGTAGTCTAGACAACTGTTGCTGACCAAAAATGCCACCAAATTCCGACCTTTCCTCACCTCGTTACTCGCTGGTATGCATATTCATTACTTTAATTAATACCCCTACTTGTTCGCCACTGGTCTGTGTCCAAATGGGGATGACACGTGTCCATTGCCACACAATGGGCAAACTGCACTGGGAAAAAAATGAAAATGATATACAAATTTTTGTAATATTTTCTGAGTACGATATAGAACTAATGATATGTATAACGAACAGCAGACTGTCATTATTAAATAAGTTTATGAAACGAATTATAAAAATAAGTTAGATTTAAATATTCTAAAATGCAGCATAATTGTTGCTGTGAAAAAGATTTTATTTTAACTTTTTATAAAATCATTTTATAATTTAACGATTTAATAAAAAACTTTTATTTAATAAAAAACTGTTTTATTGAATACCATTTTGGTACAGTTTTGCTATGTTAAATTATGGCCAAAAATATATCATTTAAATTACTTGTTTTGGCAGTACTAAAAACCAGGTTTCTCTCTCTGGACAATAGTGCTTTATAGACATTATGTACACTCAAATCGGGTCACATGACGGCACAAGACGCATATTCAAATTGCGTGACATTGCTCCGGATGGACATGGACGTAACCCCGTAACCGCAACCGTAACCGGACCCCCGGAGACATCTAAATAGCCGGAGTACAAAGGTATTTCAAAGTCAGTGTCGCTGTGCGTTTATCTGCGTGTGGCAGCTATTTTCTGTTTTCCCCAAAAATTGTTGTGCGTTATTGATGGCAATCATCTTCAATTGAAATCAATCTGCGCTAACGGTAATAAAACGGAACTGGCATCACTGCGGCACCATTCTTTCAAAATGGCAATCGGCCTATCGACTGACTATCGATTATCTGTCACTAACTGACCTTGAAGTGGTGCATCCTTTTCGATTCGTGTCTGATCAGGATCTCTGGAATCATTTGCTCCATCCATCCGAAATCCATAGTATTAAAAGGCCATGACTCCCTGATGTTTAAAAAATAATTCCATAAAGTAATGGATAAACTAATTAAAACTACATCCATATAATTTATCGTTAGCATATCATAACCGAAAGAACTAATATGGTTTGCTAAGCCTTAACGACCACATCATATCCATTAGTTACAGTTTTATTGTTTATGCGGCTCTAAAAGTTAGCATATTTATATGCAAGTTAACACATTATCTGCCGTTTATTAATGTAGTTAAAAAACGCATATATTAAATATTTTAAAGTGTCAGTAATGCCAAAAGACTGGAATGATATTGTAAAATGTCTCAGAAGTCCACATACCGAATTTCATATCATGAGCTACAATGACCACCAAGTTACAGGTGCTTGCCGAGCGGACATACCTTTTGTCAACGCGCGTGCTGTGCTATAAAGTGTGACAGCTGTTCCGGAACAGCTGAGTGGCCCGAATCCAATTCCGAGCCCCCATAATAGCCCCTCCGATCCGATCCCATCCGATCCCATCCGATCCGATTCGATTCCATCCCGAGACCGTCACTCTCTCGCCAGGTCGCTCAATGAGTCTTCATTCGCTGGCCCAGTTTGTTGTCGTGCTGTTTGCTGTTTGTCGTTCCCTCGTCTTTTTTTGTCGCCTATTTTATTTTCGTAGTATTGCATATATTTAGTAAATATTTTGTTGTTGTTATTTATAGTACGGACTTGGTTGGCGTGGTGCGTGTTGTATTTGTTCTTTGTTTTTTTTTTTTTTTGAGTGGCATATTTTTGTTTAATTTTTGATGGCAGCCAAAGACCGCCTGCCCATATTTCCCTCACGTGGGTGAGTATCCCTGATCCCTGTGGAAAGTAATCCCTGCTACATGAATGTATCATCCATTATCGCAGTGCCCAAACGTTGATGAAATCGCGTTTGGCCGGCGCCACCAAGGGACATGGTTTGTTGAAAAAGAAGGCAGATGCGCTGCAGATGCGCTTTCGTCTGATTCTGGGCAAGATCATTGAGGTGAGACGATGGTCCTGTGCCCGGGGAGAGTCCTTCCGTTACTGACCATTGTTTTCCAGACCAAAACCCTGATGGGTCAGGTGATGAAGGAGGCTGCCTTCTCATTGGCCGAGGTCAAGTTCACGACTGGCGACATCAACCAGATAGTGCTGCAGAACGTGACAAAGGCCCAGATCAAGATCAGGACCAAAAAGGACAATGTGGCCGGAGTAACGTTGCCCATTTTTGAGCCCTACACGGATGGCGTGGACACCTACGAGTTGGCCGGACTGGCACGCGGTGGTCAGCAGTTGGCCAAGCTGAAGAAGAACTACCAGAGCGCCGTGCGCCTCCTCGTGGAACTGGCCTCGCTGCAGACCTCCTTTGTGACCCTCGACGACGTGATCAAGGTCACCAACCGGCGGGTCAATGCCATCGAGCACGGTGGGTGATGGAATCTAACCTTAATCTCAAAATCCTGGGCCAAATCCTTCTCTAAATAGGAATGTTTTTTCTCTATACTAAAAGATCTTAATATTTATTATTTATTAAACCTATAAGTTCAGTTCTTTTAATTCCAAAGTAATTTTTTTTAACATTTTATCAACGACCCATAAATAGGCAAAGCATAGTACTCCTTCTCTTAATATCAGTGTTATGTGATTTAGTTCCATCTGGAAGATACTAATACCCCTTGAAAAGATGCATTTATTTTTGGATTTATTTTTACCTGATCATCAAATTGTTCTTCTCTTGTTCAGTGATCATACCCCGCATCAACCGAACTATAGAGTACATCATCAGCGAGCTGGACGAACTGGAGCGCGAGGAGTTCTACCGGCTGAAGAAGATCCAGGATAAGAAACGCGAGGCTCGGAAGGCATCCGACAAGAAGCGGGAGGAGCAGCGGCGTCTGGGCCAGCTGGCCGAGGCCAAGGAGGCGCAGAACATCCTCGATGAGGACGGCGACGAGGATCTGCTCTTCTAGACCGCATCTATGTACATCCCATATACCCACAGACCAACCTGCTGCTCCACCTGACCTCCACCTCCACTTCCACCCACCCGACTCAACTCTGCTACCTCACCACCGCCTATCAAAAGACCACCTCTCGATTTTGTTGACGTTTTTCATTGTGATCCGGATGTTGTACCGTTTGTCGTTCTTGGAAATACAATCCGAAATCGTAACCTCTGTGATCGCTATGTTTGTGGTTTCAATTGTCAATTGGCTTCCATTTGTCTATGTGTCTAAGTATGCACTGCGGAAAAGCGGCAGAATTTTCCCTGCGATTACTTGATTTTAGCTTATGTAAAAATACTAATTTCTATTAATTTGTGTTTGTTTTTACGTATACTTAATATTATTATTGCGTTTGTTTACGTATACTTGATAGTCAAAAAGTAAGCTAAAATTAAGTATACGCAGAAAAGACGGAAGAATTTTTTCCCGCGAAAAAAATAAGGTAGACGCTGGAAAAATTGGGATAAGGAAAAGAGTTACCATATGATGGTAAAATCAAAACCAATATAAAGTATAAGTTTTTCAAATTGGGTTACATATCAAGTATACGCAAACAAACGCAATAATAATATTAAGTATACGTAAAATAGAAACACAAAAAATTAACAGAAATAATATTTAATAAAGGTTGTTAAGTAAGGAAGAAAAAACAAAGTTTACAGAAAAAAATATAATATGTAAAAGTTGCAGAAGTTTACACAAAATGATAAGTCATCAAAAGCGACAGCTAAAGTACGTTGTGAAATGTTGAAGCTGAAATTCTTAATCACTTTGAACGAGCAGCATTAAAATAAGTTTATGTTGGAAATTCCAAACCCTATTTTAAGAATTGCCTTTGCCTCGAATCAGGGCCAATTATTCTGCAACCAAAAAAGCTTTACAAATGTTTACTAGATATGACTAAACTTTGAGACAAAATTGTTAATTTATTATTGGTCCCTATTTTTCTTAGTGCTTTGTTTTTTGTATACCCCTAAAGAGAATGAGATTCTGTTCTTCAATGTCGATTTGTCTTTTAGTATTTTATGCACTATAAAAAGGTTATTAATATGCAAGTCTGTTTTTTATCGTTAGCAATTAGTGGCTTAATTTGGATGTCATTGAGACAGACTGGGATAGGATGTTCTATAAAAGCCAATGAAATTTGGTTGCAGCATTATTAAGTGGAACCAATTTAAATTTCAGTTTACAAAAAAAGATAACTACTCTAATTGTAAATAATCTATACAATTTATAATTAAGCTAGGGTATCCAAAACGTCGATTATTTTCCACATCAGCTTTTAATGGCACTCTTTTGACGGCCCATTAAATCCTCCGATTAAGCTGCTTATGGGCCAAAATTGCCAATTTAGCTATGCCAATTTAGAGATTCACGAATGGCACGTGCTGATCTGAAACCACAAACTTTGTGGCTCTCGAACCTGATCCAAAACAAGATTAAGAAAGTAGACAACCGACTTATGTTTAGTATGTATGCATATAAAATCATGTTTATTCATTTTCCATTTAGCCTTATACACGTAATAGTTTGCCATTGACCACTAGGTGTTCTGGTTTTTAGGTTCCATCTCTTAAATTCGGCTTGAATTCTTAGTTTTAAAAAATTTGCGTGAAGCGAAACGGCAACAAAAAAATGAATCAAAACAGACGCGGTTTCACACACAATATATTACATTTAAAAATGCATAGTAAGCTTAAAGTTAGGGTGAATATTCAATATTCGCACTGATTAGAGATCATATGATGTGTGACATAATGATACGTTCAAATTCCATTTACTTATTTTCTTGTTCCTCTTTACCATTCCAAGTGCTTTGTACTCTCTTTACGTGTTCATGTTTAATATATGTGTGTATATTCAATATACGATCTACGCTCCGATCTTCCTATCAGGTTTATCTTTTGCATGCGACAGTGTAAATACCAAGTATGTAAATATGTTTTCTCTATGCTTTATGTAAATACCGTTACATTTATGTATATTGAGCAGATTAAAAAAAAAAATAGATTAACAATTACATTCATCAATACATTCATTACACATTTTCTTTATATATATGGATGTACATATATGCAAAAAAAAAATGTGATCCAACCTTTTGTTGGTAAATATACAAAAAATATTGGTTATATGTGTATTGATCGATATTTATTTTATCGAAACTTATCGCGGTGTAATTGAAGCCGCTGCATTCAAAAAAACGTGCACACTTTTTCAGCTTTTCAGTTTAGTTTACTTTAGTACAGTTGCGCTTGCAAGAAATAGAGATCGAGATCCTTTAAGATTTCGGCATTTGATGACTTTTTGCAATCGCTTTGGCTTTTGCCTTCGATTTTGTTATCGTTGCGATTGTAGCGATTGTTGCTATTGTTGTTTTTGCTGCTGCGGTTGTTGTTGTTGTGGTTATTGTGGTTGCTACCGCTGCTAGCGTTGACGTCGGCGCCAGTTGTGACGTCATAAATATTTGCTGCGTCTTTTGGGAACCTGGCATCACACATTTGTCCTGCAATCGATAAGTGAACAAGAAAAGAAAACGAAAGTCCGAAAGGAGTGCCGCATTTTGAGTGGGAAACGGAGATGGGAGATAAGCCGGAAAAATATTTATTCAATTTATGTCTCCGGTTGCGGACCCCTTTAGTTTAATATCGATCGTGGCAAAGGTTTTCGTTGCAAAACAAAGCGCAGCTAGCGAAATTCAAGGCAGTGACAGTGAACGTGAACGATCGTCACTGGCAGTGTGACCAGCTCAAAACATAAAGTACAGTCTGTCGAAAGCATAAGGAAGTTGAGTTTTTAACATGTTATAAAAAAATTTATAGTATACAAAGTCAAAGTCATACAAAAATATAATATTCATACAAAATAAATAAAACAAGTGTTCGATAACATTTTTTAAACTAATTAAAGAAATACATAATATGTAAATTGAACACTCTATTAATCAACAAAATAATAGTATGTTTATCAAAAATAGTTCATTTTTAATTGGTCAAATTTAATGCTTAGCCATAAAACAATAATAATTTTTTTTAGGATATTCTGTTCGTCAGCTCATTTCTAAAATTATTTAAAAGGTCTACAAAACCAAATAATAACTTAAATTTAACTTTTCCCCTCTTGTGATTTGGTCACACTGCATAGTAACTGTAAGTTTGTGTTAATTTACTCGAATATTTTAATCTAGTTTTTAAAAATTAATAGAATTAGAAGAACATGCCGCTCAAGTTTTGCTGGAAAATTCATCAATTAATAACCGTGTGCGAGTGTTTTTGAGTGTATTTGCGTGTCCAGAACAGAATGCTAATAGAAATGTATTGTCATCAGATATTTTAAGTATAAATTTAAAAGTTATTAGAATTGGACGCGGGATTGCCGATTTTGGATTTGGAGTTCTATGCTTTTTGAGGAAGGATCGGATCTGTCCTACATGAACAAAGGTATATACATAATTACACTGGAGTAAAAGAAGCAAGCCAAAATTGAGGTTGGAAAAGGAAAATGAAACTATTCAAACTTAAAAATCTTAATGCTGATTAACGTGTTATGTATCAAAAATATATATTGTTTTTCTGGGAAGAATAGGTGAAAAAAAAAGAAAAAGGATATATTTGTTTGACTTTAGAGACTCTAGGATATATACAAACTAGAAAAAAGGAAAATACAAAACTAATATTCTTATTTTGAGGCTTAAGTGGCTTTTTTCGATATTAGCTTGCTTTTTGGGTGAAAGAAATGAGAATATTATGGAGATGCATGGATAATTTGGTTGTGGGATATTGTTTGCAGGGAATTTCCGGTCCGATGGGGTTGGGTGCTGGCTACTGTGGCGTTGGCTACTTCTACGGCTATTTGGCTACGGCTCTATGGGCTACATCTACGGCTAGTTTTGGGCTACTGCTCTGACAACTCAAATACGACTGACTCGGGTGGCACGGATGACGCTGACGGTACTCTCAGTACCTTTTGACCCCGGAAGCAGATGCCCATTATCCACTTGGAGCCGCGACTGTTCCGCGATGCGGTGCTCCCCGCTTCCTTGCTGTGGATGCGAGTGATGGCCGGATCCGGTTCCGGCTCCGTCTCCGCATCCGCCTTCTCCACCCGATCCCTGCCCTTTTCCCGGGCCTTGTTTTGCAGCCGGGGAATCAAACGCTGGCGCTGTTGGGGCTCATGGATCATCACAATGCTGGCGCTGCTCGGCTTCCTCCCGTTCAACCTTTTATTCGGCGGTGATATTCTGGTTAAGGGATCAAATGGTTCGAAAAGTCAAGCTGAGAAATAGCCAATAAAGCGGGTACCTACCGCTTTCCGGTGGCCAATGGATCGCCCGCCGGCTGCACTGCATCCGTATCCGGTGCCGTGTTGTAGGCTCCCGAGTACATGGACGCCCTCTTAGGAGCCCACTCCGGATGACCCCGCACCGACAGCTGAGTGGCCAGACTCTTGAGCAGCACTGCCCGTACCTTCCCGAAATAAATTACAAAAAGAGATGTTTAGAGAATAAATACAAAAGTCTTAAAAGGTATGCCACTTTAAAATCGGCTCCGGTTTGGTCATGTTATGGACTATAGAAGCCCAATTGTGGGTTACCTAATTAATCAAAAAGTTGATCAACGCTAAAATGAAAATTTTGAATGCAGATTTTTAGAGAATCGAACCACAAGTCTATAAAGGTATGCCACTTTGAAATCGGATTACATTTGGTAAAGTTATGGACTCTGGAAGTCCAATTGTGGGTCACCTTTTCACAACTCCTCGAAAACTCACAGATAACTAACATGAAAATGGGTCAAAAAGTTGATCAACGCTAAAATGAAAATTTTGAATGCAGATTTTTAGAGAATCAAAACACAAGTCTTTAAATGTATGCCACTTTGAAATCGGATTAAATTTGGTAAAGTTATGGACTCTGGAAGTCCAATTGTGGGTCACCTTTTGACAACTCCTCGAAAACTCACAGATAACTAACATGAAAATGGGTCAAAAAGTTGATCAACGCTAAAATGAAAATTTTGAATGCAGATTTTTAGAGGATCAAACCACAAGTCTTTAAAGGTATGCCACTTTGAAATCGGATTAAATTTGGTAAAGTTATGGACGCTGGAAGTCCAATTGTAGGTCACCTTTTGACAACTCCTCGAAAACTCACAGATAACGAACATGAAAATGGGTCAAAAAGTTGATAAACGCTAAAATGAAAATTTTGAATGCAGATTTTTAGAGAATCAAACCACAAGTCTTTAAGGGTATGCCACTTTGAAATCGGATTAAATTTGGTAAAGTTATGGACGCTGGAAGTCCAATTGTGGGTCACCTTTTGACAACTCCTCGAAAACTCACAGATAACTAACATGAAAATGGGTCAAAAAGTTGATCAACGCTAAAATGAAAATTTTGAATGCAGATTTTTAGAGGATCCAATCACAAGTCTTTAGAGGTATGCCACTTTGGAATCGGATTAAATTTGGTGAAGTTATAGACTTTGGAAGTCCAGTTTTGAGTCACTGTTTTACAAGACATCGGAAAATTGGAAATAACTAACATGAAAATGGGTCAAAAAGTTGATCAACGCTAAAATGAAAATTTTGAATGCAGATTTTTAGAGGATCCAATCACAAGTCTTTAGAGGTATGTCACTTTGGAATCGGATTAAATTTGGTAAAGTTATGGACTCTGGAAGTCCAGTTTTGAGTCACTGTTTTACAAGAAAATTTTAAATAAGTAACATGAAAATGGGTCAAAAATTTGATCATCGCCAAATTGAAAATTTTGAATGCAGATTTTTAGAGGATCCAATCACAAGTCTTTCGAGGTATGCCACTTTGGAATTGGATTAAATTTGGTGAAGTTATGGACTTTGGAAGTCCAGTTTTGAGTCACTGTTTTACAAGACATCGGAAAATTGGAAATAAGTAACATGAAAATGGGTCAAAAATTTGATCATCGCCAAATTGAAAATTTTGAATGCAGATTTTTAGAGAATCGAATCACAAGTCTTTAGAGGTATGCCACTTTTAAGTGGGCTTAATTTTGGTAAGGTTATGGATTCTAGAAGACCAATTGTGGGTCACCCTTTTACAAGTTCAAGTTATTTGTCCAGGGCTTACCTCGCCATTTAAAAAGCAGTAAATGAGTGCTATGAAAAATCCCTGGAACGAGGTGAGAAAATGGGTGCCATACGACCAGACCGCAAAATTCGTCGCCGTTTTCAGAGGAGCCATCTGGTGCAGGATATTGGTAATACCCAGAAGTGGTAGTAGGACTATCGCGGCCCTAACCGCCTTCCGAGTCTGTTCTATATCGCTGGCCTGCGATTGGCGCAATTTCATCACCAGCACCCGGATTATATTCACCAGGAAACAAAAATTGAGCTGCAAGTTAGTTTGTGTAAATAAAAGAGGCTTTTTTACGAGATTTCAATCAACCCACCAGTATAACCGCTAGTCGAGGTCCTTCGAGGATCCAATAGTAAGGTGTGAGATTGTAGTTCCACAGGCAGTCGCCCAGCGAAGTGTCCATATACATCACCGTGCATCTCGCCCAAACGGTGGTCATCAGAATGGGAACACACCAGCCGAGGCGCGAGAAAAACTTGAGGGGAAAACTGCCCTGGAAAACGGCCACGGTCACCATATTGTGCAGATATAGGCCCTCGATGAACATCCACATAAACATGGCGGTACGGGCGTACTCCAAAAGCACATACGAGGCCTCACACAAGTAGGGCTGTAAATATGGTTATTTAAATAGACATCATAGGTCTCCTTTAAAGGATTTAAGTCTAGAAGTGGGAAGAGCTACAGAAATCACTGAATTATCGAAATCACTTTTAATGGAGCCTAAAATTTAATTTCTGTGGCACGCCCTTTTGATGGATTTAACATAAGAACGCAGAGATTCATTTTTGATACATGTTTTATCGATAAAAATAAATCTCTAAAAATTAATTGTTCTGTTTTCAAGCACGTGAAATAAATAATTGAAATACTTGCGACTGCACTCACCGTATTTTCAATGACCGAGAGACTCGTGTTGGTGGCCGCCTCCTTGTTTCCCCGGCGGTACTGATCCAGATACAGGGTCAGTCGGATGATCACCTGCAGCACCATGGCGACGAATAGGTTCTTGTGGATCTTGGTGCGGTTGTTCCGCAGGGAGCGGAAAGTGCAGAAGATCAGCAGGGAGACTATCAGGGCGAACAGGGAAAGACAGAGGCCCACGATCTCCAGCGTTCTAGTCTTTTTGGCTATGTCTATGAAGGTCTGTGGGATATTACAATACGAAACGGTGTTAAATCCATTTGGACTTGACACGTTTAACAAACAGTCGTTAATCTAAAATAAATAAACTAATTCAAATCAAATGATTGTTATAATGAAAAGGAAAGAGTAAAAAGTAAAACTTATAGCTCGAATGGGTCCAATGTTAAGTAGTTGGGTGGCCACCCCATCCCAGTGGTGCACTCACATCGAAGTCCCTGCTGCCCATCTGCTGCATGAGGCGGATAATCTCCGGCTTGTAGCACGGCCCGTAGTCCGTCCATCCCGGCGGACTCACTTCCGTGGCATTCGGCCTGCTGCCCCATCTTCCATCCAGCTCGCACTTTCGGATGGCGAATTCTGTGCATCGAGGAGGGGGGGAAAACGGTTTCCACGCATTAATGACTGTAATCAAACTTTGACACACTGACTGACAAGTGCAATTATGCCAATCGAATGGGCGACCTCGTTTAGCTCAAAAGATTGCGGCTTAAAATCAAGACAAGGAGCGGAAAATGAGGCCAGGGAAATTATGCACTTGGACAAATTGTGTTCCTTTTGCCTTGTGAATTGTGCAAGAAATTAGTTTGGTTTCGAAAACTGTTAAAATAGATATTTTGGAAAGGTATATACTATATAAGTACAATTTTTGTTTACTTAACTATTTTGGTGAATGCAGATTCATTGGATTTCCTACTTTGTAGTGCAGTGCATATTGCCAGTGGTTATTAAATACCAATTCCCCCTGGAAAAGCGTTCAATTTTGCGGGTAAGCAAATCGAAGGGGTGGGAACCCTTTTGGATCGTAATTAAGCAATCGATTGGCTGGTGTTTAAAACCTAGTTAAACTGACGAAGCTCAGGTAGAGGTATGAACATGGAACACCTGGACACTGGATACTGGGCATTGGGCATTGGACATTGGACAGCCCCCGGCATGGGCCACGCCCACTTTTGGCCCAGTTTTGTGATGACCCCGTCGGGTTAAATATGGTGTACAGGGTCAAAGGGATGGGAAGGGGGGGTCCAGTTGAATGGACGCGCCAGTCAAGCATGCAAATATTGACATCCTTCCAATGAATACGAAATCAAGTAATTGTTTGCCATACAGCACTTGAGCGGATTCCCAGCTAATGATCCGTATAATTGTGGCCGCCAGATATAGAATAACCGCAGGTTATGTACCATGACTTTTAATCAGCCGACAAAAGTCAGGCCATAAACCATAAACGGATGGGTTGGCCAGCTTTGTGAAAAATAACTAGAGTCGTTGGGGCCTCAATTATAATCCTTGGCAACTGCATTTGATTACTTACTGCGCGTATCTACGCCGTGAAAGCCGGCAGGACAATTCATTCGTGCCAGGACTCCGGCCGGAGTTGGTGGCCAGCAGAGCAATGTGTCCCAGGTCCAATTGCAGTACAGACCTGCCCAAATATACAAAAATGTGGAACTTGTGAGCAGCAATGTAAATATGTTTTACAGAAATCAAACTAGACACTTGTGGCAACATTCAGAATGTAATGTTTAAGCATTAGAACTTTAATCTTTTGGTTTTACCAAGCCCCTAAGAATGATTATTAAAGGAATTAAATATATATCGCGTATAATTTGTTATACCTAAAATTTGTTATCCCCTATATTTACAACCTGCTCAAGCAGCCACAAAGGTAGCAGTATACCTGTTAAGTTTTTCAATAAATATACAATTTTTTACTTTTATAAAAACTTAAACAAATTATAATGAAATGCGTTTAGTCCAGGGACTATATTAGTACATAATTTATAATATACATTATCATATATTATATATATAGTATATAATACATAATATTAGTTTATCCCAACTCACCTGTTTGTGGTAGGGTGTAGTTGGCGAAAAGCGCCGAGCAGTTCTCGAAATTGGTGGCCGCCGCCGAGGCGAGCGTTAAATTCCAGGGTGCGCTGGCGTTGAGATTGCTGAGGACCTGATCCGGATCCGGATCGGGCAGGAGGTCGGTGAGAGTGGGCTCCAGGGCCATCTGGGCCACACTGACCACGCCGTCGAGGAGGAAGGTGCCCGGCGAATCCGTGGACGAGGCATTGAAGTCGTGCAGGACTGGCACTCGTCCGGTGGGCAGGATGTGCGAGGATGTCGGCTCCAGCATCGATTTGGATTCAAATGCCCCAGATTCAGGTGATCCTGGTGATCCTGGTGAGCTGGACTCGCGCAGCGAGCGGGTTAAGCACTGGGCGGAGATACCGCCTCCACAGTCGAGGATGTTCGACAGGAGGGTCATAGCGCCATCGACCACATTGTGAATAGGCTAAAAGGGAAAATAAGTAAGTAAAAAAATAGGTTAATACTAATACTAAGCGCAACACCAATAAATTTACAACAATAGAGGTGATATGTTGAAATATAAAAACTATCTGTTATACATCTGTTAATGTACTACTTAGTGCCATTAAATGTTATCACAAGTTAAAGTTACTTATATAATTTAATTAAATTACATTTTTGGGTAAAGCTCTTTACTGATTTATATCCAATTTGAATCTTTGTGTGTGCTGGTGTCTATTTTCAATTAGGATAAAACGGAAATATCTTTAATACCACAAGAAATGTCTAAGAGAGCAGAAAATCGGATTAACTGACTAGTTGGTTTCCGGGAATCACCATGAAACCCCAACCCATTGTTCATCTGGGATGCAAAGGCGACCTTGATTAGTCGGCGCTTTATCTTCGGATATTAGCATATATATGAAACCTTCGTGCAAGTGTTGCAATTGGAAATTGATCTCTTCCCGTTTCCGTTTCCGTTTCCCTTTCCCTTTTCGTTTCCCTTTCCCTTTCCATTTCCATACGCCCCGTTGGCCGGTCAGAATTAATTGAAAGCTTATCGCACAAAGAGACATCGAGGGGCTCCTTTGTTTACCGGATCTTAATCTCGTAGGCAGATTGGCAGAGTGCCCGCTGTTAACGCAGTTTATGATTGCCCCCTAATAAATACCAGGCTTATTTATAGCATCGCATCGCTGCACCGGCGTGCAAACATCACGGCCCACATATCGCATTTTCCGTACTCTATGCCATATACACAAATCATTGGCATCGGCATTCGCATTCGCATCCGTACACGTATACGTATTCGTACTCGTGATTGCCGGGATTAAGTCTGGCAAATGGCAAATGGCAAGTGGCCAGGAGGAACTGCACGCAGAAAAGAACACATATAAATTGCAGGTCAAATAAATATTTACATTGTAAGTATCTATTCAAAGGGTCAATGGTGTAAAAACATGTTCATCACTGGGAATTTCCACGAAATTCATAAAAATAGTTGGATATATATATATATTTTTTTTTGGTCCCCCATTTGAAACCTTTCATTTTCTTAGTCTTACTAATAATTTCTTTACTCTTATCATTTTATAGTTTTCATATAACAACATTAACTACAAATTCAATTTATTAAATGTTAGGTCATCGTCAACTTTTGTTTCTGTGTACCATCGTGTGATGGATTCCAATGAATTGCATTTTTGCCATTCAAGGCAGCACATCACACTAGCCAGTTCTTCTCGAAAACGAGTAATCTCAGTCCAAGCGACTCAATAAAATCAGGGTTTTTAAATGCAAGTAGGAACGGGCCAAAATATAGGTAATCTTTATCCTTTTTTAAGGACCAAAGGCATTGATTGCAATCCATTCCAAATTGTCAATAAACGGAAAGGTTCGTACCCAAATTATTTATTGATCATAAGACTTCTAAATTCTTAAAATATTTCACTAAAGATTCTAAGACTATTACAATTTTATTTCCAATTTGTTCCATGTCTGTTGGATGCACATCAGTGCTGAAAAGCCTCTTAGAAAGCAACGCTTGTCTATCATTAGTGTCTCATTTTCTGAAGAACCGGGTTTCTTGCTTAAATAAAAATAAACCTATTTTAATGGTGGAATTACATTTGCTCCCTTCTGTCGCCAAGGCTAAATGGAATGTAAATTACTAATGGCATAACAAATTATGATTTCCTCCTGTCTGGGTTTCATTGTGGGAGCTTTAGCTACCGGAAAAAAACAGAATGCGACCGGTATCCCACGTCGCTTTATAACATTTTTTTTTGTTTTTTTTTGTTTTTTTTTTGTTTTTTTTTTGGTTTTTTTTGGTTTTTTTTTGCCCGGATAGGAGAACCAAAGATCCGGAGTGTGTCGTCCGGGAATTGCGTAAACAAGCCATCCGGAGGACGGTCGCCCAAAGTGGGCAGAAGTTGTTGATGCTGCTAAGCCGTCCCGAAAATGCCTTTGAGTGCATTTTATATAATTGTATAAGAATTTCAATTTCGCCAGATGTCGCCGCTCACATATGCATGCAGGATGTACTGCAGCCCACATTCTCCATTCCCGGCGGGCATTCCTTCGGCCTTATCCTGCCCGATATTTGGGTTGCATAAGACCGAAACCAGACTTGGTGCATTGAGCGAAAACAGTGGTTGAATAATTAATAAATATAGATTATACAGCCCATTAACCCATGAATAAATTTAAGAGCAGTTGCTTATGCCTTCGAGCCAAATTAACCCCCTACAGAATTATTATTTTATTGAATTATGTTAGATGTTCTGTATGACTTTGATACCAAAATGAAGGCATTTACTAACTCGATTTATTGATAAATATTATTTATACATATTATTTTTTAGACAATATTCTATTGTGAGATAGAAATATTCCTAATTTGACCTTGGATACTTCGCTTATTTGGGAGGGCCTTGGAAAGTACTCACTTTGGCAATACTAATCGATACTTATCACTGCAGCGCGTTCGTAATTAAGCCAACTAAGCAGAAAAGCCACTCCAAAGCCATCTCGAAAGTCGGCGAGGAGCGAAGGATTGGGATTGGATAGCTGGCTGGATGCTGGATGGTGAATCCTGTTCCCCAGTTTCTAATTTCCAAGCAGACGAGCACCGCAGACGGCAGACTGTGATTTGGGTCACTTGGCAGCAGTTGCAGCGGGTTAAAGTGCGGTGCCAAGGGGTTAAGGGGCCAAGGGGTTAAATGGCTGAGGCTCAAGGGACTAGATTAAATACTTGTGTAATTTAAAGTTAGCCCCGCCAAAGGAGCATGCACTCGGAAGGCCTTAGATTAAATAAAGAGTAGATGAAATTAAACTATATTCAAGGATAAGTAGCAGGAGTCCATCCTTCATTTCTCTATTATTTAAATATATATTCAAATCAGAACTTTTTACTTAGTATTACGAAACTATCAAAAAAAATACCCAAACATTCGTAAACTTCAAGCAAACCTTTTCATTGAATTCAAATAGTAAGAGAAACAAATTGTTTTTAATTGAAAATTTCAACACACTGCAATGCATCGCATAAGTTAATTTTTATATTCATGCCCTTGGCATATTTGTTCTCTTAAGAAATCCAAACTCAGCCCAGTAAATTGAACGAAATAAATTCGTTTGTTTACAATTCAGTGCCAACATGCTGGGTCACTTCAATAATTAATCAACTTTCTTATTGAACACTCACCAATTTAATAATTTAACACGCATCGCACTGCTCCAAATAAGTTGTCAATGCCATTGGATAGGCAGAAACAATCAAGGATTTATGTGGATTTAAATTTGTTATTCGATGGAGCTTTAAAAGTGCAATCAACAACATTAAAAAGTAATTTAAACTGACGTCGCTCGACTTGAAAATTGGGTTGATTGAGCCCTAAATAATGGCCGTGTCCCTTTGCCGATCGATTGTTTTAACATTTTCATCGCCCAAAGTGCAGTCGAAGTTTTTCATGACTTGGTGTTTTTCTTTTTTGTAGGCCGGAAAAATCGGAGAGCCCCGGAAATCCGTCTGCAGGCGTTGGGGCGTGTATTTTTTCGTATATTTCGTTGCCATAATTATGGGGAAAAAGTGAAAGAAAATGAATCTCAAGCTCCCATTCATAGAGACGAAAGGCGTAGAATGGGCCAATGTTGGCTTACAAAAGGAAAAGTGGGGGGGAAATGGTGGGAAAGTGGTGGGAAAATTGGATGGGTTTGGTTAGCCTGCTGGCGACGCTATTTGAAAAGTTTTTCGCGCTATTTGACAAGCGAAAAGACTTTTCACTGCGGGTTTTCCTTAGCCCAAAGTCGTCATAGTGAGTACAGTGCGTTTGAGGAGTGTAAAACTAATTTAATTAGCATTAATTAGGTAGTAATTATAGTGCTCAACAATTCAGCACTTTTAGTTGTAATCATTATTTTATAAAAGTTAGGCTATTAATCCATATTGAGTCCATTTTATTGAGTGCTTCTATTGTTTTTATATCAGCTTTACAAGTTTGTTTGGATAAAAGAGTCAAGTGGAAAACACAATCATTTGTCAGTTGAAATTATTTCATTGTTCTAGGTGCAAAATAAATATTATTTTTTAAATGTGATGAATTTACAGGTGTAAATTTCTTGAAAAAAAAAAGTAAATTCATTCAACAATATAAATTACAAAGCAAACATGGCCATAAATCTGGATACATTTTGTTTTAATTATGTGAGAGCTCAATAATTTTACACGTATGCAAATAGTTTACCTTTGAAAACATTGCAATTGTTTTGCAAATAATATTACTATAATGTTCATAAATTTAAAATATTTCTGCAACTAAGGTGAAAGAAATATTCGATAAATTAATTTGAACTATTCGGCAGCTCATTAGTATTTGTGGGCATTTGTTTGCTCCAATTAAAGGTGGCTTTTGTAATTGTAAGTACAGTTGATCTAGATTACTTGCTTTGCAGCATTCATTTAAATTGTTTTCCTTTCGAAACGCACTGTAGTCTGTGAGTCTGCGCCAATTAAGTCGCAACAAAGGATTTTCCAATTGAAAGTTTTGGCAAATGTTTGAACGGGAGCTAGGTTAATCTTAAATTCGAGGGATTTCCCAAGAAAAAGTATGGCCAGACAAGTGGCCACATTAAATGGCGGTTGGCGATCCAATCGGGAGGTCGGAGGTCACGGTTACATCACCTTTTTCGACAGGATCTTAAAGCATCCGAAAGTGGGTGGTGCTTTGCTTTTGTCGCCGCAGGACATTTGCCGCTTGGCTGAGCCACTGCAGCTGCTTATACAATTTGGCATTGAAACTGCCACTGTTTGCAGTTGACTACACAGAGAGAAAACTACTGGGAACTCAGCAAAAAAAAAAAATCTTTCAGCTCTTTCAAACTTGTCAAAATAAATGTTAGATCCTGGAATTAAATACTTTTCGAGGATCTCATTTGATACTAGCACATTATACCATTTCTCTGAACTTTTTAAAGGGGTAATAT